AAGAAGATGAGATACCGCTAGCTATCTCTCTCTCTTGCCATGCGTCATGCATGGCATCCAATGGCATCACATCGAAATAGTAAGACGCTTACGGTTGCCAATGCGCATGCGCGAATACAGAGAAAAGCTAGCGGTCTCTCATCTTCTTTCTCTTTCTATTAGAGGGACACTTCCACTTTTAGTAGAGTCTATATCTCCCCTACTCTATTCTTATACCTCTATGGCCGAACTCGATTAACTTAACCTTTCAAGATACGTGATAAACTGATAATCATCACATCATTAAAATAATATTCGTGGTTTCATAATTGACAAATATTCAACAATAATTAAAGTATTGTGAAATAAAAAGCACACATAATTAAGAAGTCGTTTTCCGGATGTACTTACACAAAGTTTCACTCAAATTGAGATATTTATGTAGAAACTAATAAAAAATATTTCAAATAAATATGCAAACTCTAGCTTATCTATGACGTAACTATAATAATGAAATGACAAAGCTAAATACAAATTTTCGTTGTTACTAACGATTTATCCACTTATTGGATCATAATATATTTGAATTAACAGCAAAATGTAATTGATGAATCGAGCAAAACATGAAAACTCTACTTTAATACAATAAATTGTTCAGATGCATAAAAAAGATCATATAGTCACAACAACATTTGCCGAAAAGTTTTGAACTCTATAATGCCGTATGGAAACAATTCATGCTAATTATTATTATACGAAAAACACCTAACCTTATGTTCACCTTGTTAAATTTCGAATTATTTTTGGTGTTTATCTATTTGGCCGAATTTATAAGTGCTTAGAACACAATTGAGACTAAAATAAACCTGTATTATTATATTTAAAGATCGTAATTATTATAAAACTTTCATAAGATGCGACCGAATCAATCGTGAAATCTTAGACTATCAACGATAAAATTTGGGGTCATATTCATAAGTTTAAATAAGTATCTACATGGCATTTACCAGTGACAATTGAAAATAATACAACAAATATGTTGCCACAGGTAAAAAGGCTCGTGGGGCACCAACGCTGTGTAATTTGTACAAGACACGAATTGTAAAATGAAGTTAAACAAATATGACACTGAAGAAGAAACAATGGTTAAAACTAAAATAAGAACGAACCATCGATATACATAAATGCAACACAGTCTGCCGACATGTACACTAGACAGGTGTACACCGGAATCAAATCATTACTCATAAGAATTGAGTTTCAAACCGGAAGCAATATTAAATCAACCCCGAGCAACTCACACACTTTTTATGAAGTGGTTTAATAAAAGCTTGCACTATTGATAAATGATCATAAATAAGTATATATACAGAGCGTCCCACGGCTACCTCACACGGAGGAAAAGTATATTAAATACTGAAGATAGGATATTTTACTGAAAGAAGACATCATTTTATTTTTAGTAATAACTAGAACTGCATTCACAGATTTTTTTTAAAATCGCCTGCTACAACTGGGAATCAAACTCGTGAAACTCGTGAAGAAAAAACAACATATTTTATAGTTCTAATTTTATGATAACCATCGAAAGGGTTAATCTTAAGGATTATTTTTTGCTAGATAACATAGCATTTGAAACAGGCGATTTAAAAAAAACTGCGAATGCAGTTCTAGTTATTATTAAAAATAAAATGATGTCTTCTTTCAGTAAAATATCTTATCTACAATATTTAATATACTTTCCCTCCGTGTGAGGTAGCCGTGGGACGCCCTAATACACACACACGAAGAAATACCTGACAGAATTACAAAAAAATACTACACCCTTGGAGCATCGGCTGTTTAAATGTAAACGCCTTTAGTTCGGGGGGCGTTGTAACAAGCTGTCGTACCAAATGGAAAAGCTACACCATCAACCCGACTGCTCGTTTAAAAACCATCGTGTTTATACATCCTTTGGAAGTTATTACATATGTTTTGTGTATATTATTTAATGTAAGTACATATATTTTTAACACATAATATAGATAGAATACTGAAGACTACCCAATATCTTTACAAAGATATATAAAATTGTATAATAATATTAATAGCCGGTCGTCATAAGCAGTGCAGTTTAAAGGTAACAGGGAAATCCTGAACATATAAAACATCAAACACCAAACACAAAACTAATGGAGCACCTTCAATCAAATTGGAACTTTCAACATTAAGGGTATAGGAATAAAAATCTGTTGCATGAAGCAGAAGACAAAATATCGACACAATAGCTCATTTTTATTTTACAAATTGTCACCCGCCTTCGCTTCGCTTCAGTATCGAACGTAGTATAGAGTTAGGCATATATTCAGTAAAAGACTTACATTATCATCTACTTTTATGCTTACTATGTCAAAATTGTTTAGAAAATCCCGGCTTCATTATAACATTTTTATTTATAGATACGTCCGACAAATCACTCCACCATACCTGATGTAAAGTGAAGGTGAAGTCCAGACGTGAAGATAGCTGATACAGCAGTTCTACCTGCCACACCAGCCATCCTCACCTTGCCAGTCTGCATTTTGCTTCTTCACGCCTCTTTTAAAGGATCCCAGGTTGTAAGAGGGAGGGAACAAGTGAGCGGGCAGAGCATTCCATTTACGGATAGTGCGACAAAGAAATGAGTCACCAAATTTCTTTGTACGCGTTGGAATTGTGGCCACAGTTAGACGGTGACAACGAATGCCAACGCGCGTGGTCCTCTGAAGGAAAGGGGAAGGAAACATGATTCTGATTTACAACTGGACGCAAAAACAAACGTATGACGTAAGAAATGAATACTTTCTCGATAGTTGTTCAGAGTCGGAACGACAGACGATCGTCTTGTACCAACTAATCACTTTTAAAAAGCTGCCTTCGCTTTGACTTTGCCGATTGCCTGTCTACATACCATAAATACATTTTGTCTTCTGCTTCATTAAACAGATAATATGTATATAGATTTTATATTGATATCGCCTAGCTAGCTAAGGAGCGGACTACATGCAAACTATTGTTATATTATAAAGATAATTTTAAATACCGCAAAATTGACATATATTACAATTCAAACCATGTGAATTTCAGAAATTCGTGAAAACGTTATAATAATAAGACAAAGATAAATAAATATTTCATACTGCAAAATACAGTATGAACTTGTATGTACAGGGATGATAATAAAACTATTAAGCAATAGATTACATAGCTTGAACACCATAGAGATATACCATCCAACTTAATAATAAACTGAAACTTATTCGAATCATTAATGTTTTGTCTTTATCTGTTTCCATACCAGTGACTGGGATATAAGAAAAATATTTACTCTACATATTAGTAATTACTATGCAATAGGTCATCAATTGAATCAACACAAGCGAAATAAGCGCTAAAGGCTGTATACTCAAATCTCACACCGAAAAATTCTTTCATTATAAATAACACCAAAATGTTTTTAAAAGAAATATTATGCTTATATATACCTCAGATCATTGAACAAAAGGCTTTTGTTCTATAATCTGAGGCCTATACATCATATATAACGGAGTAATCACATAAACATTTTTGAAATGTAAAAAAAATAAAAATTTTAATTACAATTTTATGTACATATATATTATGAGGACGAAGGCGATTGAATAAAATATTGTAACGGTAATCATTTGGCAAATAAATATGGTCCTCTTTTGAAAACGCAGCATACTTTTCATACTCGTTTCTAAATAGTCAATGCCTCGTTACCTCGTTAATTTTGATTAAAGTTCATACCATGACATACTATTCGATAAATATAGAATAATTTATCATTAAAAATAATTAGCTGCGTCTACGTCACTTTACAATGTAACTCAAGTAGTGTCCACCAAAGAGACTACACCGTGGTCTCAAATACGGTGTACGGAAAACAGCAAATCAGGCTATCACAAAAAGTGAAAATCCTGCAATCAATTTTAACCTATAAAGCTAGCCGAGAAGGTTGAAAATCTATTGGAGAATTAATTCAATTTTGTATAGTCTAATGAACTGTACTCTTAGCACGAAACAATCGATCGAATTCGAATAGTTGAATTCAATGTCGATATGCGACTGTATGGACATTTAAACAGCGCCACAACGGACGTAACGAGAGTTAGAACTTCCATACAAAACTTTTTGACATTTAACGCATATCGAGATCGAATTCAATTACTCCAATTCGATATTGGTTCATGCTAAGGGTACTGGGGGCCATTCGCCTAACGGAAATGCTTTGGAAAACGCTAACGCTTACGATTTCATTTTGTTATTTCTGACCGCCGAAGGTTTCAAATACCTCACGCTCATTTTCTTTAATATTGTTATTACCAGCGCAAAACAAAATAAAGTTCGCGAGGCATTTGAAACCTCAGGCGGCTAGTAATAACAAAATGAAATCGTAAGCGTTAGCGTTTTCCATAGCATTTCCGTTAGGCGAATGGCCCCCTGTTGTCTCTACTTGTCTTCGTATCTATCCTAAACGGAACATTTTGACAAATAAATCGTTGTGATAAATTATGTACAAGTATTTAGTAATGCTAAATAGGCACTCACTTCTACAATCTAATCATTCGCATTTTGGAAGCTTGAGCGGACGCTTCCAGGCTATATATTTGGGATATATAGATATATTATATACATTAAATTTTACTGTAAGCTTCCGTTAGGGCGAAATTCGCTCAAAGTTACCATTATGCCAACGATTTCTTAATATGGATATAACCATACATGTTTACTAATAATAGTCTTTTTTTTTAAGGATATGAAGTAAGTTGTTCCGAATAAACAAATAATATCATTATTATATGGAACTATTACTATAAGTGGCGTGCATTTGGAGAGGCCTATGTCCAGCAGTGGACTAAGATAGGCTGTTGATGATGATGATTGATGATTACTATAATACTGTCAGACGAAGCAGACCTTAAAAAAGGGGAAACAAAAAAGTAGTTTTTAATTGGCATCGATAAAACCAAGGTATTTGTCTTCTCTATATAAATTTATTACACAAATAGCGACTAAATCAATTGAAAGTTGCTTTTAAGTCAGACACTACTAGGAGTCAAAGTGGCACAATTTTTTATAAACTACTCTGCCAGATCTTTTGTACTTTACGATTATCGTTATTTTCCTAACTAAATAGATTAATACAACAAGCGAATACACTCTCAGAAATCATTTTGATTATGAAAAATTGTAACTTCAGACATTTGTTGTGGTTATATCCATACTAATATATCGTGGAAGAAAATAGAAGACATCCGAAATATTGAACTAATCTTTGATACTCTACACGGAAATCTACTTAAGGCTCATTTTAGAATTATCCTGTTTTAAATCGTAAAGCATAGTTCACACCTCCTTTGAATGATAACAGTATTATAATGAACACAGCAACTTACCGGTCTATATGTATAGAAATGATTCTTGATTGTTTAAACTTAAGGTTGAGATTTGTAGTCAACGTCAACTTTATCGACCAACATTTCCTGCCCCTATTTTTTATTTACGTAAAGTGGTAGCTCACATTCAAATTAAACCAACTACTTCAGTCCATCTAAACATTTCATCGATTTTAAAATCACCGTCTTCTTAGTTTCCGTTTAGAGCAAGGGAGATGTACAACTATTCATAATACGAATTCATTTCATGCCATCAGCAAAGACTTAAACAACAATATATTTCAATATAATTATTGCCTTATAACATCGTAATAGGCAGTCACTTAGCAAAGTCTTACCAATTACCATTGCATAGCAATACAAGGATACGAATATCCATCATTTTAGAATATAATCTTCATTTTATACGTTTCAATACAATTTAACAAAACTTTCAACCTCTTCAACTTCATCTTCAAAAAGAAAGTATACTTTGATGCGATCTCATTAGAATTTAAAATAGAACAAGGTGTAAGATTATTTTTTATAAATTAAGTGATCAGAGATATTGTGTGGATATCGAAATCCAGCGTCTATACGTCACAAAGCAAATGAGACCTATCTTAAAGGCACAGAGTCTATTAATTCATAACCTTTTTAACTATCAAACCTTTGAAATAACATATAAACTTTAGAATTAATAGCAATATTGTACCTTACATCGCGAAGTTAGGGTTGTCGTTTCCTTACAAAGCGTTGTCGCGCGAATATGTTGCTTTTAGCGTAGAATATAAAGTGGTTTATTGCATGCTTCCTTCAGTCGACGCCAGCGAAACCTTGCGATCCTTCAATAGCTTTAATTAGTTTCTCGCGTAGCTGTTGATAGCTCTCGTATGGTGGGAGATCGATGCGGTTGAAGCTGAAATAATGAAATCTATTGTAATATATTCGTATCGTCTTCATTTATTAATACATTGAATAAAAATATTTAAACGGTAAAAATGTTTTAAGTACTAAGAGCAGCAATTTTGCTAAATCTTAATTTAACTAACACTTGTGACAGCCTGATACAATGATGTCAAATTGAAATTGACTTTTTTTATTTTTCTAGTTTTAGTTGAATCGACATTTTATCATTTGGGAAATAATTTTGGATTATTTGGGAAAGCTATAATTTAGCGGATCTTCATTAGTTGTTTAATGTCGTTTCTTTTAGCACCTTTTTTCCCGTCTCTCTGTGATATGTTTTATGATTTTAGAGATTTTGGTTATTTTCTTTAACCTTAACGTAAAACCTTAACGATACGCGTAACTACAGAACCCTTTTGGTTGTATTGTTTTCGGTTCCAGGACTTCTTAGAACCAATGCCCGGTTTAAGGTTCTGACAACGTAATGATACCTAAAGGTGCACAATTTTATACCGCATCAACTTTCTTCTAAATTGGACTGTGGGACAACTTGCTGTGTGTGCCTGTTCCACGGAGTAGGAGAATGGAGAAAGGCTCTGTCAACGAACGTGGAAATGGCTTTCTTTACAACTAGACTGAACAAAATTTCTTTTTTATGTTTAAAGGGTGGCAAACATGCGTGACCCAATACCACTACCCCGTGGAACCCTTGAACTTTACTCACCGATAGAAACACAACACCACCACAAGGTAGTGTTATTTTACTGTGGTCTTCTGTAAGGTGGATGTTACTTCCCCATACGGGCACTACCACAGAACACAGAAAGGGATTAGAAGACACAGACTACACGTTCACCTAATAGATAGCCAATCAAACGACGCGACATCAAACAATCGAACCAATCAGCGCTAACACCCGAGAGCAACTACGCAATCAGAACCAAGTTTTGGTCAGGATGAGCATTTGCTCACATATAACTGTGGCGCGTCTACTCCGCTCACAGAAAACTTCTGTATTCTGTCGGAGCTCCAATTCAAGCGGAAAATCTGCTATACCCTACCTCTCTTCTGTTCTTTAGCAGCTATTAATTAATATGACGACGACCTCCGTGGCCGAGTGGTTTATACTCGTACGTCGGGTTTCATGGTGATGCCGACTCGAGAGGTCCCGAGTTCGAATCCCGGTGGGGCGGAGATGTTTGTGTGATGAATACGAGCATTTGTACTCTAGTCATGGCTGTATGATATGTATTTCTATATAAATATATTTATATATGTACAGTATACGTATTCTATCCGTTACCCTAGTATATTATTTATTAATGCTTACCATGTATGTGCTCTAGGGTAATTATCAGGCGCTCCCCACTTCTCTATGGTGAAGAGTTGCGGTCCATTAGAACCATAGAGTTCTTTGAACCCGTTCATCGGAACCCTGGAGGTGCCAGTCACGAACTGAAGTAAGCGGGACCGCATCTCGTTGGAGAAGGAAAGCACCACCTGAACAATATAAACGAAATATCATGAATAAATAAATTCTTCTACCCAATGAGGGTTTTCCGGAATAACGACAGATGGCGGCACTGCGGCGAAAGGTCTACTCATCCGTCAAATCGCATACGTTTTCATAGTCATAGATCAATGGAGAAGTATACGCAAAGCTCGACATAGATGGCGCTGCAAACGCTTGACCCAAACCACATCCGAATATTGCAGCTGTCAAATTTTGAACGGGTTTTTTTGTTGTTAAATATATTAAATAAGTGGTGAAAATGTATTCAACATGGTCTGTAATATAGCTGAAAACAGAGTTGAAAAGGAGAGGAGCATCAATGCAAGGCAGAAAAGCTGATCTAGTAGAATGGTACTGTTTCTATTATTATGCTACAATGCTCATTCTCGATCATCTATGTACCGAGAAATGAGAATTTTCCATGATTATTTTAATAGTTCATGGATCTCAGTAACTTTTAGCGGGCTCATTAGTCCAATCTATCTTATTTTTGCATCAGTCGAACATCTCGTAGAGTTGGGTTACCTCCGGCTAAAATGGGAAGTATAACATTGGGTTTTTTTTACAGTCTTGAGGCGTAAGACCGCAATTTTAATTTTGGTCCTTTTTTTCTGATCAAACTGAAGATATCCAGATGCAATTACCTGCCCCAGATACATACCATGATGTAAACAGCGCAGTTTTACCCCCCCCCCCCCCCCCCCCTTTCAAAGAAACATATAATATTATATTTTAGTCGGTAAGCATGCAGTTTTCTCACAAAAACCAAGAACTGCACAATGCGGCATTTGTAATTTGTTTAATAAAAACTGAAGTTTTGGATCAAGCGATTACAGCGCCCCTATTGATCAAATTTTGCGGATTTCTCGTCCATTTATATGATCTTTCAGTTAATTCGCGCCATAAAGTTCATACAAAAGACCTCGCGTCACAGTAGCGCCAACTAGTGACGTGAATTTTCCTAAACATTCTCATTAGCGTAGTCAAAAAGTCACAGTGGTAAGGATTGGGTTATGGTATCTTAGGGTACCGACTAATTATGGATTACAAATGTATGAGCAAAAAAAAATCTTCACTCACCCTCCAGAACCATTGCACGACGAGATGATTGGCGTGATAGTCCCCTTTATACAGTGTATGTGCTCGCCAGTCCCGTACGTCTATATTCTGTATGCCGCAAAGCAGTAGTTCCAGCTCATGCTCGTCAAATATCTTCAGTAAGGGGAGGGGAACCAGTCCCCCTAAACCTTCGAGGAATGCTAGCATTTGCTCGCGGACTCTGCTCACGAATCGCCATTCTATCACCAATCTACAGAAGAAAGCAACGTTGTAAGAGACCTGTTGATACAGTACATTACTTGTAATAGTAAATGACATACAAAATATGATGTTTACAAAATTACGAATAAGTCTTGTACTTCTTTATTTTTTATTTCATTTAAATTGGTTAGGTCGAATATTAACATAACAGTAACATTACTTGTTATAGTAAATGACATACAAAAAATGAGGTTTACAAAATTACCAAAAAGTCTTCTACTTTTTTTTAAGTTGGTTGGGTCGAAAATTTTCTAAAATTCAGAAAAAAAATCATAACTCGAAACCTGTAGTGAGTCGCGGAACATGCATGGGGGTGATTCGGATACCATACGAGGGACCTAAATTTTTTTTGGACGTCAATGTTCCGGCCACCCTATATAAAAACATCCATCCAGTTACATATGCTCGCATTCGTCATACTAACATTTGCCCCCACCAGGATTCGAACCCAGGACCTCTGAGTAGGCGACACATTGGAACCCGGTATGGCCATTCGTTACAATTTTCGCCACATTCATAAAGATTATATCTTCCAGGATCGCAGACTGAACCAATACGACCTTGATTTAGAAAAAAAACTACATTTATTTCGTCCTCGTTCTCGTTATCCTCGGATGTTGGCGCTGCCCGGCTTCAGTTCGTTCTGGATTGTCCGTACGTTCCCGAAATAAAGGGTCTTGACAGACATGCGGATAGACGGACGAAAATGTGATTCTACAGTGAACCATAGAAATATAAGAATAGACCACTCTTCTCCACAGAAGCCGATTCTAAAAGTGTCCGTCTAGTAGAAAGAGAAAGAAGATGAGACCGCTAGCTATCTCTCTTTCTTGTGACGCATGGCAACCAATGGCATCACATCGAAATAGTAACATACTTACGGTTGCCAATGCGCATGCGCGATTAGAAAGAGAAAGCTATCGGTCTCTCATCTTCTTTCTCTTTCTATTAGAGGGACACTTCCACTTGTAGTAGTCTATATCCCCCCTAGTCTATTCTTATACCTCTATGTACGGAACCCTAAATAAATATAAAAATGACAATACATACTTGATATATTCGTCCTTGTTCTCATTATCCACGGATATGTTGGCGCCGCCCGGCTTCAGGTCGTGCTGGATGGTCTTGCCGAACTGCTCCTCATCCACGGAGAACGTTAAGTCCAACTCGGAAGGGTCATTTTCCTTTTTATAAACACATTTTTATGAACAACTGAAACGTTACTCCTCTTATTACTTATAATTAATAATAATTTATTCTTTGTCGAGCTACCTTCGAAAGACTTTTATTGGGCGTTCGGATATCTCATTGGAAGATTTTTAAAACTTTATTGTCTATGTATAAATTTAATTTATTAGTTAATTCAGTTAATAAAGTACTTTATTTAAAAAAATATTTTTTTGTAATTTTGAGTTTATTTATTTGACCCTAACTACCGTAAAGTACAACCGGTTCCAAAATTGGGAGACCTTTCTGAGAAGAACCGCCGAAACGTCAATAAATAAATAAAGTTCGTGCATTAACCCCTTAAAACTAGTTTTATTTAATGAGTGATGTGCGTGAAAACCTAAGAAATAAATAAGTTATTGTATAATTTACTAACATAGTTTTTAAGGCACATGGCTACTAACATTCTATGGACTAGATAACAGTCTGAAAATAAATTATTATAATTTATACTAGTGTGATGGTCCGCCTTTACGTCTGCGTGGAATATTTTTTATTTATTGGTTTTCTGTACATACGTTCGCCTGTACTCTAGCCGTGGATGTTTAATATGTATTTCTATATAATTATACATATATTATCAATATATTATGTATTCTATCCGTTACCCTAGTATCCCATAACAGAAGTCTACAGTGCTTACTTTGGGGCTAAGCTAATTGGTGTGAGTGTTGGAAATATTTATTTATTATTATTTATTTATTTATTAAAATCTTCAAACTGAAATAGTTAATAGAAAGCGTATCCTCTCTTCTATACACTACACATTATGGTTGCAATAAATTATTTGAGCAAGAGTTAGTTAAGAATTGTACATAGATCTTTTTTTTTTAATAAAAAGTGTCATAATATAGCACAAAGGTGATTTACCTTAATCCACATGAGCGAATTATAATATTCCAGATCCACTGACTCCATGTCTAATAACTCTATCTGCTTGCCGAGCATCATCTTGTAAAATGGACGGATGAAAAATGCTGCAAAAAGAAGGCGTCATCATTAGCATGAGCCCGATTAATATCCCCATTGCTGGGTCACAGTTAACTGAAGAAGAATCTAAAGGTTAGAAGAATACGTGAGCTGAGGGCTCAACGCATAGAATTTGGAGTTTCACACTTTCATACTTGTAACATTATGAAGTGAAACTTCTTTACGCACGCTTGACTGGGGGGCTAAGCTGGCGAATGCGCTACGCGTTACGAAAAGTGTGTTCGGGTGTGGCGAACGGGATTTGAGTGGGGGATATAAGCAAGAGAAAGCAGTACGCGGGCACATTTCTTTGTCTCTTTCTCTTATAGCTAGTAATTGAAATATGTATATATACATAAATGTATATATTGTACACACCCACACATTTATATACATACAGATGGAGCTAAAGAATTTTCCCTTCAGTCGTGTGGTCATAAGCACACTCTTTTTTTTTATAGGTACCATGTTGTCGATTCTGGTAGGGTTGTTTATGATGAAACTTAAATTTGACAACAGCGTATCCTTATCATTCTCTATACAGAATGAAAAGGAGAGACTGATGATAAATTTACTTTTAAGTTTAGAAAATTATGCCAATGTCGACATCAATATCTTGTTTTCTTTTACTTTCTGTAAACATCATGGAGCACCCCCACGAGAGCCCGCATACAAGAGCAAGCGCTTATGCCAAGCTTTAAGTAAATTTTACCTATACGTGAAAAATTCACGCGGAACAGGTAGCAGACGGGACTCGAACCCGCACTCTCCGCAATCTGGGCGGATGCACTGACTGTTATGGTACCGCGGCCCTCATTGTCTGTATCGAATTTTGTCTAGTATTTCTTAAGCTGCAAGGCAGCGCCATCTCTTCGCATTGTAGGTTACCCACAAGACCTTTACAAGTAAGAAAGAAGAAATAGCAATTTATAAATAATTTTTTTTTGAACATTTAACTGTTAGAACTGAAATGTTTATTTCTGAGTACGCAAAAATTAAAATATATTAACTTACCATCTAGCAGCTTCCCATGGTACACAGCCATGCCGGCGACGCGGCCGATAAACTTGAAATAGTTGAGATGTTCCTCATTACAGACACCACTGTTAGGGTTGATCTGAAGAGTGTAATTATCCATAGCGGAATACTCGAACAGGCCGTAGTAGGGGTTGAACATTTCCTTGGATAAAAGGAAGAACCACTCGCGAGCTAGCCCACCGTAGTCTGAAAAGGAATTTGAACCTTAATGCCAAAGTATTAGTGTCGTTACTCCGGGCAATAAAAGCTGTTTTACGTTACATGTAGTTTTTCACTTCTATGTTTTGTAGCGATTGTGTCCCACTTACTCGTTTACATAAATTGAGTATTTTAATATTGTCTGTAAAGTATGGCCAATGAAAAACAATACAAAATATAAACAAAGTCGATGAAAGGTCATTTGCAGGGGTTATCAAAATATTTGAAAATGACATTTTATTTATGAGGATTAATGTGGGAATCGGAACGCAACAAGTGTGTGAGCGAGACGTATGCATGAAGAAGAAGGACGGAAGATCAGTAGCGCCATGTTCTTGAACATTATTATTCAGATTCCGGATAAGGGCGTAACGAAGTACAAGTTGTAATAAATTATTAAATAAAAGAAAGTCATTTAAAAGGGATTTTTTATTTATTATCCGGTCTACATTAGTATAGGCAGTTATTCATTTTAATAGCCATAATTTTTATTTTAATATGCGAATGAAATGTAGAAAACTATCATTCATATTATCAAAACAGAAAATCACAAAAGATCAAAAAACAACCATTATTTGTTATATGAATAGTTTTGGAACGACATGAAAATATGACATTATTATTTACTGTAGGCATTTTGACAAACTCGGCGCCTCGGCGATGTCATGACATGACAAAACGAGACCTTATGTCATATATATCAGATTAAAGAGATCAGTCAGTCCTAAAGTCTCGTACAAGGTGAATGAACTTTCATATCGCTTCTCGTGGGCCGTATTTTAACTCCACCCACAGCTTGGTCTTAAGTAAATCGAGCCGCATCACTGAGCTGATGATGCGATACGAGTCTTCCGCCTCAAACTCCACCCACAGCTTGGTCTTAAGTAAATCGAGCCGCACCACCGAGCTGATGATGAGGTACGAGTCTTCCAATATTCAGACAGTAATATCTACACACCCAGACCGAATTTCGACTCTAAACTCCACCCACAGCTTGGTCTTAAGTAAATCGAACCGTACCACCAAGCTGATGATGCGGCACGAGTCTTCCAATAACGAGACAGTAAAATCTACTCACCCAGACCCACTTCCGACTCAAACTCCACCCACAGCTTGGTCTTAAGTAAATCGAGCCGCACCACCGAGCTGATGATGCGGTACGAGTCTTCCAATATTGAGTTCCGCCGCACTTTGATCTCAAACTTGTTGGGCACGTTACTCTGTAATTAAATTATTGAAATAAAAACATATTTCAATATTACAATGGTCGATTCTGGCATGATTCGCTAAAGCTAAACGTAAATTTGACAAGTGTATCCTTGTCATTCTCTGTTTAGAATTAAAAGAAGAGACTGATGGTAAATTTTGTTTTAAGATCGAAGAATAATGCTGGAATGGTGTCCCATTATAATATATTACTTTTTTAATCTCACATGTCATGTAATATTAAATTATTCTGGGAATCCTCACTTGTGATGTAAGTTGCTAATAATGGGTATCAAGTTCAAGTTTCCTTACTAAATGATATTGGTTCGTGCTAAGGGTACTTCCTGGTCGCAGTAGTTACAGAGGTGGCCGACTTGGTTAGACCCAAGATCTACTGTTTACTGTCGAAACCCTGTGCGATTAGCCAAATCTCAAATGAAACAGCTCAATTCAGTACACAATTATGTAGTATTTTGTCATTTTAATAAGAGGGAAACATAAAACTGAATCGCACTCTACCAATAGGGAAGAAAACGTAGCTCAGCGTTTTCTTCCCTATTGGTAGAGTGCGACCTTAGTAACTACTTATTTATATTACTGTGAGGATTGTGTTTGAGCATTTTCCGCTAGATTAGCAAAATCTGGTTTGTTGTTGGAAATTGCCAACCTTAAAGAATCCAAGTATGAGCATCTGTCAAGCGAAAACGGTGTTTATTTTTTGTTTATAAGTACTATCACATAAATACATTGAACCAAAACATTAATGCATGCAGTTGTTTACATCTTATAAAATTTGGATATTTCTCGTTGGAAACCAATGCCTAGAAAGCTAGACCTGATGATGACTTGGCTTTTAGAAATATGTCCCAGCGCAGAGTTATTATTACATGTGGTCCATTTGAAATGTGTCTACAAATTTTGAAGCAATTTCATAGGTATCACTATAGAAGAGAGGATAAAGAAGATGCGTGCAGCAGTTGGTGATTACGATCGATGCCAGTCTGTTCTACTTTTTTATATTTTTTGCCTTGTCACGACCGATTGGACTAATAGTCTAGGTGACTTAAGAAGTATCTCTGAAGTCATTTTTAGGGTTCCGTACCTCAAAAGGAAAAAACGGAACCCTTATAAGATCACTTTGTTGTCCGTCCGTCCGTCCGTCTGTCAAGACCGTTTTTCTCAGGAACGCGTGAAGGTGTCAAACTGAAATTCATATCTAATACTCAGGTCTACTGTCAGGAGATGTGAAAAAATCAAACTCCTAAGCCAAAGCAATCAAAAGATATAGCTGTTTATGCCGCAAATTTCCGCAAATTTTCGAATCTCGCACGGAAATGAAAACCTACAGGGTACTTCCCGTGAACTTAAAATCTTGAAATTTGGTACGAAGTAACGTCTTATAGTACAGATAAAGGAAAAATTGCGAAACCCGTACATTTTTAGTAACATCATATAATAAAAAATATTTTTGAATATTCAGGTTTGTACGGAACCCCTCGGTGCGCGAGTCCGACTCGCACTTGGCCGGTTTTTTCAACTTGAAGACTCTGTATATAACACTCTGTAATACAAGCAGGAGAAAACAGCCCTTGCTGAGTTTCTTGCCGGTCCTTCTCAGTACAAGGTCTCCCGCCGTAGTTTTGCGAACCGATGGCGTAGCTTCTTGACCTTCACAAGTGTTTGTAATCGTCTGGACTGAATAAATGATTTTCTACTTTGATTTTGATATTTGAGTCGATCAACTGGTAGGTCACCCCAGGAGGCCTACTCTAATTCCAGCGAAAAACGAAATTTCGATTGAAACTTCGCATTTTTCTTACTATGTTTCTGGTTCGTTTTTAAGTATAATAATATTTGTCGTCGAAAATAGATTGAGGTGTGGATTTTCTAAGCCTACTCAAAGAAAGCTTCAATTTGATAGTTTATCGTTCAAATTATGTATAACCTTCTATTGACGAAATTAAATTGAGTTTGAACTTTACCGATGGCGTAGCTTCTTGACCTTCACAAGTGCTTGTAACAGCCTATACTGAATAAATGATTTTTGATTTTGATTTTTGAGTCAATCGACTGGGTTGGCCACCCCTGGCCTATGGTTTAGTATTTATCACGTAATACTTACAGGTTTGCGCAGTTGGCTCTTGAGATACTCGTATTTACGCTTGTAGTCTCTAGAGTACGGGACCGCGGGGCCGGCGATCTGCGGGTTGGATAAACGCGGATCCTCCCATTGAGTCGTACGCGTGTCTGGTGGTAACGGAAAAAAATATATTTTATCCCTTTTATTCAAAGTATTGGAAGACACGAAGTTTAAGTCACAACACGTTTTGTCAATGTCGTTAATATGTAATACAGGCAACGAATTAGAAATTATATGGAAGCATTAATCTCTCTTATAAAGGCCGCTAAAACATGGGTCCAAACTTATACAGCTGAACTTCAATACACGGACACACACACGGACATAACAAAATATTTTGACAAATCAAATGTCTGCAAATGAATTCGACTATCCAACATTAGGATAATGTTAAACGGAAATACAAACCAATCCCATGGTGCTGATCGCAGGTTTTCGCTTCGCCCAGTTGATCGCAGTTTTTATGGAACCACATTTCTCACTCAACACTAGCGCAGTTCGTATTCCATATTCTTTCTAATTCGTTGAACAACGAAACAACAACTCAATACAAGACAATTTCAAGAAGAAAGGGAAGCGAACATGATAGACGATCATAAAGTAGCAGTTTCAAAACGATTAGGAAATAATAACTATCCAAACCAGGTTCTAAACACTCGAAAACTATAAAATTAACCTTAACCCAGTATACTTTCTGTAGTAAATAAAATAAAATGATAAAAAACTGTTTTACTAAATTGGAATGCTGCTTTATTCATTGAACGCCGAAGACAGAGAGAGCTAGTGTTGCCAGCACTGGCTACTTAAAAATAACAGTAAATTAAGTGACATTGCTATCAACTACTTTCTAATAACACTTTCTATAGAAAGCATCATATAACTACTATACTACTATATACTAACTATGATCAATGAAGAATATCCGTCCGTCTGTATGCACGCGCTCCTCCCACCCTTCAGGCAGGGGTCCCAATTCGTCCGCTTCCGCACCCGCTGTCATCGCCGCCGTCGGCAAACTAGACGCGCAACCTGCGATAATACGACATATTACTTTAGGAATAGAGTTTAGGTTCGCAACAAGGAAAGTCGCCGTGAGCATAATAGACGCACAACCTCCGATAATACACCTTATTACTATGTTAATACCCTTATTCATAAATGAGGAATACACTTAGACCTAGTTACGCCGTGTTTTGTTCAGATCACTCAAATGCCATTTGTCATTCAATGAATAGACACAAAACATGGAGTAACTAATCCAAGCTTAGTGTAGGATTATTAATAAGGGATCCCCCTTATTAATAATCCTACACTAAGCTGTGAACTTAAACTCTATCCAGAGTTTAAGTTCGCTACACCAGTCGGCAGTAAATATTAGCAAACAATCACACCAATAAGTCAAGCCCAAAGTAAGTACTAAAAGGCTTGTGTTATGGGATACTAGGGTAACGGATATAATACATATGCCGATACTTATGTAAGTATATTTTTTTTAGTCATACATATAAACATCCATAACTTAAGTACAAATGCTCGTATTCATCACATACAGTTATATAATTAATTTGCCGCACAGAGGTTGGAACCCGGACGAACCCCCGGACATACCACTCGACCACAGAGGTCATCATCTATACTACCTGCGATAATGCACCTTATTGCTATTTCCATAAAGTTTAGATTCGCTTCAAGCGTCGGCAGTATAAATCAATCTACTATACTACGCCGTGGCGTTTCGTTTCGCTACACAAGTCACCACCGTGGGCAAATTAACGCGAAACCTGCGATAATATGCCTTATTACTATAGGCATTGAATTAAACATTCGTCATTTATGCTACTGTTCATTAACGTTTTTTAAATTAATAATAAAACATGATGTATTTTTACTAGGACATGGTAAATTAAAACTAGGTTTTAAGCACATTAATTCAAATTCCAAAATGACCTGTCGTTTCTATAGACATGCAAATATTTTAAATTTGGGGATCCGCCCGACTTCGCACGGGAGCAATATCTAGACTAATTAGAAATTGAGATTTCGATACAAAAACACTACCCCAATTTTCCGGCGTTTCCTTTAGGATTTTTCAAAAAAATCTTTCATATAAACATAGATTAAACCCACATAAATATGGAGTAACGCACAAAAGGATAATAACTATTTTCGACTATATAAATAATAGTCTTACCTGTTCTGGGGTCTATCCAAGTCGTCGTCTTCTGATTGTGATCGATGAAGAATATTCTGCCGTTAGGCGCTTTCTGCATCGTCCAGCCGGGCGGTAAACCTACGTGAATTGAAGAAACACTAATATTACTTCTAAAGAAAATTTTACTAGAAAAAAATCCACGCAGAGGAGGCAGCAGACGGGACTCGAACCTGCACCCTGCGCTACCGGGCAGATGCACTGACTATTGCGCTACGGCGGCATTATTGGCCGAGCAGATTATTAAAAAAAAATCTAAACTAACTGATTACATTGTCAGCATTATATTTATTTCAACAGAGGTGAAAAATTATGGAAAATTTCTAAGATATGTAGGAATAAGACTATTTATTTACCATCACTGTTGGGCAGGTTTTGGCTCTGCGTGCTACTTGCACTGCTGCTTCGTGTGCTCTCGGTCGACCCGTCAGTTTCGTCCTAAAACACTCGCCATCATTAATATGCAAGCTATAATCGTCCCTACATACTTAAACCTAAAGGTGAATATCCCGTGTGCTCACTGTGCCTGTAATCCGTGTACCTCGCATGAAGTATGTGCATTCATGAGATTTGTACAAACTATTTACATTCATAAATTGCAATGAAACTTTGGTTGTTGGTTTGTTACCAAATCAATATAAAAGGGAAAGTTTTAATTAACCAGGACATTGATGCGGATTCTGGCTTAATTCCCTAGACCTAAGCCTAAATTTGACAACAGTGTATCCTTGTCATTCTCTATACAGAATAAAGAGGAGAGACTGATGTGAAACTTAAAAATAAAAAGTTTAGAAAATCATGCCAGGATCGACGCCGTTCTGTATTTAATTTTAAAACAACTTTATCTCGATGCTTTAAAGATATTTGATATATATATAACAACTATCAAATAACTCGAGCAGAAGAAAAGTGAAAATGTTTTAGTAACTTCATATAAACGAAAACAATCACAATGTAGGTATTCTAAATAGCATAAAAAATCAATCATTTATCTTTGTTCATGATCAAATCACCAAAGTTATAATAAAATTGTATAGTGTGCATTTTTAAAAACATAACTAAGTACTACTAACTGTGTCATAACTACAGAATCAGACATACAAATCATTACAATACATCACATCTAGCGATACAAATGTACAACATACAAGTGCATCTACAGTTATTTAGCATGCGAAATAAATGACAAACGCAAAGCGAGACGCACGATGCTATGTGAGAAGTACCTGTTTTAACGTTATTCAAATCAAACTATCTGTAGCATAGAGAAACGCGGACGCGCCAAGGACAGAATAGCGATATGCAGCCTTCTCCTCAATCAAAGAATTAAACCCTATTGGGTAATGTGATTTAAACATGTGTGAAGAAATTGGATGTGTATATGTCATTATCACAGATTCATGTAACAGAACTAAATATGTGCATATGGTTCAACCGCAACCGTAAGATTTCGCTATGACTATTCCCTTCCGCGTCACGTCCATGTTGCACGACGATCTGTAGACGTTTTTATATATGTTAAAATCGAAAAATTGGATATCGCAAGAACTTCTTATAATAACTACATAGCATTATTTTTAATGTGTTCTTGTTGTGACTCCGTTCGCAATATCAAATAAAATATACTCTTATAAATATTCAAAACTGAATTTTGATAGAAAATAAAATATATTACAAAACTAACCGACACTTTGTTTTTATTGACGTTTAAAACTGAACCACCAATAAGACAAAGCGTGTCGTTTATAAATTCTGGTCAATTTATAGATCTAAATTTCTAAAGGTCATATTGTGGGTGTATTCAATAGAGAATGGTTTGGAATTTTCACTGCAGTAGTGTGCGTCAGGTTCAACGGACCTTAACTAGTTTATCATAAGGTGCAAGATAGTTAAAATAATACTTTTGGTATCCTCCGATAATACACCTAAAGCATAAAATAAGCGTTTGTATGTACAAACATTATTTATTGAGTACAAGCCAAAATATAATTACTTTATTTCCATAACTTGTTTTAACTTATTATATCTGAATTCAGTTAAAATATTTTACTGAACGCAAAGATTTAATGTGTTATGTTATGTATTAAACCCACTTGTTTCATAAAAAGCTAGCTTTAGAAACATACATGGCGGCATAGACGAATAAATGAGACACGTTACATAGTTTATGACGTGTTAGTGACGTAAGTAAGCACGCGATGACATCACAGTAGCTGTTGTACCTCACACGTCTTCATAGACATCTCCCAAAGCGGTAGGTGAGCTAACTCGTACGTACGACCACCGCAGAATGTAAAAAAGGCTTTGCTACGCAACCAGAAGGTTTACTTTCGCTAAGCACAAGCTGGAAGCACTGCAGAAGCTACAGGCAGTTACTAAAACCACATCGGAGACATTGAATGTCGTATTTGAGTAAACAAGAAACCTTCACGGATGGAGTCTCAAAATATATTTGTAAATAAAAAAATAATGGTAACGGATTTTTTATAATTATCAACTTATGAGCATAATTTACCTTTAAGCATCCCCAAACCATGGGCAGGGCATCATTTTTACAAGAAACAAGCTTTCCCATGTATAAACGCGTAAAAAAGCATTCCTATCGCCTTCCTTTCCTTTCTATTATAGCATAGAAGCATAGTTCGGCAAAGTTATTTATAGACCGAACATCGAAGTATCAATAATATTTTTCGCGCACACTGCTAATTTAATAGAAGACTTTTAAAAGACGATATCTTAATGAAAACATTACGAAGAGTTTACTAGTGTTTCATTAAAATTTTAAATCTGTATAACAAAGTGCAAGCTTAGAAGTTATTAAATAAAAAAAAGGCTTCCTTCGTGCTTTCAGCTTGTGTGCGTAATAATCTGGGCCATACAGGCATGATACCAAAGCCTCGGTTACACTTCGGGCGGGCGCTTACCTCACTGTCGTCCACGGAAGCAGCGGTGGCTCGACGGGAACGGCGCGGCGTCGCAGCCCGGCTGCCACCCGACGGCGTACTGAAATGGTTCTCGTCGAATGTCAACGATTCCTCAGAATCCACTGCCGCGGCTTCCTCTCCAGATATCTGTATCTCTACTAGGTCCACGTCCGTCGCTTCTGCACTAACATCATCATTGTTAGCATTTTCACGAGTTTCCGTTTCGATTTCCGTCCGTTCGTCACTGACTTCTGTTACGTTGGCTGTTGTTCGACTATCATCAGTCAGTTCGTCTCCATTGGTCTGTGGGACTGTTTCGTTTGTTTGAGGATCGTTTTCATTGCTGTCTTCGACTGCGACGTTATCGGTCACTGCCCTATTGATAGCATCGACTACTTCGTCGCTCTTAGGGTTTTCTACAACTTCGCCTACAACGTCAGAGTTGGATGTTTCCTCTAATTCAGTTCTCCCGTTGGTCTCTTCGATATCATTAAGCGTTCGTTCTTCGTCGCCAGTTTGACTAGTACCCGCTCGATTATCACAGCTGTCTTGAGCAACATCGTCCGTTTGGACTTCTGTCGGTCGCGCTATCGCTATCTCGTTCGCGCACACGACGTCGTCTTCTTCTGCAGTTTCGCTACCTCTTAAATTATTATCACAGTCGTTTTCACTTAAACTAGTTGTCGGTCCCACCACTTCGGTTCTAGAACCGTGTTCCGGGGAGCGTATCGGTGTGGAATACGGCGTTGGCTCTGTGGAGTTACTCTCGCCGCTTCTATGGCTTACATCCTCCTGTTAGAGACACATTTCATATAGCAGACGCATATCACGCGTGCAGTTTTAGCGTATGTTAAATATTTTAATTCGTTGCACACGATCCGCTGTATTCGCAAAAAGGTCAAAACATCTTTGCGTCGTTTTTATCGCCTTCATTAGATTGGACAATATTTTAACCACACTAATTACAATACAATACAATGTTCGCAATTATAGTTTCAAGAAGAGGTTTTGATACTTTTTATGAAGGCAGCGTTTACTCTTTGCGTCGCCAGCTAATAATAGGTAGCTCTGGTGCATCACCAGTTGTCTATGACTGTGAGGACAACACAATGGATGTCTATGGTCCCGTGGAATACCGAATTCGTTAGTATTTATGTATCGCGAGAATGGTCGTCGCAGATGTGTACTCACTGTTATTAAAATGTAGAAATACCAGGAAGTGATATTTAAGAACTACCTTCAAAACATAAACCCATTATAATAGTTAAAAAGTTTTTTACCCAATATGTTTCTTCATGCACTAACTACGAGTGTTGCCATGCATAATTCATGCAATTGAAAATGGGAACATTACTGAAATCTCTTTTTAAGAAAACAACCATTGAAAGAGGAAGGGTTACATAATACTATGGCGAAAAAGAGATTTTTAAGTTAAATAAGAAAATATAAACCGATGTTTAAATACTCATCGAGTACAATTGCAGATAAATGAGTGATATTAGTGCACACAGTGTATTTTCGTCAAAGATGATTTTTGAAACTCAATTGAAAATTGTCACTCCATTGCTTACAAAACATTTTGGAAACTAAGCTACATTTCGATAGTTTGGGAGTATATAAAAAATATTCAGCAAAAAAGATTATAGGGAAACGTTACTTATTGGAATTTGAAAAAGAAATGCAGTGAGTACACACCTTATCGTGATTATTTCAACATTTATCTATGTAATGAGATGTTCATGTTAGATCGTGTATGGCGAAGCTCATGCTGACACCTTCATCGCACTGTTCTAGGAAATAAATTAAATCAACACTGAAAACTCTAAACTTTAAACTGAAGTACATAGAGTAACATTTAGTTGATCACTTCTCAGATATGATACGCAACGAACTGGCGACGAAATTTGAACTCAACCGTCTAAAGAATAGAATTTTCAGTCTGTTACAATAAGATGTTGCGCCATCTAAAAGCATGCAACTGAAGCTTTCATTAAAAGAAAAAAGAAAAAATATATCTTCAATAAACCATATTTGTTTAAAATAGTAAACTATATCCATGCATCAATATGACTAAAACTTTTAAGAAATAGGAAAAATATAATCTGAGTAAAATTACTCGTAAAATTGTTTTATACCTATTAAGCTATAGTATTATAAACCTTATATAACCGTTTAAGGGAAATGGAACTTTAAATGTTAATGAAGCAAAGGCCAAAACGAATATTTATACATCGACTACTTTCCTAGACAAATTCCTATAGAAGTAACGACTTCCTACAAGTTTAAATATGCAAGGTATTCTTTAAATAAAGTCGTCCAGTTTACCTTTGAAATACATTCTTGTTAAACCTTATTAGACATATTATTCATAGACTTATTAACAGTATTCTTCTAACAGTTTGATTGAAGTATTTATAGAGATTTCCTGTATTCTTCACGGGTAAAGGTTCGCATTGGCACTACTTGCCTGTGCAAAACCGACTGCAAAGACTTTTAACTTACTTTGTTACTTAAAGAAAATTTTAACCTCAAACAGTTAAGGTGCTCAAAGAGATTTGCTCCTTATTCCCAACGTTTTAAGATTCACATACCTGTCTGTGTGAAGCCGACGGGCTGGAGGAGTGCTCGTCGTCGGCGGAGATGTGGAACCGGCGCATGAACTCCGTGGCAGCCGTCTCCATACGCTCCGCCTGCGACTCGGTACTCATGTTACGTCTGATAGAGGAAGAAAGAAAGGGATGAATTTTTATCGACCGTAGATAATACAATTACCTATATGCATTTTTCCTTTAATGTATTCTGTTTTTTTTTATTGATTCATGAGCTTCATGACCAGCAGTACTTAAAAAGGATTAATCGATGATGCTGACGTAATCACCATCTCTACCCCCCACCCGCCCAAGTCATCAAAAATAAGCAAAGCAGAGACCTACCCCCCTATAGTGCTTACGTAATACTTGAACAGCCCCTTAGAGAGAGAAAGCTAGAGGTCTCTCATCTTCTTTCTCTTTCTATTAGAGGGACACTTCCACTTGTAGTAGAGTCTATATCTCCCCTACTCTATTCTTATACCTCTATGTGTAGGACACGGCTGAACACCGCGCGGCTCGCCTCGCCCCTTACATGAGCAAGCAAGATAGAGTGCGTAGTTACCACACGTTTCTCGCGTGCGAGTGAGGCGAGGCGGTGACGGTACAGAGTTGGGGTAATGAGCGCCTCCCCATAGAAATCCATTCAAAGAATATCAACCGAAAGAGTTGAGGCGGTGTAGCCGGCCTATTCGTAAACTTTTCTGACATTTACAGTGTGTAACTAAAGAGAAAATTGCAAATCCATCGATGCTATCAAGAACAAGAATCTTAGTGGCGTTGTAGTAAAGCAGTAGTGGGTCACAAAATAGCTTGGTGATTATCACTTTTATCCGTCTGTCAAAAGCAATTAGTGAATAGGTGCAGTTGAGGTCTGATGAGCTAATGACATTAAGAATCTAAAGCCGAAATAAAGACATTGTCTTTTCCATTGCATAATATTACAATGCTACAGGGCAATATCTTTGTCTGCGAAAAAATGTAAAGATCTTATCACAACAAATTCTTGCAAATATTTTATTTGTTTTACACAAAATCGCGTTTAATCCCTTATCACAGTGTGAACGATAAAAAATATGAGTCAAGCTGTCTATTATTTAAAATGTATTAGGTTGTATGTAATAAATTAAAACGAAAATTTGATTAATAACAAAATGTTATCTCTATTTATCATATCAAACAAACATCGTAAATAAACAGATGAGATTTGGCTCACTTGATTGATATTTATACACAAGTAGGTAATCTTCGCGTGTGTTTGTGGGTGTGTGTGTGGGTGTAGAGAAAGAAAGAGATATACGTATTGTGGTGCTTTGTACGGTGACAAGTAATTTGCTGTTTGAACACGATTTTCATTTTAAATTACAATAATTAATAAAAAAAAGATGGCGCTGCTCGATGGCGCAAGGGGTTAGCGCGTTCTGCTGCGATCGTTGAAGTTAAGTCACTTTCGCATTGGTCGGTCAATGGATGGGTGACCAAAAATTTACTATCTTGAGCTCCTCCTTGCTTCGGGAGGCACGCTAAGCCGTTGGTCCCGGCTTCATCTGCAGTCGTTAGCACCCACCAATCCGCACTGGGCCCGCGTGGTGGGTCATGGCCCAATCTCCCTATTCCATCCTTAGGGAATGCCTGTGCCCCAGCAGTGGGGATATTAATAGGCTGATGATGATGATGATGATGATGAATAAAAAAACGGGATAAAATAAATTCTAGTATTTTGTCAAACGATACAACATATCTATCATCAATATAATCAGCAGTTTTTTTTTCACCATCTCACAAAAAGAAATATTGACATAAAATGAAATAGTTATTTAACTACTTGCACTTATTTTTAATAGCAAATTCTATGTTATTTCAAATTCAAATTATATGTCTACTACACAAGTAAATAATGGCATAAATAATTTAAACTTCTTTAAAACTCAATTAAGGTGATTACAAATTGTCTCGGTAACACTTTCTTTCCGTTAATTTTATCATTAACTGATTAATTAGTCCACCTCACGTGAGTTATGAGATAAGTAGAAATTGAAAACAAAAAGAAACATCTTAATACTTACGACAGACAACATTGTAATTTCAAATTTAACGTAACGTTTTTGAGTTTATTTCTACTCACCCATCACGACACTTGTTTTTCAATAGCGTCCTGCTTAACAATTTGAACCTCATCAGATCAGTTCGAATTCAATACTGCGCTATCGAGAGTCATTATCGATAAAGGTGTACGACGATAAATCGATGGTTCATTAAACAATAGGCACAGATAGACAGAGAGAGGTATAAAGTGTGTAAATCAGTCAAACGAGACAGCAATACCTACGTCCAAAATCGTAATTAAATACCGGTTAACAACCCTGATTTCAAAACCTGTAGTCGAATACAAATACTGCTCAATACGAAGTCACCAGCTGATGTGCTGATAAATGTTAAGTGCAAGTTGATTGCAGTAGGAAAGGCAACCCACAGCTTGCTGCGTAGTGCTAACCATAACCCAACATAGTAAGTTTATAACGCTCAAATGTCCTAATCCAACTTAAAGTATGAAAATGTAAGTTTAGCAAAGCACCCATCAAATTTCAATGATACATTGCAATCCGATATTTAAGAATCTCTTATCTATTAGACAAGTCCGTCCGTCCGTCCGTGGTGCTGTTTCAGCGGCCAAACCGTAAGAGATAGATATAGAGAATGTTTAAGTTATAAGTTAAGAATAGTCTGATAAGACTACAAACCGGATGTGAGTAACGTAGCACTTCCGGTTTTCGAGAAATCACGTGATTTCTATTTCAAACGAAACCACACAAAATCTCCGAAGTTCTCAATTAATTAAATACATTTTTTTTTTTGGTGAACATTTGGTTCACTGGTTTGCTAGTAACATATTAAATCATCACTCCCACTGCAACACCTAAACGACGCTACCATTATGAAATATCCTAAATAAACATCATTTCGAAAACAAATGACCGTTTCATATATTGAACTTATCACTATTGTTGTCAAATACATCCATATTATTTTTGAATAATTTTATCGGATATCAGCGTTGTACAGTGATTGTACGCATTGTATGCTATGTGTACCTGTACACTGGCTCGCGTTATCTGATAAACATGAACACTGATCATAGAAAAAGTAAGACACTCGGTAAACGGAAATACTAAATAAGGACTCGAATTAGAACGCACTTGATGATAAGCACTGAAGTCGGTTATATGATTAATTTTATTTTATATGCCTCGGTCTTAATATATTTATGATGTGTCGATAAATGTATGTAGACTTGGCTAGATCGAGGTATTATTGATGAATACAAGGTTTAAATGCAAATGGTCGTATTTTGCTTTATGTGAAAAAAACAATGCATAAATGTTTAGTGCATACTAAACGTCTTTGTCCGAATTTGTCCGCGTGAAATTCATAATTCAGAGAAACACATTAGCAAAATATTTTTTGTCAATACTTTGTTGGTATTCAACAGTAAAGTACACAGACAACAGATCGTTGAAGTAAAGCAAATGTCGCAGTGGTCGGTCATTGGATGGGTGACCAAAAATTTACTATCTCGAGCTCCTCCGTGCTTCGGAAGGCACGTTAAGCCGTTGCACGGTGGAATATGGTAGAACAAACGCATATCAAAATTGATTTTTATTACTGATTGAAATTGGGTAATATATGAATATAATTTAATAGTTCAAAAGTCGAAGTTTAATATTCTGCAGCGTAATTCATATTTTATTTCGTAAAAGTATTTTTTTTCATGTAGCAAAGTTAAACGTTTAGGCAGCTGGGAAATATTAAGTTCTTCATTTACGTTTTTCAACGTGAAATAGTTTTAAAACTTGAAATGAAAGGTATAAGGTATTATATATTTTTGAAAAGCACATTTATCAGAGGTTAGAAATAAATACAATTGATTGTTTTTAATACGAATATAAATTTAAAAACCAATTTAAAGAAAAAATGGAGAAATTTTTTTTTTCCTCAACTTCGTCGAATCTTTTAACATTTAGAGTTGTTTACCGATGCTTTGAATTTAATGTTAAATTATAGGTTAGTTACTCATCTAAAACATATAAAAAAAAAAGCTGCGGCTTTTTGCGGTTTTCGGAGATATGTGAAAAAATCGAATACTAGTCTGGGAACGGAAATCGCTATCAAATGCGGTTTCGTGGTTTACTTTTATTATCAATAGTTTGTGGTACATTTTATGAATTAATTATTTGATATTGTTATGTAGGTTTTATCATTTCGATGTCATTTTCCGTGAGAAAATAGATATCTGAAATAATTCCCACATTCTGAAACAATATAAAAAGGGCAGTGAAAAAATATGTCTCCATTACCGTTTCAGTGGGTTTTACGTCTACGTACTCTAGTAGGTACGGTTATTTCATTATTCAACATGTCTACTTTTAACTGTACTAAACGTGAGTTAATAGTGTCTTATATAGAAGGCGGAAAAACGACCTATATCTATAGAATTTTGCAAAGAAACGCCAGAAAAAACTAAATCGGTTGTAGATGAAATAAAAAATCAAATACAAACTTTGCTTCCATCAATAATTAATATAGAAGGCGTGGGCTTGACTTGGACTCAAGCATGAACTTTTTTTGACGATGATAGACGGAAAAGTTTCACAAGTTTTAACAGATACGCCATCTAGTTCCACATGTACAATATGCGGAGTAACTCCTAGACAAATGAATGATTTAACGAAAGTAATAGCTAGGCCTGAAAATGAAAATGCTTATCAATACGGATTATCCACATTACATGCCTGGATTCGTTGCATGGAAATGATATTACACATATCATATAATCTATCTTTCCAAATGTGGTCTGCTACAAGCGGCTGCTGCTGCTAAAAAATTTCGCTTACACCATGCTCGGAAACGAAGATGTGTTTAATACACTACTTTACACTTCAGATCCATATATAACGAGCATAAGAAAACCATATGCAAAAAATGTAAAGGAGCTCGATGAAGATACTTTACACCTTCTCAAGGTTAATGAACTTATTTCAGATCCTGAAGCTCACCGGGTGTAAGATGTCAATCTTGCTGAGCAAAAAAAAAGAAATATATATTGCGATAATTTTGATTTGTTTCTGTATGTTAGCGTAGTGTTAAAAATATATTACCATTTTTAATTTTATATTATCAATATAATATGATAGTTATCTTAATAGAGTAATTAGCATTAAGAAATAGACGTACAATATGTTTCTAAAAAATATTTCAATAAATAAATAATACTAATAATACTGTTTTGAATCATTTTGTGACTTTTCTTTTTTAATTAAAAAAAATACGCATAATTCCAATTCATCAAACATTACTTATATGAATCCTTATGTATCACTTTATATTATAGCAAAATTTTATAAGTCTATCTTTCAAATTGACGGAGTTACAGATTTTTAATCCGAAACACACCGAAATATTCCACAGTGCGTTGGTTCAGGCCCGCGTGGTGGGTCATGGCCCAATCTCCCTATTCCATCTACAGGGAAGGCCTGTGCCGCAGCAGTGGGGACAGTAATAGGCTGATGATGATGATGATTCAACAGTAATTTTTTTACACATTTTGTGATATTTAAAACCTTAAGAAACGTATCTACATGTTTGTAATTTTTAAGAATTGCACAATAAAAAAAAGTATAAATCAATATCTTAGTAGTACTGGCATCAAAAACATAAATGTAAAATAGGAGGCCAGATCAATATTATTATACTAGCTGACCCAGCGAACTACGTATCGCCATAAAAATATGGCTGGTAGTGGTAGAGGGGTGAAAATTAAGGGTTGTTTGTGTTTTTAATATTACGATACATATTTAACGTAGTTTTTTGTTCTTCAGACGATTTAATAATTATTTTGAACACAAAATCGGTTATTGTGATTAAACCATGATAGCTAGATATATGTTCTCGCGGACTTTTTCGTAGGTCTTAATGGGATCTACAATTTCTACAAACCCGTTTTTGTTCTATTGTCAATAGTTTTTGCAGCGCACGCAAAAATAGGTTTTAGATTTTACACCTTGTGTTACAAAATAGCAATTTTATTACGGATCCCTAATTTTGAAAAAAAACATATAGCCTTCCTCGATAAATGGACTACCCAACACTGAAAGAATCATTCAAAACGGACCAGTAGTTCCAGAGATTAGCGCGTTCAAACAAACAAACAAACTCTGCAACTTTAAAATATTAGTATAGATATGCCTTGGTTGTTGACTACAACGGCAAAATAAGTGAGATCTAAATGGGTGCCAAGTTCAATCACAACAAAATAACATGAAATAATATAAGGTATAACAACACACATATTTTAGACTTCAACATCGTCCGTATTATTTTTCATCGATAAATAAATAAACGTAGTGAGAAACAACCGGTTAACGCATTCGTTCTGCGATCTTGGAAGTTATACAACTTTCTCAATGGCCGGTCATAGGATTATCCCGAGCTCCTTCATGCTTAGAAAGGCACGTTAAGCCGTTACACCAGGCTGTATTTAGTCTCTAATCTCCTTATTGCATCCATAGACAAGGCTATTGCCCCAGCAGTAGGGATATTAATAGACTGACAATGAATGACTCACGTAAAGTTTGGCCGCTCCCACTGCGTGGATCGCTCGATGTGGTTGACGTCGTAGGTGGGGCCTTTGGCATCCTGGCGGTAAAGAATCACCGCCTATAGTCTCCAATATCCTTATTCCATCCATAGGCAAGGCTATTGCTCCAGCAGTGGGGACATTAATAGGCTGACAATGATTGACTTGCGTAAAGTTCGGCCGCTCCCACTGCGTGCATCGCTCGATGGGGTTGACTTAGTAGGTGGGGCCTTTGGCATTCTGGCGGTAAAGAATCACCGCCTATAGTCTCCAATATCCTTATTCCATCCATAGCCAAGGCTATTGCCCCAGCAGTGGGGACATTAATAGGCTGACAATGATTGGCTCACGTAAAGTTCGGCCGCTCCCACTGCGTGGATCGCTCGATGTGGTTAACGTAGGAGGTGGGGTCTTTGGCATCCTGGCGGTAAAGAATCACTGCCTATAATCTCCGATCTCCTTATTCCATCCATAGCCAAGGCTATTGCTCCAGCAGTGGGGACATTAATAGGCTGACAATGATCGACTCGCGCAAAGTTCGGCCGCTCCCACTGCGTGGATCGCTCGATGTGGTTGACGTAGTGGGTGGGGTCTTTGACCTCCAGACGGTAAAGGATCACCGCCTATAATCTCCAATCTCCTTATTCCATCGATAGGCAAGGCTATTGCCCCAGCAGTGGGGACATTAATAGGCTGACAATGATTGACTCTCCCACTGCGTGGATCGCTCGATGTGGTTGACGTAGTAGGTGGAGCCTCTGGCATCCTGACGGTAAAGAATCACCGCCTATAGTCTCCAATCTCTTTATTCCATCCATAGGCAAGGCTATTGCATCAGCAGTGGTGACATTAATAGGCTGACAATGAATGACTCGCGTAAAGTTCGGCCGCTCCCACTGCGTGGATCGCTCGATGTGGTTGACGTAGGTGGGGTCTTTGGCATCCTGACGGTAAAGAATCACCGCCTATAGTCTCCAATCTCCTTATTCCATCCATAGCCAAGGCTATTGCTCCAGCAGTGGGGACAAAAATAGGCTGACAATGATCGACTCGCGTAAAGTTCGGCCGCTCCCACTGCGTGGATCGCTCGATGTGGTTGACGTAGGTGGGGTCTTTGACCTCCAAACGGTAAAGGATCACCGCCTATAATCTCCAATCTCCTTATTCCATCGATAGGCAAGGCTATTGCCCCAGCAGTGGGGACATTAATAGGCTGACAATGATTGACTCTCCCACTGCGTGGATCGCTCGATGTGGTTGACGTAGTAGGTGGGGCCTCTGGCATCCTGGCGGTAAAGAATCACCGCCTATAGTCTCCAATCTCTTTATTCCATCCATAGGCAAGGCTATTGCATCAGCAGTGGTGACATTAATAGGCTGACAATGAATGACTCACGTAAAGTTCGGCCGCTCCCACTGCGTGGATCGCTCGATGTGGTTGACGTAGGTGGGGTCTTTGGCATCCTGACGGTAAAGAATCACCGCCTATAGTCTCCAATCTCCTTATTCCATCCATAGCCAAGGCTATTGCTCCAGCAGTGGTGACATTAATAGGCTGACAATGAATGACTCACGTAAAGTTCGGCCGCTTTCACTGCGTGGATCGCTCGATGTGGTTGACGTAGGTGGGGTCTTTGGCATCCTGACGGTAAAGAATCACCGCCTATAGTCTCCAATCTCCTTATTCCCTCCATAGCCAAGGCTATTGCATCAGCAGTGGTGACATTAATAGGCTGACAATGAATGACTCACGTAAAGTTCGGCCGCTCCCACTGCGTGGATCGCTCGATGTGGTTGACGTAGTGGGTGGGGTCTTTGACCTCCAGACGGGAAAGGATCACCGCCTATAATCTCCAATCTCCTTATTCCATCGATAGGCAAGGCTATTGCCCCAGCAGTGGGGACATTAATAGGCTGACAATGATTGACTCTCCCACTGCGTGGATCGCTCGATGTGGTTGACGTAGTAGGTGGGGGTTTAGCATCCTGGCGGTAAAGAATCACCGCCTATAGTCTCCAATCTCTTTATTCCATCCATAGGCAAGGCTATTGCATCAGCAGTGGTGACATTAATAGACTGACAATGAATGACTCACTTAAAGTTCGGCCGCTCCCACTGCGTGGATCGCTCGATGTGGTTGACGTAGGTGGGGTCTTTGGCATCCTGACGGTAAAGAATCTCCGCCTATAGTCTCCAATCTCCTTATTCCATCCATAGCCAAGGCTATTGCTCCAGCAGTGGGGACAAAAATAGGCTGACAATGAATGACTCACGTAAAGTTCGGCCGCTCCCACTGCGTGGATCGCTCGATGTGGTTGACGTAGTAGGTGCGGCCGTTGGCGTCCTGGCGCTCCTCCCAGCCCGGCGGTAAAGGATCACCGCCGATAGTCTGCACCAAAATAATAGTAAATTAAGTAATTAATTATTATCTATCCAACAATTACTTTTCATGCATGACATGCAAACAATCCAACTCGCCCAGGTTGGACTGGCTAGACTCGAACCAGTGTCTTTTAGCAATAGAGTTTAAGAATTCGCTGTCGCCTTATGTCTATATCGTTTTTTTATGCCACGCATGATGCACCCACTGGGCGTTTTCACCCATTTTTATCTATTCCGTAGAGCCCTTGCAAATTAAGCGATCATGTCGCTCTGGCCGCTAAATGTGCGGATGTTCTTGGAAGAATGTTTAATATTCACTATATTTTAAGTACTTTGGAATCACTCGTCTTTATTGCTCTTTCTTACTTTCTCATTCACTCTCTTTCCCTTCTCCTATCGGCCTAACACATAATAACTTGATATTGTATGTGTATAGACCATTCCTTCTGGATTAGACAACGAAAATTTTCACTTGCTAAGTTAAACACACTTATCGAGAGATTTGATGGTTAAATACGAGTACGCAGGAATTGAAGGACAAAGGTAACTAGCCGATTATATAGTTAAGCACGGCATAGCGATTTCCATCATAGAACATTATAAACAAAAAAAATATTTAAAAAAATCAGTGCATCTATACCGTTAAAACTTGTTTTATTTAATGAGTGGAGTGTGTGAAAACCTAAGAAACAATAATTATTATGAACAAAGACATGCAATTAAGCACCTTGTGAGTTTATCTTACATCAGAAATACGTTATTAAAAACAGTAGATACAGTATATTCACGTCTAAGAAACAATAAATTTTGTTCCTATAAACTTTAGGTTGTTAGTAATTCATATTGGCAAAACATATTTACTAAACATTTCCATTAACAATAATAGGAAAGAACGCATTTTCCAATTATATTTCTTAGATATAGAACTTTTGTTTATAAGATGCAGAAATAATTTTTTGCCCTTTTCAAGTTTTGCTATTTACTTCGATTTTCACTGCATTATAATCAACAAAACCCATTGCCCCAAAAAGTTTGTATTACTAGTTGGCTACTGAAACGAACGCTTCTGCCTCATTTTGTTCAAGCAACACAAGCGGAAGCTATGGAAATAATAAAAATGCAGGAGACGTACAACGTGCGCGACTTCGGATGGGTCGATCAGCTCCCACTCCCCGGAAGGCGCGCCGCCCGAGCCCTAACACACAAGCACACTATACTATACTCTACTGGAAACAATACCCTTAGCACGAACCAATATCGAATTCTAATAGTTTGCGAGAGCGGAATGTCAATGTGAAATTTTGTATGAAAACTTGAACAGAAGCCACAACGGACGTAACGAGAACTGAAAATCAGTACACATTTGACAATGACATTTCGGACTCGCAAAATATTCGAATTTGATAATAGTTTGTGCTAAGGGTACTGATTTAGCGAAAGTACCTATACTACGTGACCTACTTTTTACAATTTTGGTGACCACCCGTAGTATATGCCATGACCCCTGCCCCTCTAGTTTTCACATAGCAATTCATAAATATATTTTTGCAAACAAAGTAAAATTACAAATGATTTTGCCTCATATTTGCCTTTATGAATATGACGCTTGCCGCCAAAAAGCGATCGGCTACTTCATTGATTAATAGGCTGTTGGAAGGCTTGTGTTACTAATTAATAATATAATGTTCCAAGGAATAGACTAACATGTAAAAAAATATTAAAATACATGCCTAAAAATGGAAAGTAGTAAACGTCGTTAGTAGCTGTTTAAAAACAAATTACTCAATAGATCATAATAGATTAACTAAGTATAACATTTAAAGCAGCATTTTCAACGGGTAACTTAGGTTGACATGTTAAAAATACTAAAAGACAGAGCGCACTCGCATTAAATTAAAAATTCTATAAAAAGAGATGAAAATTTGCAATACCTATACGAACTATGGACCTCCCGCAACGGTATTAAATACCCTAGATACAACAACACGAACAAAATCGTGGGCGCAACGTAGCCAAAAGGTACATTGTACGATCCACGGAGCTCCGTAAAAGTGAAAGTCACCTTTAATGCATACTATATAAGGTCTTAATTAAAACGCATGTGTCAAAGACTTTTGACAGTTCGAAATGCAAGCTTGTAAAATTTTACGACTTATTGCTATATGCGAAAGAATATCGACCTTATCCTTTTGACTCTAAGCGCAGTTCTGAATGCGCTTTTAGCAATATAGCAGTTATAGTATATAGTAAGTATTAGAACAACATTTGCTTCAAATTTTTATTTTATTTATTTATTTATTGCACAAAACAGAGTTAGAGCAAGCAAAATGGTAAATGACACTTAGAAAAACAATTGATAAAAAAATACTGAACTCCACTAGCATGTGCAAACAGCAAGCTTAAACAAGTACACAGCAACCATACATTAAAATATCAAAATTTTAATAATTACATTAACATAGAATTCATTAATAACAATTTAAATGAGATTAAGACATGCACAATTCATTAATCAAATTAGAAATATAAAATTAAATTAATTATAAATAAAGACATTATTAAATTAAATTAAATAAAAAACACGTGAATTTCATAGATATTGTTAAACAATTGTAATAATGTAATAATTTTTTCACATTGCTTTTCCAACTGTTGAGCGATTGACCGCAGATGTCAGGTACTCCGTCCAATCCACACAGTAAATCATTATATTCCCGGCACATTCTATAAGTAGGATTATGTGAGGAAACATTATTATTACAAATGGGTATAGAGAAAAGACACTCTCGTCTCACAGATCTAATTGGAACCTTGATATAAAAATCGTTTAAAAGAGTTGTCGACATAGAGCCGTTAATGATCTTATGTAGGCAAGTGAGATCTTGAACCTTGCGTCGGTTTTCGAGAGTCTTCAATCCAAAGAAGCGCAAACGTTCATTATAATTAGTTAATTTACTTTTATAGCCAAATCGCTGTGTCAACGTACTAAGAAAGCGCCATTGAACTGATTCAAGCAAGTCAATATATTTATTATATTGCGGTGACCAATCTACCGAAGCATTATCTAGTTGGTTGAGCACTAGTGATTTATATAATAAAAGCAAGCTGTTTAAATGCGTTTAATTAACAAACACTGATTAACCAGTCGAAAAAACGACACTTCGCACTATAAGTATTTATTTCGCAATTTTACACGGAGCTCTGTGGCATCTTGACTTTGTAACGGTCCGCGCGTGACAGTGAACCATGAAGTGCTTGAGTGGTATTCAAGCACTCCTTAATTGGGACAGATTTTGAGCGCCCGTGGTGTATCTAGAGTATTTAATATCGTTGTTACTTACATAAAAAAAGGTACTACTTAAATAACAAAGTTAATTTTTAGATTTTCGTAGTGTAATTCTTAAATATTAAGACTGTCTGTAATCTCACATTGGTCAATCGGAAATATTGAGATTCGGTTTTTAAAGTTATAAATCAATAACTATATCACAACGCTAGATCACAAAATTTTGGCATTTTAATATTGTCGTATTATTTCATAAATAAATGCACTTCCACAAATATCAAACACTATAGTAAAGTCCGTGAAGTCAAAGCAATATAAACCTAAAGAGAATTGGATGAAGGCTTAAATTTGCAAAATGGCTTGAAAGATTGCAACTATTGTACATTTTACGTATACTCTCCGTACGTCTGACTCAAGAGAAAGGGCATCGGTCAACTATGTTTAGTGCAGTAATTGTATTCATAAATGACAGTGCAAACTGAATGAGACTGGACACGGCAAACCTGTTTATATAATAGCGCCATTATAATTAATACTTTTTTGCTTGCATGCATACATTTCTATAACTAACTAGCGAAATTGGCAGATGATGTCTTGGCCAATAAAAATATAAAATTAAATTCTAAAACCTGACTGCAGCGCCACTAAATTATTATAGAGCACTAATTAAAAAAAAAAAAATCGCGCTGCACGAACTGTCTATAATGCTGCTATATCTCTTCTAGCAAGTCTTAACCACCTTCTCCTGAATATCTTTTGGCACATAAATAAACAATTTCTCCGGTGTAGTAATTGCTGTAATATCACTACACATGGGCACTGCACAGCAATTGTTTTAACTTTGTGTTCATTTTGATTGATTGTATTCACTTTTTTTTTAAACACTATAATTCGACAAGTGCATAAGAATTAGCGATGTTACGGTCTTTAATTTTGACAAACCGGATTTGATCGGTTAGCAATACATGCAAATCGGTTTTCGAACCGAACCGCCAAATTTTCAGTAAACCGCGATTTGAACCGTTTGACGAGTTGACGAATGAAACTTACGAAACAACAGGTGTTACATTTTTTTATTCTACATATTTTGTTGATATTACAACGTGCAAATATTTAAAGGTAATTGAAAAATCAGAATTAAAAATGTCAAAATAAAAAAATATAAATTAAAACAGATATCTATGTAATACCGAGTTTAAAAAAATACTAAAAAATATATATAAACTCTATTTAGGAATAATATTTGGCTAGGCGATTAGGCGAATACGTCGCATATAACATAATAATCAAATCAAATCAAACTTAAAATAAATCCGAGATTTCAAAAAGTAACCTATGTCTCAATCCGGATCATAAACTATTTGTGTACCAAATAATATCCGTATCAGGAGCTCTACTCTCTTTCTCCGAAACGAAATTTCGGCAACGAACGAATTTTAAACGAAATTTCGCCAATGACTCTACTCTATATCGTCTTCGAACACGCACATAAAGTTCGGAATCACAGACAATTATCGTGAACGAATGGAATGAGTTATGTTTGTGAGTTCTTTTTGTCTACACTTTTTAGATATTTTTTTTTTACTTCAAAACACTATTTACTTTAAGACTAAATTTTTGATTACATTAAAATAACCTCTTTTGACAGAGTTAGCCGACTAATTTGTAGAGTTGATGCAATCGAATGTATGTCAACCTAAATTTGTCGTGTAACACTGTGAAGTATTGCCAATACAATAATAAACAAAAAAAAATATTATTTGTAAATTTTTCATGCTAAAAAATGTTCCTCACGCTAAGGAGCCTTAATTAAAAATAATAGTAGTAATTTTAGGATTAATTTAAACAAAAATCCCAAGACGAAAAGGTAACACTTTTCATTTTGTCAATTTGAGGTTAAAACGAACAATTATCTGACAAATTCAACTTTTAGTTAAAAAGTTTTGTGAATTAGAGTAGGCTTGGATAATTTAAATGTCAAACTATTTTCGGACGAACGAATTTTCGAAATGAAATAAAAACAGAGTAAGGAACGTACCAAATTTCGTTCCAAATTTCGTTTTCGTTGAAATAAGTAGGCCTGTTCAGTAGTTTTTACGTGAAAGAATAACAAACCTCCATACAAACTTTCGCATTATTAGGAACGATTACTTCATCATCAGCCTATTAATGTCCCCACTGCTGGGGCACAGACCTTCCCTATGGATGGAGTAGGGAGATTGGGCCCTGACCCGGGCCCAGTGCGGATTGATGAGTGCTAGCTAACAACTGCAGTTGCAGCCGGGACCAACGGCTTAACGTGCCTTCCGAAGCACGGAGGAGCTCGAGATAGTAAATTTTTGGTCACCCATCCAATAACTTACCACTGCGAAAGTTGCTTAACTTCAACGATCGCAGATAATTCAACGAAACACATAAAAAAATCTTTGTTTCTAAAACATGTTTATCTACACACGCAGTCTACTACTCACGTGGCTGTCGTACTCGAAATACATAGGGCTGCGTTCCAAACCTACGATCCAGGTGAAATAATTTTATTGTCAAATTTGACCAAAGTTTCATACATTTTATTGCAAAATTGAAATGTCAGAGTGAAAAGTTGTACTCGAAGCGTAGGTTTGGAACGCAGCCCCCGCTATCGAGTTGTCGAAACATGGCTATACCAAACTATACCATGCCTGTTTCATGCATGTTTTTGTATATAAATATACATGTGGGTGATTCTCAGTTAAGAGGTATGTTCGACGGCTAAGCCAAAAAAATCATTATATTTGGAAATTATGGTCTAAAATCTTAATAATTTCAATTAACTAAATGTGTTCTAAATTGTCACTTAAAATTATATTCTAAATGTGCATAATTTACTTACAATAACAGCACAAAGAGGAAAAACATCTCTCCCTCGGTTGTCCCCTAACCATTTTTTTTGTAAATCAGTAATTTTGAGTCCATTGAAATTTAATTATTACTTTTCTATCGGTAATAACATGAACCCTGATAACTTAGTTACAGTATGTAACCATGAAATTCATTTATTCGTGGGAGAGCCACGCAGTAGCTTAGGCTACTGCATGAATGGGCCGGCTCGACCGGAGGAATACCACGACCTCACAGAATACCGGCGTGAAGCAGTACTTTGTACTGTGTTTCGCCGAGTGAGTGAGGCTACCGGAGGCCCAAACCCCCCCCCCCCCCCCCTTTTCCTCATGCTTGCTTGCATGCTTCAAATTGATGGCATTCATTGTTATGCAGATGACAGCACGGGTGATGCCCTATATACCGGCCGCGCCAATATTTCACGGGAAAACGTCATCGAGTGCCGGAACAATTTGTGTCTGAAGTCGAAACTTTGTTAAACCGAGTAACGAATTGGGGCCGACTTAATTTAATCCAATTTAACCCTACGAAGACACAAGTATGCGCGTTCAACGCAAAAAAAATACCATTTGTCGTATCTCCTCTTTTTGAGAACACTGCTCTTACTGCCTCAGCTAGTATTAGAATTCTTGGCGTTGACATATCGAGCGACGTCCAGTTTCGGGATCATTTAGAGGGCAAGGCCAAATTGGCCTCTAAGAAGCTTGGTGTGCTCAATAGATCGAGAATGTACTTCACACCGGCCCACCGACTGCAGCTTTATAAGGCACAGGTTCGGCCTCACATGGAGTATTGCTCTCATCTTTGGGCGGGGGCACCCCAGTACCAGCTTCTCCCTTTGGATCGCATCCAGCGCCGAGCGGCTCGAATCGTCGACGACCAGGACCTTTCCGATCAGCTTGATCCTTTGGCTTTGCGTAGGGATGTAGCTTCGCTCTGCATCTTCTATCGCATTTATCACGGGGAGTGTTCTGAGGAATTGTTCGGATTAATTCCAGCTGCTGCATTTCGCCATCGTACATCGCGACAAAATTTCATCCCCATCATCTTGACGCGTGGCTATCCACAACCGTGCGTTTTTGTCGAAATTTTTTACCACGTACGACAAAACTGTGGAATATGTTGTCGCCAGCAGTGTTTCCGGACCGATACGACCCAAAAACCTTCAAACAAAGAGCGTACTTCTTCCTTAAAGGCCGGGATCGCATTTGTGATATTCCTGGTGTTGCAAGTGTCCATGGGCGACGGTGATCACTTACCATCAGGTGAGCCGTCTGCTCGTATCCATATAACATAAAAAAAAATATATATTTGCACTTTTTATAAAAAATATTAATCGCAAACTGTGGTTGCTTTCCAATTACAGCATTATTGCGCATTATGCGGCATAATGCTTAACGTTGAGTGTTCCAACTACAGCAACGCTTCGCACATTTGAGCACTCTCAAAAGTGATGCTTGCGTGTGATGCGTGCAATGGTACCAACTTAGAGAAAGAAAATTAACATGTGTTTTTTCTTTAAGTTGGCATTGATCGAAATGTTTTATTTATATGTTATCGTTAGTAATATTATTTATTGTTGAAAAATTATTAAAGCTTTCGTTTCATTAAATAGTTTTTTTAAATAATCAAAGTTCATTCAAACTGTTAAAAAATAAATATAAGTATAGATGAAGGTACAAACATTGACTTTTTTTCAACACTGAACTTAGCGCACTCTGCTGGTGCATTTGAAAACTAATTCACGTTCCAATTAAGCATCAGCATAATTGGGCATTGTGCGGCACTGAGTCGCATTATGCTCTGTAATTGGAAAGCATACTGTGTCCTCCGAGTTTCTTGTCTTGTGTGTCGAGGTTTAGTTTGAAAATCTTATTTGTTTACCATAGTCTGTGGTAGTTTTGACCTTGAAGACACCGAGTGTCACGTGAAGTTAGCAGCAAGCGCTGCACAAGCCATCCGCGCGGCAATTTTTTTGGCCATTTGCGCAACGGTGCTCGATGAGTGCAGCCGTGTTGAGTGATCGAAGTATTTACCCTGGTAATTTTTTTTCGTATTTATGTGTTTAAATACTACAATATCTATATACATTTATTTTAAATAGTGCTGCAAACCTTTAATTTATTTGCAATCTTTGTAAAATTAGTAGTTTTACGGCAATTTTAGATTTTTAAAGAAAATGTCTCTCCCCTGCCATGGTTCCCCTGGCTGTTATGGTGCCAGGCTACTAACAAAACTATAAAAACGATGCAATAGCTCAATAACAGTAATGATAATTTATTAGAGAATGTAAAATTGTATATTATTTTAGATAATTGTTTAGCCTTATATCGTTATTCCACTAAAATCGATTGCATGGATAAGTACTTTACATCCTAATATGCGCTCTAAGCGCATTGCAATAAAGTTCATCTTGTCTCTACCCTGTACTCAGTATCTCCTTTGGTGTCTCGTAAAAAGAGAATAAATTAAAAAAATGACTGATCATCTTAAAATCATATTAAAATCATCTGTCTTGATAAAAGTAGTGGTATAGTTATATAAATATCGACACTTTTTGCTGTGCCACTGCTTCCATAGAACCGATTACCTCTTAACTGAGAATCACCCATGTATCAATATGTTTTCTATCCGTTACCGTTCCATCAGATATAACGATATTAAATACCCTAGATACACCAAGTGCGCTCAAAATGTGTCGACAGGTATCTAACCAATGTTTGTTAATTTAACGCATTTGAAGTAAATTTTGTTGTAATACTTACAATATTAATTTTAGTTTTATCGTTAATTTCGTTATATTGAAGAATTATATATATTCGTTTTCTATTGTGGATAATTTCGTAAATTTCATTATTCATATCCTGTTTTAGTTTGTCTTTCTTTTTCTTTTTTAATTAAAATTCGAGTTCGTACTCTCTCTTAAGCATGATGTGACTACCTTCAATAGAATTATGCATTTTGTATGTATCACTGTTATGTCTACATATAAGATTTAATGTAACTTTCTCTGGTGGTCGTAATAAATAAATAAATAAACATTTAAAAAAACGGATTTAATAAACAATATTTGCGAAATTCCAATGCATGGTTGGTAATATAGCAGTCTCTTTCCCTCGCGGTCCGTACCTGCCATATTGCTAGCAGCGCATTCAGAATTGCGCGAAGAGTCAAACGAATAAGGTTTATATTCTTTCGCATATAGCAATAACTCATAAAATTTTACGATATTGCATTTCGAACTGTCATAACTCTTTGACGCAAGCGTTTAAATGAAGACCTTATACAGTATGCATTAAAGATGACTTTCAATGTTTAAATAATGCCGTATATTGATTTTGACTAGGCGATCATCTTACGGAGCTCAGTGGATCGTCTAATGTACCTTTTGGACAGGTTTCGGGCACGATTTTGTTCGTGTTGGTGTATCTAGGGTATTTAAAATCGTTGATCAGATAACACAAGCCTACAGTGCTTACTTTGGGGCTAGGCTAATTGGTGTGAGTGTTGGAAATATTTATTATTTTTGTGTCTTGATTATACGCCTGTAACCCTAGCACAGAGATCCCTATTAATCCTATGCCATCAATAAGTAAGACCTATGCGCCAGCAGTGAGGACATTGATAAGCTAACATAATGATAATGTTATACTCACAGGTTGTACAGTGCCGGTCTGCGTCGTAGGTTCCACAATCTCCCAGTCTTCGTGAGGCGCCGGTTCTTCAGTACCGGGCTCTCCCACTCTTCCCACTAGCGCGTGGTACACTTCTATGTACCCACGTACTCGGGAACGGGCGCTGGAAATGTTATCGACATTCATATAGGACAATCTAATGATACATACCCAAATATCTAATGACAAATATACAAGAATTTGGCTTTTAAATTTGTTCAATATTACAGACTATTGGCAAGGGATTTTTATGAAACAAATCAACACATTTGCCAAAACATTTTAAATTAATCAATAATAAAATACAAGATTATGTTCATAGGATGTAGATTCGATGATAAACATTTTTGGCATTTAAATACAACTGAGGGTGTGTAAATATTGTCTTGAGCTATTTTGTTAATATGTCGCATAAAATTCCGTTACCGTGCCATGTGTCAGTGAGCGTCGACCTTTATTGTCTCTCTATGGTACACAGCACTGCCTAGTTTTAAGTTAGACTATTGACCAATAATTTATTGATATAAAAGACTAACATCTTTTTCTATAGGGAAAACTTCCGAATACCCACTTCGATGGTGGGATCTAGTAAAGAGTATGAGATTCACACTTTCGAGCAACAGATGGCGTTATTTTTACTAATAACAGCACCTGCTTCTATGCTGGAGTACAAGTAAAGGTAAAATTTCAAGAGCCGGCTAATTTTACCGGGCATATATCGAAAGTAACAGTTTTAACGGATCTAGAAGAGTCAGAAATTATTGACTCCTACTAATATTATAAATGTGAAAGTTTGTATGTCTGTTTGTTCCTTAATGACGCAAAAACTACTCAACGGATTAAAATGAAATTTGATACGCATATAGTTTATGACCTGGATTAAGAAACATGATACTTTTTATCCCGGAATTTTTTTAGGTTCCTGTGGGATTCTCAAAAAAACTAAATTTGACGCGATCGAAGCCGCAGGCGGTCGCTACTGCACTCTTGATGAATGAGGGTTTTCTGGAATGTTGGGCACCAGGTGGCAGTTATGAGACTCATCCGTCAAATCGCATATGTTCTCATAGTCTATGGATCTGGTCTATGGAGTTCGCACCAAAAACTTCATACAAAAGATCTCACATCACAGTGGCGTCAACTGGTGACGTAAATTTTCATAAACACCCTTATTGCGTTGCACTCTTGATGAATTGCGTTGCTCGTATCAACTAAAATCTATTTTATCTTTATAGTCACTAAATGACGCATTCATGTTATAATTAAACCGGAATAAACCAAACCCAAATATCAAAGCAGCGAATAATGGAATAACATGCACCTTTCAATAAGAACGCGGTTAAACAAATGTATGATTAGCACCTATTTTCCGGTCACCGTGACTCCTGCACTATTTATATTGATTGATAACCCAAAATATTTAGAGTTCGAGTCCTAACCTTGTATATAAACAAACAATATAACTAACTATAATAACAATAATACCATCAATGCATGCGACAAATATAAGTATAATATCGATATAAGTATAAAATAACCATGTTCCAGCTTAGAAGGTGTTCCCACTTCTAAATAACTAACCTCGAGACATTTTTAAAAATTCTGCTTAACAATAAAAGTAGGTATAACTAAAGACGTTAATTATTATGTCCCTCTCGCACATGCTACCCTAGGCAACGTGCGAAGAGGGACAAAATGTCTTGCTTCGGCATTTGCGGTTTCATTCTTTAATGACACGAGTTATACCATCAATGCATGCTACGACAGATATACATCGATAGAAGTATAAAAACGCAAACTCAACATGCATTAAAAAACTAATCAAGTAGATACAATGAAGAAAAGACTAAAACAGAACAATACAATACAGCCAGGATAAAATGTTGACAACTTCGATAAAAATAGACAATATAGTTATTGCAGACTGACACGAAACCAAATCTGCTGCTTGAGCCTGGTTTTAAAGTAATAGCATGGACGTCGACGACTCAACACGCTGTCTCTGTACATTGACTTGTTTCAATGCACATTGAATGAATTCACACGGGCCGCTTATTGTATACTATCATAAAAATGTTTATTTTGTCTGATTTTGTTTTCATGTTTATGTTTTTTATTTTTTAGTTTTGTATAATAATTGGCTGTATTGTAACTGCTCTATTGTATTAGGTTATACCTGTAATGATAGATGTAAGGGATTATAAAATAAATTAATTAATAAATATAATTGACAAATATACAATTATTTAATACTAGCTTAAGATAAAAAAAATATATTTGATTTATTAAATTGCTAGTATTGACATTTTGTTTACTTGCTCAATTTTATTGATAATAATAATAATATTTATTTGTTCTCTTCTCACACACTGAAATTTACAAAAAACTATAGGTAATTTATACAAATACAGTCGGTTAAGCATCAGACATCATTAAGTATTTCAAAAGCTGCGTATTTGAAGTGTGAGAAGCTGGTGCCTGAAGTAGGCATTAAAGGCCTGTAGTACAGGTCGCCAGGCTCCCACCCCAGAGAAATTATCCTACATTGACATATATTGTAACATAACTTATAGCTTATAAATATTACCCATATTATTATTCTACTTCTTCCTCAATAATTTAGCGATCACTTAGTTTAGTGCTATTTGTCTATTAAACCTAAGTTATTTATACATTACTGTTGAGTTACAAAGAGGGACTCCGTGCTGTCATAATTCATGGCACTCAACCATTCGTGCACCTTTACTTTGCATTCGTAAGTATTACATGTGTATATTTCTAGTCTTCTATCTATGCTGTTGTATAAATATATTGTAATGCATTTATGTGTAACAAAAAGCCACCCAAAAAACAAGAATACCTTTTCGTAAAAGCTTTTCTAACTGCATAAGTCGGAAAAACACTCCTGCTCCTTCGTCTATCACCAACGATACTACTACCTGCCTCATATGCAATTGCAGAGTGTTGTTTTAGCGCAGTCTCCAAAATAAAAAAGTTGACGAACTGTTAAGACTTGCCAGTGGCTATAAAGAAGCTCGGTGGAGTATCTAAAGGGGAAGAATCCGCATACTTTTAAAATAGCCCTTTGCGCAACCTCTATTTGCTTTAGGGTACCCTTTGCAACCCCTCCCCAAGAAGTGATGCAATATGTGAGTAGGCTTCTTGCAAGTGCAAAATAAATACGTTTTAATGCTTCCTTATCCAACACATATCGCAAATTTTTAAAAATGTAAATAAGATTACGCAACCTGGCGGACATCAATTGCAGATGATTTTTGAATGACAAATTACTGTCTATCGTTACACCAAGATATTTTATGTTTGAGACATGTTCTATTGATTTATTACATGAGCATTTAATTTCTTCAAAATTGTTGCATTCATGTGAAATTATAGCTCTAGCGGGTCTCTCTTCTAATGGCAATTTACGCATGGAAAACTTGACATATTTCGTTTTATCGGTGTTAAGGGTTAACAAGTTAGTTTTTAACCAGCTATTAATTAAGTTGAATCCCTGTTGGGCAGCATCCTGAGTCAATTCCCAGGTGGAAGCAGAAAAGAGAAGACATGTGTCGTCTGCGTAAGATATAATACGGGCAAATGGAATCTGCAAGGAAGACAGGTTATTAATATATACCAAAAAAAGTGTAGGACCCAGAATACTGCCCTATTATATTGATATTTGATTATTGAATTGACAGTATGACAGTTTTTGCCCAATTTATTGACATTTGATTATTGTATTAACAGTATTGACATTTTGATTTATGTAATTTGAATCTCAGAATAATAATAAAGAATATAATTAATAATTAATATGTATGCCGATATTGTCACGGCATGTTATGTACTCATCTTATTATCCCTGAGCATCTTTCTTACGCGTGTTGTTACACACTTTCGTTCTAATATCCATAATAACAGTACCTACTCTAGTATCAGAACGATGAAAGTAATAGTTCAATATTTATACAATTAAATAAACGTCTTATAATTCGGATGTCAAAAAGCTACTTTTTTAGTTATTCGTTTGCATCATTCAAAAGTACATTGCTATCTTGAATCAATATTAGCACGTTGATAAGTCTCGTATACCTTTATCAAGTGATCTTCATTCAAATTTAATGAACATTTAATGGTCATTCACATTGATCAAAAATTTTATTTAAACTTTTAAACCTAACTACTTATTTTACTAAATAAACTACTGCTATAAAACATTTTCAAGTGTACACAGAGGATTTTTTTTTTGTTAATAAATACTACATCATAATCATACTGAATTAATTAACATCAAACACTTGTGTCAAGCATAAAATAAAATTTTTAGCTACAAATTGGGATAAACGTAAGCCAACTGTAAGCCACAACTAAGATAATCATACATTTCAACTCAAGATTTAAGAATATCAATTTTTGGACTCCTCAGGTAACTTTCTTGGGACCAAAATACTTCTTTCAAGCAGGTTAAAGAAAAGTAGATCTATTTTATATGTATTCCTCACCCAACAACTATTAGGTAGTGCCAATCATTATAGCAACTATCTATAATAATAAATAACTAATTCTAGATTTATTAATATCTTGAAATTTAAAATTCACAATCTAGAAACAGTAGCTTTATCGATGAAAAAAAAGTTCTCACATACCACTAATGCAAAGCCACACTGTGTCAAATGAAATAAAAGGTCCACGGCATGCTTAGCCTATTACTTACACAGACCTGCGCGGGCGCAACGAGTACTTAATGACGTTGGGGCGAGTGTTAGCCGCAGTCTCCGAAGGAACACTGGATAATGGCACCTCCACCATGCCGAGGAAATCGTCCCGGGTGAGGCGGTTCTCGTCAAAAACTTGGATGAGCAGTTTGTGCTCTTGAGGGCGGACCTGGTGGAATAAAGAAAATCTAAAAATTAACTTTGTTATTTAAGTAGTACATTTTTTATGTAAGCATCGTTGTTAAGTTAAATACCCTAGATACACCATGGCGCTCAAAATGTGTCCCAATCAAGGAGAGCTTGAACACCACTCAAGCACTTCTTCATTCACAGTCACGCGCGGACCGTTGAAAAGTCAAGTTGCCGCAGAGATCCGTGAAATAATGCGAAAAAAATACTTATAGTTACATACTGTAATGTCGTTTTTTCAACAGGTATCTATTCAATGTTTGTTAATTTAACGTATTTGTAGCAAGTTTAGTTCTAATTTTTACTATAAACTGATTTAATAGAAAATATGTGATATTCAAATGCATGGTCGGTAACATAGCCGTCGCATTTCCTCGAGGTCCGTACCTGCCATATTGCTAAGAGCAGATTCAGAAATGTACGTAAAATCAAAGAAATAAGGTCTTACTTATTCCGCATATAGCAATAAGTCGTAAAATTTTACGAGCTTGCATTTCGAACTGTCATAACTTTTGTCGTATGCGTGGTAATTAAGACCTTATACAGTATGCATTAAAGGTTACTTTCAATGTTTAAATAATGCCTAATATCGTTTTTGACTATGCGATCATCTTAAAGAGCTCCGTGGATCGTCCAATGTACCTTTTGGACAGGTTTCGGGCACACTTTTGTTCGTGTTGGTGTATATAGGGTATTTAATATCTTTGGTGAGTAAGCGTAACCGCACATTAGGCTACTAGTCGCGGTTTCATGGTAGGCGGTGGTCTCCTTCTGCGAGGATTTCATCTCGCAGCAGAAGGGCGAGGGGGAAGAGAGGCAGGCACGCACTGGCACATCTTCTGCCACCCTAACAAAGGAGATAGCCCGCACAGGGGCAAGGGGGGAACTGGATCACGTAAAGACCCTGGGATGGTCAGTACTTCGAGTGCTGAACACCGTTCAGCGGTCCTTTTCAGGACCAGGGTAGGAGCATCACCCCACAGTGAGTGTGATCATTACGATTGGCGGTAGATGCACAAAAGGCCATTCTTAGGGCCAAGGTACATGAAGGGGGCGAGAGAGGGACGGAGAGAACTACGCTATCCCTCCCACTCCTGTGAGAGCCGCGGGTCTGCCCTGGAGGGGGACCGATCCGCATTGCACAAGCTCTCTTGATGCTGATGCCCCTGATACTCCAGGGCATCTTCATCGGGGTGGGTCCGTTCGCGGACAATCAGACCTTGCGGGTGCGCGGACAGTCGGCAACGGTTGCCGCGACCACACCCGCACTCCCGGCGTGCATTGGGGGAACTGCGGTCCACAGAATGTACGCCAGGTGACCGGTGCAGGAGTATTGTCTGGTTCTTAGTGGCCCTATTCAGGGCGTTAGGTAGGACCCTGCTTATTTCAACCGGCCTAAAGGCTGGCTGAAATGAGCAGAAAGGAATCCCACATACCTTCCTCTCGCTCCCTCGATGGTCGAAGGATGCGCAAGGCATTTCCCAGACAAAAAAAGGCTACTAGTCGCGGTCAGAAGCTGCGGACGAGTTTTTCCATTCCAGATTTGGTATAGTATCGGCATACACCGAGCCATCAAAAGCCTTCAAACTTCATAGTCAGTTGAAAGAAGGCTTTTGGTGGCTCGGCCTGTGGCCGCCTGTACTGTACTGATTACAAAGCTAAGGAAGCTATTATGTACTGTATTTTGAATCTCACATAATTTAAGAAGCTACTAATCATCCACTCCGTACTACCGCTTAACGCAGCACATGCCCTTATACCACAATTAAACCAAAATAATAATAAAAAACTGGCCAAGCGCGAGTCCGGTCTCGATCTATTAGGGTCCCGTACAATCATACAAGTAGAAGCTTTATTTACGGGAGTGAATGTATAGCGAGAAATGCTATTACGTTAGAATTTAAATACTCAGGCAGAGCAGCAAAATAAAGAAAAAGAGAAGGGTTTTCTGGGGAACCGTACCTCAAATGGAAAAAGAACGGAACCCTTATAGGATCACTTTGTTGTCCTTCTGTCTGTCTGTTAAGATCTATTATCTCAGGAACTCCTGAAGGTATAAGGTTACAGGCCCTTTAAGCTATGAAAAAATCAAACTTCTAAGTTAAAGGGGGGAAAGAACGACCGTTTCTGTTGCCTACAAATTTGTACGGAACCCTCGGTGGGTAAGTCAAACTCGCACTTGTCCGGGTTTTTAATACCATATTTGTAACATTATACAGTTAGTAACATTATAATACATATTCCTACTTACCCTGAATACAAACTCCTGATTCCATACTGGATTCAATGTCTGAAATCACAACAAAGAAGATAAAATAAAATCGCTTCCATTGGATGCCTATTACATACAATAGTCAGCAGGCGTCAACAAATTTGTTATTTGATTGTTACTATCAGAACAAAAAATACAACGAGCCACCGACACAGACATAGCTTTAGTTTCTTCAACGAATAATGAACATCAATCAATTAAATGCCAAATAGAGAAAACTAAAATCGACAATGTAATTGGACTTCTATTACGTAAGTATTATGGGTCGAAATTAACATTGAGACTTACTGAGATATGTTCAAATATGTATGTATTGCTTACCTTTTTCTTGGTTTTAGTGAGGAAAGTTTCGATCGTGACGTCACCGTCGACCTTTTGAAGCTCCACTCGGACATAGGGATCGCTGGAAAGGTACATGAATCGTTATACATTAGTACAATCCTGCTAATTACTATATGTCCATGACCATGAAAGATTAAAACAATATGAGTAGCTGGCGAACTAAACGGTATAATTACGCATCTGTTCAAACTACTTTTTTTACAGTCCGGAGGTTTTGGGCCCGATGAATTTGAATCCAAAATAATTTTCAATCAAAACCGACATAAAACAGTGTTGAAAAAACTAAATTGATAAATTAAAAACCATGCCAAAAGCTCTATGGAGGTATGTCATTAAGTTTTATACAGCTCCTGTAAAATTTAAGTTTATGTAATTACTAGCTGATCCAGCGAACTTGGTACCGCCATAAAAATAGGGGCAGGTGGTAGAAGAGAAAATTTAGGGTTGTATGTACATTCCTCCTAACCCATATGGGAACACTACGTTACAATACCCAATAGTTTGAATGTGGCGCGAAGGCGGATTGTAGGTTTCAGAACACTACGTTACAGGTGGACAACCATTATCACTTAAGGATATGAAAAATAGATAGTAGCCGATTCTCAGACCCACGGAATAATATGCATATAAAATTTCATAAAAATCGCTCAGACCGTTTCGGAGGAGTATGGTAACTAACATTGTGACACGAGAATTTTATATATAAGATAAGACACCGTTTTGTTCGCCAGCTCCACATATATCGTTATACATATTAGTTAGATGACATCAGGTTCAGGGTTATATTACAGAGGTATAGTTATGATATAAGGAACTTTAAAGAGAAGTAGGACATAACGGATTTTTTTTTATCTCTATATCCATGATTCAGAAGTCCATGAATGAAGGCTTTGGTCCCGGCTGCATCTGCGGTCGTTAACCCCAACCAATACGCAATGTTCTCCCTATTCCTTCAAAAGGGAAGACTTGTGCCTCAATAGTCGGGATATTAATAAGCTAATGATGATGATGAAGATTATAGTTATAGAGAGAGAAATGAAAATGCAGTATATCCTATACTGAATTTTCAGTTGAAATCGAAGCGGCTTGGCCACCTCAGAAAATTGCAACAGATTACATTTTTTTTTTTTATAATGTTCCTTTATTAGATAACAGAGCAACACAGGGTTACAAAATAAGAGTTCTTTTCCAGATGTACATTCGGACGTGATTTCAATCCTCTGTTTTAAACGAAGACCTTGTACACGTGTATTTTATTTAATTGAGTTCTTAATTTTGTTATTATGTGATTATATTACTATAGCGAAATTCAAGCTGGCAAGGTGGTGGAGTCTGACTCATGCATCTACTTATCTCGAGAATTGACTCCATTAAACACTTAACTTAATCGGGTGCTCTAATTTGTGTAGAAAATTCGCTCCGTCTATGCGTCTCTCTTATTTTTTTTATTCAAAGCTGACGAAGTCGAGCTCCACTGAATTTATCAATTAAGCCAATTAAATTAATGAGGATCCGTAACGATTTTAGTTGGGAATGCAGATTTATAGAACTAAGGATTCCATAAAATACAGTGGTTAAATTTTTGTTCTACGACAAATATTGACGAAGTTATGACTAAATTACTCTCAGATTACAGAACAAAAGGCAGATGGAGCGCACGGAACACGCAAAGCGTGTCGCCACAACGGATATGAAATCAAAAGCGAATATCAATTCGCGTTAGTACGATTCAAAGCGCCGCGTTGACCGTACGTTCCGTAAATTCTTAGTTCTTATCAAAACAATGCCGTCCTGTGTCTTCAAACACTGTAGGAACACTTCTCAGAAACACAAAAAAAGTTGGTGGAATATGATTTCATAAGTATGCACACTTTATTTGCCCTTATTTTTAGTATTAATTTTACGGCTAATTCGGAACATAAAACTCCGAGAGAAGACGAACGGTGTTCTTAGTTTACACTGAAATTATTTCCCTAAAACAGTGGTAAATACATGGGGAATAGGAAGATTGTTTTTATTTTTATTCGACTGAGGCAAATTCAAAGTAATAAGTAACTTCTATTTGTTACATCATAGTTTTATATTACAGGTTTTTATGTATATTTAAAACGGAACCATTTTGCTGTCACTATCGTCAAAGATATATTCCACTTAAGAGTTGTTGGTCTGTCTGTCCGTATGTCACGAGTCTGTAGATCGTAAACGGAATGAGTTACATATCTGAAATTTTAGTAATTTATGATAAGTTAAAAATTAAATTAAAATTATTTTTCATGCGTGGCGTGGTCCCATACATACAATAACAAAATACTACATAAAATTTATATATTTCATACAACAAACGTGATATCAAGAAATTGGTGCAAAATAAAGATGACCAACACGTTATTATGTTATATGTATTATTATTAAGAGTTAAATCCAATAAACTTACTTTTAAAATTCTATATTCCTTATAAATTACCTATTTTCTATTATAATGGCAGGACAGGAGTAGGACATCTGATTTTGTCATAAAAATTGTACCTCAAGCTTAATATTTGACAAATAAGAATTAAACTATCTCCAGTATATTAATGCAAAAGAATTTAATAAAATTTTTGGGAAAAAGTAAAAAAAATCATACATTTGAAATCCGTTTTTTATTTTTATCATCTAATAGCAGGTAGAGGAAATAAAAAAACAAAACGATATTTGTCAAAGTAAATCCCTAATTGAAATAAAAACGCGGGTGTATTCTTGGACCCTGGCAACATTACACGCACACTATATTAATTTAAGGGTAGGTACGTATTCGTACAGCGTTGTCGCGCACACAAAGCTAGTTGCGAGCCTCACTTTGCTTGTACCGTGCGCCCCATCTGGCTTTTGTTCTGTAATCTGAGAAATTACTAAACGAATTTTCGGCTGGCCTCGTGGTGGCTGTGACGTCACAGAGCTCTAGCGCTCGGCGCGAGTGCTGAGCGCACTTATGATGTTCAAAAGGAGTAAACCACGATCGAGCTCTGTGACGTCACACGTTTCGCTCGCCGGTGAATATTGGCTACCAAAAAATAGTTATAAAATCGCAACGAATGAACCGATTTCGATGATTTAAAAAGTATATTAATTAAAAAGCTTTTTAGGTCATTATATTGTTGATTTTGAGTTGATTTGCTGACATAGTAATGATCCTCATTAACAACGAAATTTTACACAGCAAAATACAATAATACTGATTAAACAATATGGATGGGCTTCCCAAACTTCTCTTCGAATTCGTACGATCTTGAAATGTCTGTAGTCAATATTTATTTAATTTTTATGTATGAGCATTTTCCAGATGTTGTAGCCGTCTATGACTATTATTTAACCTTAGGTAGTTGTTCGTTTGCCACCGTTTTCAAATGCAAATAACTAGTATACAGCTCTCAATGAAAGAAGCACACTCTTAAGTGGAATATGTCTTTGTATTACTAACATAGGAAAAAGTATAAATTTTTAATAAGAAGACCGTATGATGAACGAAAACCGAGAGCTAGAAACTAAAAAAACGAGCGAGCCTTACAGTACTCGCGTATGATGTGTAACATTTAAAACCTCACCTTATAAAAGTAAAAAAAAGAAATACAACCTACTAAAAAAGGAATAAGCCATTTGAACATTATGTTCTGAAATCAAATCTAATAGCGCGCGCTTTCGCGATTTCCTGTTACACACTTCCGACCCATTTCACGAAATCACTACCACAAATTGCAGGAAAGCGAGAGGAAAGATGTTACACATCAAAAACAAGAAACAGGTTAACGACCAGCAGAAAGCGAGTGTGTAATTCCGATAGTTTTATCGCTGAGCTAATAAGCATGCTATAAGAGAGTGTGCGAGTACGACGGGCGATTTCTCGCGCCACTCGCTCGCGGCTGCAGTCCTGAGCAAAAATGAAAGCGCACATAACCGACCGCAAAGCGTTCATCGCTGAGCTAGTATTATATTTGATAGCTCGCATAGCTCAGCGTCAGCGACTAACTAGTGAAGCGTGTTCTCGCCGAGCAATGTAAAGTCAGCGATAAACTATTAACATATGCATCTCTTTTGTTTACACGCAATTTATATATATTGTGCGTTTCTTGAGTTTGAAAATCACCGAAAGTTAATCGCTTGATCGCCGGCCTTTGAACAACACCTTACAATTCCTGTAATTCGAAGATTAACAGGATAATAAATCAGCTGATACGTAGAAAAAAATAGGATAAAGACTAAGGTAAAGTCCCTGAAATTACATTTCATACCTACATTATTAAGAAAACATTAACATAAGTATAAATCAACCTCTTTGGATGTGTATTGTTCAGTGTAACTTTGCGTAGGTACACTTAAAATTACGATAATGACATGAAAAAAGTTATGTCATTCTATAATTTCAATACGTTTCATCATCAGCCTATTAATATTATCACTGCTGCTGGGGCACAGGCCTTCCCTATGGACGGAATAGGGAGATTGGGCCATGAACAGTGCGGTTTGGCGGGTGCTAACGACTGCAGATGCAGCCGGGACCAACGGCTTAACGTGCCTTCCGAAGCACGGAGGAACTCGAGATAGAAGATTCCATTTGCTGTGCCCTGTTCAGGGTCTTTAATGATTAAAACAATGCACCTACTAAGATCTAAGAAAAGATTGTAGAAGGCAATAAAGTATGGATTGATTGATTTTTGGTCACCCATCCAATGACTGCGAAAGTTGCTTAACTTCAACGATCACGGCCGAACGCGCAACCCACCTGCGTCATCGAGCTTCTCAATAAGTTTAATTCAATTTAATTCTCTATTTTCATTAAATAAAAGTTTGCAATGCCAAAAAAACGCTAAATTACCAAAGTCCCGCTATTAAAAAGTAAAGTTTTCACTTTTCGTACTAACGTCACAAAAATACCGCATGACACAAATAATGAATGACTACTACGTCCTCTAGTTCATTGTTTGAATATATTTTTAAGGCACCATAACAAAACAACACAGAGCGATCTGAGTCATTTCTGCATTTAAAAATAAATAAATTGATACCTATGTCGAATCACATTTAAAAATGGTATGCTATTAATTTTTTTTCGAATAACGTCCCTTTTTAGGGTTCCGTAGCCAAATGGCAATAAACGGAACCCTTATAGATTCGTCATGTCTGTCTCTCTGTCTGTCTGTCCGTATGTCACAGACACTTTTTTCCGAAACTAGAACTATACTGTTGAAACTTGGTAAGTAGATGTACTCTGTGAACCACATCGAGATTTTCACACAAAAATAGAAAAAAGAACTATAAATTTTGGGGGTTCCCTATAGGTACTATAATATATAGATATATATACGAACCGATGGCGTAGCGTTTGACTTTCACAAGAGCTTGTAACAGCCTAGACTGAATAAATGAGTTTGAGTTTAAAATATAACTGAAACTCAAAAAAATTTTTTTCGTCAAAGCCATCCGTGTGGGGCATCTATGGATGGGTCTTAAAAATGATATTGAGGTTGCTGATATATTTTTTTTCTAAATGTTTACGCGAGAGACACATGCAAAAATTAGTGAAAGAGTACAAACGGTCTATGATCGCCCTTCTAACCTTTTTCTGTGTTCTATGGGGAAAATGCATGACGCATACCTCGCCGCCGGGTGATCGGCGAGGTCATGTAGGACTCTTCTCAGAGGATTCAACGGACGAGCCTACAGAGGCCTACCCACAAAAACCCTACGGCGCACCCTCGACTGGGAGTGGTACCCGAGAAATCGTTCCCACGGTGGGGGTTCTAAATGGTAATGAACAAAATATATAACATCGGTTTCATTTTTTTAAGTTGAGGGTGTATAATTATTACAATAAGCTTTAGACTATCCAGCAACAGCAATTATGACGTTTGTTAAGATTACAAGAGTAACCTACTAATATCTTTTCCCCGAGGGATAGGGAAATGGCGCAGGTGGACCACAGTAAAATAACACTGCCTTTTGGTGTTGTGTTTCTGGTGGTGTTGTGGGTAAGGTTCCAGTGCCCCACGGGGTAGAGGATTGGGTTCAGGTCGGCACGGTGAGGATGGCTGGAGCGGCACACCTTGTGCCGCATCAGGTGGGGTGGGGTAAGGTGTTGCGCCTCGTATAAAGGTGGTTAGCGAGTTCGATACGCAATCGTGGATTATTTGCAATCGCTTGTCATCGATTGAGTGGGTGGTTCGGAAAGCACCTTAATCCGTTTTTCCCTGCAGTCCTTAGTACTTAGTACACCTACCAGTATGTACTGGGCTCGCGAGGTGGGTCATAACCAATTTTTCCGTACGCCATCCATAAGGAAGGTCTGTGTAACGGCAATAGGGATATTAATAGGGTGATGATGATGATCCTATCCTTGATAAAAATAGACTTGTCATATTCAACTTTTTTTCCATTCCATCCCTAGTCGGCATGACGAAGTTAACAAAATACATAATATGTCTACTTTCGTTACCTATGTCGTGATCGTCCTAGTCGGCCAAGCTTAACTTACATCGTTTTAATTCCCTAAGTAGGCCAAAACGCAGTTCAAGCAAGATAATATTGGATGTTGATTTGAAGAGTACCCCCTCAGCTACCGAATTTTATGTTTTTTACCATTCAGAATGCCACAGGAATCATCAGCCCACAACTGCGCTACGCAAAACAAAACCAAACCATTCTGTAGGAATTTCAAACTTCCCACGCTCCTGATTAAATGTTTGTTCTGCATGCAGCAAAAAGTGATAGGTCGATAGGAAAATGCCGTACGCGAGCATTTGTTATTATTCCGTAGTCTACATAAATAGTTTCTGATTGTACTTATTTATACCACTTGGAACCTATTTATACCACGATATCCCTACTGGTATTTAAATACCTGTATCCTGCCATGCCTGACATATGGATGCGAAGCTTGGTCTCTAACAAAACAACACCGAGATAAGCTTGAATACTGTCAAAGAGCTATGGAGAGGAGTATGTTAGGAATAACAAAGAAAGATAGATGGAAAAACGAAGACCTCAGACGGAAGACCAAAAAAACTGACATCCTGACTCGAATAGACCAACAAAAATGGAGATGGACAGGCCACATGATAACCAATCAGTAAAATGGAGTAAAATTGTTACCAACTGGTACCCCAAAGATGGAAAAAGAAGCAGGGGACGGCAAGTTGCTAGATGGGCAGACGAGATTAAACAGACGGTGGGAGTTTACTGGAGAAGAATAGCCCTAAACAGATCACAGTGGCGAAGATTGGAAGCAGCATTTCTCCAAAGATTCGAGCATCGGCTGGACATCCTGCAGAGGCTGGGGGAGGCCTTGTGTCACTGACACGCTACGTTTACCACTAAAGAAAAAAAAAACAAATTTTGTAAACTGGTAGCTTTAATAAAGGCCAGAATCCAGCCAGACGTGTAACTTAACAAGATACTGGGTAAGGCGTAACTAAAAGCTGACGTCATGTTAACCAAACAAACAAACTTAATGCAGAATTCATAATTACCTAACCATTCTAAAAGCTATCATGAGCGACCCATATAGAAATAGCTATGAGCACGTCATGAGTAAGCAAAAAAGAAAATTGATAAGTCTGGCTTTATAATTTAATCTAACGATTCGATTATCGCTCTGATTATCTTATTTTTTATCGAAGGCCTAGAAATAACGCCTGCATTAAGTATAGAAATACCCGATGATAGTTAATGCGGCAAAAAACATTTTCTTTTGTGTGTATATGCGCTGTTGGTCGCAGATGACCTTAACAGCGTGACCGGGTTTGCTGGCGGCGAGTTCCTAAAGGGACCGAGAATCGGCAAGTGCCCCTAGAGATAATTCAGGCGGATGGCATCTCCCCTCAGAGGGAGTCTTCTCTCCGTCTGACACCACTCGAGCGGGGTCGGTTCAACTACAGGGCGTCTCTTGGACTCGGACCTCTCAATCAAAAATAAAAAAGCTACTTTTCCGACCAACACCACCAACCAACATAGCTATCGGCAGGGAATATATCTCCAAACCATACTACCAAGTTATTTACATACAGTGCGGTTTCAAAAAAGCTTCGTACAGATCACAATAGGATTGTCGAATGAACCTGATACGGCTATCCCTAGGGACTAGACTTTAGTCCTAGATGAACAGACAACGGCCCGCGGGCCATCTCAGGCCAGCGACCATCAAACAAAAATCAAAGGTACTGGCCAAAAAGTACAAATTTGCTATCAAATACTTATTTACTTGGCAACAAACTTAGAGGCGTTATTTATACTGCTGCTGAGCTGCAGGCTGCGTGAGGCGCATACTGAGCTATATTTTGATTTGATTTACTAATTCGGGGGGGGGGGGGGGGGGGGGAAATAGAATCTGATAGTAAATATTAGCACAATGAGAGAAAAGTTTGCCCATTTCTGGACTAGACTATGATGTTCTTCAAACTGTTTACATGGTCGTCGACGCGTGAATGACTACCTAGTTAAAAACCTACTTCCAAACCATAGAAATCAAGCCCTCACTTTTGTTACATCATTATCATTAAGCTTATCTATGCTCACAATACTGGCACACAGGCCTTCCCTATAAACCTGGGGAGAATGAACTTTTAACTCAAAAACATGGACCCTGTGGAAATTGGTATCTAACTCTTTAATGTGCCTTCTGAACCGATAGCATAATAAAACTGAGAACATATTTTTTGTGTATTTAATAGGAGATGAGATGCATGCTTATGTACTGTGTAGTATATTAAATATAGTTCATACTATCTAATGGACAAATAATATGTAACAGAAAATGTTTGCACATAATGAAACAATGTTATAACAAATATCCTAAAATAATAGGAATTGTGTGGAAATTTCTTTCTAAACACTTACCTAGCACCAAATATATCCTTTTTCGCCAATGAGTAAGCCCCTATTATCCTCAAACGAAGTAGGTAGCTGTTTTCATCAGTCTGAAATAAAAGGGAAGTCTTTAGTAACTCTTTAAGTTTCAATAAAGGTTTATTGATAATAAATAACCTTTATAATATTTAATTATATGTAAATAAATAAAAATAAGCATGAACAATTCTAGCTACCACAGTCTCTCACTTGATTATGAATCTCATATCATGCAATGTAAAGCTAAATTTGATTTGAATATTTTTTAGTTTTAGAAAGCTGGACCTTGCAGAACCTTAATTATGTAACTTTTACTACTTCATGTTTAGAAAGAAGATAGCTTTTTATGATATCACTCCTTCAATCAATCCTTGAATTATATTTGGCGGGTCTAATGGAAAGATTAAAAGTAAGAATACAACCCTCTCTTATTGACAGTACAGACAAGAAATTTTCATACATTTCAATAATAATACCAAAAACAATAAAATAGGTATTACTTCTCTATACAATCCCATACTCAAAATCACATAGAAACTTATATATAATAAAGAATTTCATAATGATAAAATAAGGAAGATGTAAAGGTAAATTAAACGAAATTCTATTTAGTTCGTCAGTATCATTATAAAAAAAAAATTTTTTCTTTTGTCAATAACACAGAAAAATTGCAAGGATAAAGCATATAAAAGTTTGTGGGTGGTGCAGCTCATGAATTCTTGCTAAAAAAAAGATACTTCAACAAATCAGAGAATTCCATTTTAAGTATTTTACAGAAAAATTAATATCTTATAAAATATAATACATTCTTTTAGGGGATCTTCTAATATATCAAAGCAACACTGAACTTTATTCAAACTATGCAAAATTGTTAAAAAGGTGTAAACATTGTATACAAATTCCACATACTATTTTCCTTATTATCATTGCTACAAGAGTGGTTTAGTATCAAAACTATATTGGCATATATAAACACCACTTCATTCCAACCAGAATAAGAATTTCCCAGGTTGTTTACCAATATAAAAAAAGTCCAATCAATGAGGGAGTTGGGTAAAAGAAAGGAATAAAAAACACTTACAACACTCCACACATAAAAAATGTGGTATGAAAACTTAAAAACAAAATAAACATTATTTTTATTCCCTTAGCCCTCATTTGTTTATATCAATACTGTGATCAGAAATTCTGTTGATGACATGTCAATAAGTTTGCATTCAATTTACAAGTGATATTGACTAGTGATATTCAGACACAATATAACCTCTTACTAAATAAGATCATTTAACCATACATCTGTGTAAACATAAATAAAAATGTTGCATAGATAAAATAGGAATTTGACTAAACTTTAATTTAGTCTTTGAGGGGAGAGCATTATGATGTTTTTAATTTAAGTGTATAAATATTAAATATATTGGTTAAATTAATTATTAAAGGTCTGCAATTAACCACAACAAATAAATTATTCATCAACTATATTTACATCTAAGAGTAAGGTAATGGTGGGTATTCAAATACCTATACCAAAATAAAAAAGTTATCAAGGTGAATATTCAGTTAACGAAATGCAATAAATATTAAATTCCACTAATTCAAAAACTTTACACTAGGTAGTTAGAAACTATTTCAGAGTAATTTCAAAGTAAAATTACAGTCTTTATCCTTGAACTTAGCAGTCTTTTGTGCTAACCTTAAATTATAATCACCTACCATTTACTTGAAAATAATAATTAAATATGACAATAATCAGTAAGAATTGTATGTTATAATTACATGTTTGCTGTTCATGCATACACATTAGAGTTAAGTATGTGAGGCTTCGTAGTAGTTTTTTAATACAGAGCTCTTTGAAATGTTAATCAAATGGCAAGGACATGTTTACACAAATTTAGATTGAACTGGATTTATCTTTTGACAATTGTTCATACTTACACGTGTGTCCGATTGCCAAGCCATCACCCATGAGAAAATGTAACGTTTTTCTTATGAAATGAGAAACAATTCACATTCCTTTTTGCAGCCAATGGATGGAACAAATAGTTGTAAAGAATCGTGACACGTTTCTCAGGCGCTTTAGTTCGGCGCACCTTTAAGAGATGTCCTGAACTAATAACATTAGAAATGTTTATTTAGTTGTAACATATGAAAGCTAATCACATAACGTAAATTTGTCCAATTTTTGTAACACAATTGTGAAAATACACAAATAAAAAACGAAAATAGTACTAAGAAGATTATTCACATCAATGACATTCGGATGACAGGTGGTGGACATTACTCATATTTTTATTTTTTAATACGTTTCGTTTCACGTTGTGGAATATTCGGGTATATTTAAACTTTTATGTTGGTTGTGTCTATAATTTCCTACATTATTTGTCTGCTGCAAACTTCGTTTAAGGCAAAGGTAAATATTATTAATTTATATTGTTATAAACTTTCATGGTCACTAACATTATAGCTATTAACGGGATTGTTACCATGTACCTTGTTTTTATGAGTCTCCGATATTTCGGCACTGTTACAAGCGCCATGATCACGGAGTAACTAAATTAATTGCGGGTAGATGTTATTAGCAGACATATCGGTCTACCCTCTAAAATTCTTTTGCCGCGCTCGATACCCCTACCATTGGTCACATTCTCACTATTCACTCACACCTGTTCCCGACACACAATACTCTACACTTCACAATTTAAACCCATCCTCACGATATAATTTTTTGTGTTTGGTTATTTCAATCGCTTCTCTGACCAATCTTGGTATGTAGTGGCGTTCTGTCAAGATGATTTGTGGATTATGGAGCGTCAGAGGATAGACCGATGTCTGCCAATAACATCTACCCACAATTACTTCAGTTACTCCGTGATCATGGCGCTTGCAACAGTGCCGAAGTATCGGAGACTCATAAAAAAGAAACAAAATTATTTATAATAAGGCTTAATCCTGTTAAACCACAGCATTCCATATTTGTCAATCGGCTTATGTCTAATAGAGATAGAAAGAGGCCTTCTACCACCAGGCGCGGTCGCAGCGTGAAACTTTGGAGGGGGTCACTAACTGCACTAAAAAAAAATACCGGCCAAGTGCGAGTCAGACTCGCGCACCGAGGGTTCCGTACAAACCTGAATTTTCAAAAATATTTTTTATTATATGATGTCACTAAAAATTTACGGTTTTCGCTAAAAATTTTTCCTTTATGTGTACTATAAGACGTTACTTCGTACCATCAAGATTCACGGGAAGTACCCTGTAGGTTTTAATTCCCGTGCGAGTTTGCGAAAATTTACCTAAATTTGCGGCATAAACGGCTGTATCTTTTGATTACTTTGGCTTAGGAGTTTGATTTTTTCACAGCTCCAAGGGACAGTAGACCTGAGTATTAGATATGAATTTCAGTTTGATACCTCCACGCGTTCCGGAGGAAAACGGTTTTGACAGACGGACGGACGGACGGACAACAAAGTGATCCTATAAGGGTTCCGTTTTTTCCTTTTGAGGTACGGAACCCTAAATATAGGTATCTGGAATAAAATAAACATTATTGCACAAGACACAATTTTATTTTATACATTACCTACTTATAAAATAAATGGAAGTCGTCTTTTGTATTTTCGAATCGGGTGATAACATTTGAGACGTCTGGTACTATTTCCGGGTGAATGTTTAGAATTGCTAAATCTGTTAATCGCTCTTCTAACATGATAGCTCTCAACCACGTTTTTAACTAAGTAGACAGCCTTTATCTTGAATCTTTACAATAAACCGGCAAATTACATTATTAGAATATTGTTATACAATCTTTATCATAACGACGCATATCGATTTTGCTAGGATTACCAAAACTACGTAGTTCGGTTCCTTGTTTCTAAACTAGTACTAGATGTCATTTCCAAGTTATTTTGGCCATCGTACGTAGTTCATAAAAACACCACTAGATGTCAACAAACTATAAATTTATCGCTGTTAGGAGATAACTAGAAAATTTCTTATATTATTAGGCAAATTTTTGAGATTTTTCAATTTGATCTTAGATATTGGGGGGGGATTGGATAAAGCAGGGTGGCCATAGTGGCAGCAGGCAACCTGCTTAAACTACACTGTATGGGTACGGCCAGAGTGCACTCAGATTCAGATTCAGATTCAGACTCAGAAAACAAGCGCGAGAAATATACAGTGTAGTTTAAGCAGGTTGCCTGCGGCCACTATGGCCACCCTGCTTTAATTACACTGTTTATTTCTCGCGCTTGTTTTCGGAATCTGAATCTGAGTGCACTCTGGCCGTACCCTACGACTATAACAAAAAGGGAAGATACGGCACTCGCGGCCCAAAAGTGATCCGCTTATATTGTGGTGCACGATCACAATTCACTGTAGTCACAATTGGACATAAAAACACACTGCATGTACACTCAATATGACAATATTGCGTATATTCTGTGTAATAAAGATAAAACAATGCCTTCGATGCTTTTATAAACAACACAAATAGTTCAAAATCAAATAACAAATGCCTTCGCAACACTCATTGATAAAACTGTAAAATCATTATTTTCTCAAAAATCTAGGTCTGTCGTGAATGTTATTTACCTAATCGCCATTTTGTTATCAAGAAAAGGACAACAATACAGCTGAGCCGTTCGCACTCGGAAGCTGATTCGCTGTTTCGCTCGCTCTGCGTTAAAACGTACAGTTCTGTCTCGCTCGCTAGATTGAATGTCATTTACAAACGTGTGCGTGTGTGAGAGTTGCTTATGCAGTTGAGTCGGATCATATTTTATTTTATGCTAGTATGAGCATACCGTATCTTCCCTTTTTATTTTTATTTAAGCGATTAGGTAATATTTTTTTACTATTTACACCTAAAGAAAAAACGCACCCATTTTATTTCAAGAGAATAAAAATGTATAGGATTTCTACATTCCGTTGACCTAGAACTATGAAAATCTAGTAATATCGTCCTCAACCACAAGTACAGCGACACTGCCAAACATTTGTTATTAAATCTTAAAAAATAAATCCCTTGTAAAAAAAAACAAGTAGGTATGTAATCAATTTGTACGGTATCCTGTGTAGACGAGACTGACTCGCACTAGTCCTTTTTTTTGTTTTGATAACAGACAGGTACATCATTTTAGAACCATACCTAATCCTTCAGTTATCATAAAATCAAAGCTATTGTATAAATTTTTTAATTGTATAAGTAGGTAGGATCGTGCTAATTTTGTAAGATAACCTATTGTCAGACATTATCCACTTGATATTCCAAACATAATTCGTATCCGTTCATTACCATTAAACAGTTTTTCATATACTATAAGTAACTACCTGATATTGCAACGAGTATCTGGGCTCTGATCTTGAAAAGCCGTTGAGGATACGTCGTGCGGTCCAAGATGATGATCTGTTTCTGCGAGGCCTATCTTCTTCACTAGGCCTAGCGCTATGCATAACTTCGAACGTACGTGGATCAAACATATTTTTAGGTTAATTATCACGACGGCCACTATACACAACTTATACACTACATTTCACGATATATTTAGTTCAAGTAATAAATCTATGCATTTCACTATCACTTTTTTATTTCGGTATGAATATTTAGTGCACTTGAACGCTTGCGAGATGTGAGCATATGACTGCTCTAATCTTATCAGAACAAGAAATGAGCACGATAAAAGAAGTCGGCGTTTACAATTAGCGTTCCGACGATAAGTAGGTTCAGCTGTGTCACACCAACTACGTTCGCTTAACCAAACACGCAAACTCTATGTTAGGTAGGTAATGAATCTCAGAGATAACGGTATCAGTCATAATAATAATTTTCTTATGATCAATGCGGGGAAAGTAAAAAGGATGTTGTATTTGATTTTGGGCATAAAACATAGTATTAGCTTATCAATACTCGAGGTACCTAGGTTATTATTAAATCTTAAGGAACATCTAATTAATCTCACGCAGCAGTATTTAAAAAACTATCGTAAATTTTATTTTAGCGACCTTGATTTTTTAGGTAAAATTCTTACAAAAGTTCTTGAAAAGAAACTATTTCTTATGACTCCTTCAGACGGGCGACGTGAAGGCATTATCTTATAAGCTATATTCTAAAATAATGAGAACTTCGATTATCTCCAAAGCTAGCCTTTAAATTCACGCTTGCAATACTCACATCTGATCACATCCCCTACCCCGTGGAACCCCGTTTAAATGTATTTATTTTCTAGTAAGTAAAGATCAGAAGAACTGCTGCGAATTGTTGGTTTTGTTTTATGGATTAAAAAATAGTTTTATTTTTCACTTTTTATAATGTAGATCAATCAAACATTATTAACTAAGTTTTGGTAAGCTATTTAGTGGGTCGGCTTGTAAATTAGTAATTCACAGAAGCCTAATGCAAATTGCTAATCATGGTATTTTATATACACACTTGCTTCGCTTCGGTGTAGCTGTAGAGTATACTGCATAAGGCTATATATCACGCTACGACCTGTAGGAGCGGAGCTTATGTAAAAATGTTCCATGTGAGCTTTCGCTGCGTGCGCTGTGTAAACGATTAAAGTTACACTAAAAGCATGTATTACGGAATTTTTTCCCTTTAAAAGTTCTATAAAAAAGTCCGCGACAGCATATGTCCATCTTTTAAGTGTGACTCACTATAACCTTTTCTCTCAATTTAACACGGGTGAAACTGCAGGGAACCTCTAGTTGTGACAAAACTGTATTAATTAGTCATATGGTAATACGAATTTTTTGTAGATATTTATGTCCTCTATAAAACTTTTAGTACATCTCTTTGCTCTATGATCAATGACTTCCGCAGCGTACGCAACAAAAGGTTGTTTTTTGGTATTTCTTTACACGTTGGGTTACATTATCGAAGTTTTCCTACGGAACCCTAACTTTTTTGAATATACTCTATAGCCTATGTTTCCAGTGATAATGTAGGATTCTAAATGTGAAGATTATTTCAAATCAGTCCATTTGTTTCGGAGCCTATTCAATACAAACAAACAAACAATCAAATCTTTCCTCTTTATAATATTAGTATAGACGTTCGTTCGTTCGTTTGTACATGTGGAGTTAGTTAGAAATAAAGGTTCACTGCTCGTTCCCCATAGGTAATAGCGTTATAATATGTAGCCTATATGTTGACCCGACTTCTTCATAATATTCGTGCCAAAATTAAAGTAAATCCATGCAGTACTTTTTGAGTTTATCCCGGACACACATATAGACAAACAGACAAAAATTCTAAAAACAATCTTTTTAGCTTCGGTATCGATTGTAGATCACACCCCAAGTAATATTTTAAAAAGATATTAAATGTACAGTTTTGACTTTCCTACCATTTTATTATATGTATTGATTATTATCAGCAATTCATCTTATACAAAACACGGCCTATCCATCGCCTATCCCCCTTCAGGGACGTAAGTCATTGAGGAGTTCTCCTAGTATATTGACTTCACTACCTCCATTTCAGTACCATGCATTGTTTTGTGATAAACGTAATAGTTTAATCGTGTATCAACTCGTGATTATGCCTACTTTTATTGGCGTTTGCTATGACCATTCTGTGATCACTTCACCAGATAAATAAATAAATATTTCCAACACTCACACCAATTAGCCTAGCCCCAAAGTAAGCATTGTAAGGCTTGTGTTATGGGATACTAGGGTAACGAATAAAATACATTTATGCAGTACGTATATAAAGTATATTTATATAGAAATACATAATCTTGAACATTCATAACTGGAGTACAAATTTTCGTATTCATCACACAAACATCTGCCCCCACCGGGACTCGAACCCGGGACCTCTCGAGTCGGCGACATCTTGAAACCCGATGTAAAAACCACTCGGCCGCGGAGGTCGAGATGGTAGGTACTTTCTTTTAAACGTTTTCGATAAATTTTTAAACTTTCTCTCGATTTCTCCAGGATGCCATCCCATAATCCCATAATCCCATCATACGGTCCTGACTGAGACTAATATCGGACTACCTTGGAAGCATAACCTTTCGAATAAACAAAGAATTTTAAATCGTGTAACAATTAACAAAAAAGAAACAATTACATACTTACACGTAGAATATAGAACCTCCTCCTATATTATGTGGAAATGGTTGAAAACCATAAGCTTAACAAATCGGTCACTATCTATAACCTTTCGGTAGTGGTATGTTTCTGTAGCATAGTAAAAACAATATTTTTTTAATTTAAATCGGAAGATAAACCAACGCTTGAACACATCTTCAATGGAGATTCTAGCATGATTCTCTGAACTTAAAACTAAATTTAACATCAGTCTTTCCTTTTCATTCTAGATAGGGAATGACAAAGATACAATGTTGTCTAATTTAAGTTTAACTTTAGAGAAATATGCTAGTATCGACAATCGACACCATTTTATAGAAAATAAAGGTAAAATAGTGAAAACTAGGCTGTGTAGGCCAGGTTTCATTTCTTTTGCCTTCCCAGTGAAAAAAAATACAAATAAATGGCGTTGACACTGACAGTGACAGATATCAAATCAATCAGCTGTGCTGTAATGCTTTGTCTGTGTATGTTTATTGGTTTTTGTAACTGGGGAAAGTAATTAATTCGATTAATTTATCTGTATTAGGTTTAGTTTATAATGTCACAACAACTAATCAACGAAAATAGCAAATATATATTGGAGTGAGTATTAATGTTATTTATTTATAACCTATAATAATGCAATCACAATAAACCTTATTATGTATCTCAAATTTCTCAATGCTTTTGTTATTAGTTTATTTTCAGAGCAGACAGTTGATTCCCAAAGCTTAGATTCAATATGCGTTCAAGTACAAAAGAGGTTCCCGAAATCGGAACATTTCAATTGTGAGTATAGAGGTCTAAACATATTTTAGGATATATATTCACTGTAATTGCACAAATGTCAATGTTTATTTTAACATAAAATTTATCATTGTGCTTTCAGTGTGCCTCTTACTTTCTTCCTTGATAACTGGAGGTGACTTGTCTCTCCCAGGGCAGCGAGTTGTAGCACTGGCTCTGTTGTTTGATATTTACAAGCAAGAGAATCCTTTCAGCTCTTTGTTCCTCCATCTTTTGGAAGGGAAACCTGGGTTACTGCCATTAGCAGCACAGGAGAGACTGTTCATTGGCCATTTGCACAGTTTTTTGCCTGTTAACATTAAAGATGTAAGTTCATTAAAGTAATTTATTAATTTCTAAAATCATTTCACTTGATATAACTCTTAATTATCCACATGCAAAGTAGGCATAAAGTGTTGATTACAGAGGAAGCCTGTAGAATTACATAAGTACAAAAAATCAATTTACTACAGTATTGATAATATAATCTACTACAGTATATGTACCATATTATTTGCTATTATTGGTGGTATTTCTTGTGTAGTAGTTCTTCATGTAGTTTGAAATTTTTCATCATCTGTTTAATTATAGTGAGTAATAACTTGAGTAATATTTACGCATCAAGGTAATGAAGAAGTCGGCAAAGCAAGTGATGCTGACCGAGGTGTCACCCAAAGACCTGGAGTTTGATTATTCTCCACTACAAGCAGTGGTTGCTGATAGATTGTCAGATATGAGCTCCATGGCACGTGCAACAGCTCCTGCTCTCATTCCTCTGAGTGATGGGTAAAATTTATTTTTATAGTAGTTTTTGAGGACCTCTGTAGAGCGGGTGGTAGGTACGCTGTGTTTCAAGGTGTCACCCTATCAGAGGTTCTGGCTTTGAATATCAGTGGGGCAAAAGTTAGTATGATGATTAAGAGCATTTGTACCTAAGTCATGGATGTTATATAAATTTCTAGATAAATATCCTTATGTCACAATGTTAGTTACCGTACTCTTTCGAATGCCTTGACGGATATCTTTTATATAAAATTATCGTGTCACAATGTTAGTTACCAAACTCCTTCGAAACGGCTTGACTGAATTAAATGAAATATTATATGCATATTCAGTAGCTCTGAGAATTGGCTAATATCTATTATTCATACCTATACCCTAAATGATAAGGGTTGTCCACCCTTTAAATTTTTTTTTAATTTTTTGGACATAATTTTTTTTATAATGTGGCGTTAAATAATATATTCAATCCTAAATTCTCACCCTTCTACCGCCAACCCCTACTTTTATGGTGGTACGAAGTTCGCTTGGTCAGCTAGTAATTATGTATTAGTATATGTAGTCTATTCATTAAGCCAGTATCTCATAACACAAGCCTTACATTGCTTACTTTGGGACTAGGCCTAATTGGTGTGTGCTAGAAATACTTTTTTCTATAAATTACATTTAATTTTTTAAACCATACAAAAAATATATACAATGTCATTTTAGTTCTATCAAATATGTGTTTAATTTTTTGATGTTTGGCTTCAGGTCTATCATTTTCGAAAAAGCTTTCTAGATATTTGTGTATCCAAGATTCTGATTGCTTGATCAGTTTTACCAGTAGGTTATACCAAGGTAAATACTAAAAGAAGCACATAAAATATGGAGACTTATGCTTTGAGACCTTTCACTTCTCCTCTGGATCTGCATTATCTTGTTTTATTTTGTTGTTTTGTTTATTTTATCTTTTATTTTATATCTTCACTTATGATCAGTTGCAGCAGTGATTGGCTAAGGCTAAAATAAATTCACATATTTCAAGCTAGGAAGCTGTCTCTAAAGTGACATTGCTTTGTACCATTTTATACATTTCACTATACATTTCTGTTGATGCCCTATATCCCAAAGAATCATTTACAAAGTATATTTATTTTGTTTATTTTTAAAATATGTACTTCTAACCTAATGATCAATATTATCTTTTTGTGTAGTCTAGAAACACTAGTACTATAATAAATAATAGTTAAATAATCTCTGTAATAACTTGAAAAATACCCTATTCCTACTGTTAGACAGAGACATCACTATAAGCCTTGTTTGCTTTGTCATTAAGACATCATAACTCTTTCCCTGTTCTTACAAACACAGCAGCCCACCCAATCGTATGGCGATGAAGGAACTGCTAGAAGCACTGATGTCCAACGAGTATACTCCACTGCATCGCACTCTGAAGGCTGCGGGCCCTATACCGCCGCCCACATTCCTTCTAGATCCCACTGAAATACCATTTGCTGAAGAAGTGAGTCGACTTGTATTTCAACCTTCCATCAAAATTATTAGGTCATTTATATCCTCAATATTATCAAATCCCTGGTTTGTTTCTCTTCAAGAAGTTTGGAATATTTGTTTTTATTTCTAACGCGTCATATTATTTACAAAATAAATAATTATTTAAACATTTTAATAGGGTGTATGGAAGAACTTAGTGAACCGAGGCACATACATACCCATGTACGACCCCGACTATGAGGGTCTGATTGGATTGAAGCCGGAGAAGGTGGATAAAAGAGCCTATAATCAAACTCAACACAAACCTAAGGTAAGATTCAGTTACCCCAACACTCATATTATTTGTCAAATGATTAGTTTTTAAGTCGCTGAAGAAAAATTTAAAACAGTGCACGTTATTATAGTTTATTTTAAAGATAAAATTAATTAGATGCTTATCATACATAATGGTCCTTCGAGCAGGATGATCAATTAAAACCTTTGGATATAAATAAAACCCAACTAAGAAAATTTAATTAAATTTTTATTTTCAAGGAGCTCGATGGCACGGGTGGTTAGCGCGTTCGGCTGCGATCGTTGAAGTTAAGCAACTTTCGCATTGGATGGGTGACCAAAAATTTTCTATCTCGAGTTCCTCAGTGCTCGGAAGGCAGGTTCAGCCATTGGTCCCGGCTGCATTTACAGTCGTTAGCACCCGCCAATCTGCACTGGGCCCGCGTGTTGGGTCATGGCCCAATCTCCCTATTCCATCTATAGGGAAGGCCTATGCCCCAGCAGTGGTGACATTAATAGGCTGATAATGATGAAATTTTTCTGTTACATGTTATATGTTGTTTGTCATTTGAAAATTCTTCTTACAGTTAAGCCAAGTAGCCATGTCTTCACCAAAAGCAAAGAAGAACAAATATACTTATTCATTCCACTAGACGCTCTAAAAGCGACCACTAGTTGCTCAGTCAAGCCACTAGACGCAGCCACTAGTGGCTCAGTCAAGCTACTAGACGCAGCCACTAGTGGCTTAGACAAGCTACTAGGCGCAGCCACTAAACGCGACCACCAGTAGCTCTGTAAAGCCACTAGGCTCAGTAAAGCCACTAAACGCAGCATATAAAAGCTAACACAAGTGTCTCTTCTAGGAGGAAAAGAAAGAGAAGCAAGAAGAGAAGAAGACGGAAGACAAGGAACCGGGTCGGGCGGCGACTGAAGCCATGGAGTTGACTCAACTGGCTTTGCGCGGCGCTCTGAGCGTGCAGCATCAGCAACGATTGCTGGCACTCCTGGATCAGGACCCTGGAGTGGTTTACCATATAGGGATCACACCTGCACAGGTAATAATATATACCACATTTATTGATTATAGAAGAATTTGGCACCACATAACTCTTAAAAGATGCAATTATTCGCCTTGTTAAGAGATCTTGCTACTAACGTGCCACAATCAATAGTAATATCAATAATACAAAAAGCCTACATCGCGCTAGAGCAATTCAGAGGCCAACACATATATACAGGACCCCACCAACATAGGTCAGGCCGCGGCTCCCCAACTGACATCAACCAGCTTGGTGGAAGAATTATCATTTAGCCTTCCTACGGAGTCTTTTGTGTTAAAATAGCTAGACTTACTATGACTCAGCATCAGCAACGACCGCTGACACTCCTGGACCAGGACTCTGGTGTGGTTTAAGCCTATTCTAGACGGATGTAATCCAGCGTACCAACCAAGGTGACCTTGGCGGGAAATTGGTTTCCATCCTCGTTATGATTTCCGGCTACACGGAGGTAATCTAAACGCCAACACGCAATCGCGAGCCGTCTTCGCGGCGTGAAAACACGTATGCGCTTGTATCATGCGCGGACTGTATTAGTAACCGTTGTAGAAATGGCTCCGAATTTGTCTAAATTTCAAAAATTGGGCATTGCCTTAGGAGCTTTGTGTGCAATAGACGACGAAAAACAACACAAAAAGAGAAAGTGTAGGTTAAAAGAGCGAGTGATTCTCAGCCATTCAAACTTATGTTCAACTCCCTATACTTTTCGAGTAATATCTCCCACGCATTTTTTTTGTCGAGCATCTTAATATGATTCCGACGTAATGTACCATAAGCATTGGAGATCTCTATAGAGATCAATTAGTTCGCTAGTAATATCGCGTTCGCGACTCTGGTCTTCGGACGACATATTTTACATGCATACGTGCGCACTCGCTGGCTGCCACAGCGCAACTGTCTTTGGTTGGATGTAATCCGCCAGCCAAACGGTTGTAATCCACGCGATCCAACCGCGGATGTAAATACGCGCCCGTAATCCAGGGACTTTGAAGGTCAAATCAAAATTTGGATAACATCCTTCGTCTAGACGGATGGCAACGGGCAAGGTCACCCTAGTTGGTACGCTGGATAACATCCGTCTGGAATAGGTCTTACCTTATAGGGATCACATCGGCACAGGGGTAGTGTATGGTTTAGTACATTTATTTAAGCCTAGTGACTAGTGTGCAATTGAATTAAATAAGGGCGGGCTACTGGTCCTGAGAGCAAGCACACATGAGCCACTAATCGCGGCCTTTAAGCGCTACCACTAGTGGCTCAATCATGCCACTAGACATGACCACTAGTGGCTCACTCAAGCCACTAGACGAGGCCACTAGTGGCTCAGTCAAGCCACTAGACATGACCACTAGTGGCTCAGTCAAGCCCCTAGATGCAGCCACTAAACGCGACCACTAGTGGTTCAGTAAAGCCACTAGACGCAGCAACTAAAAGCTACCACTAGTTGCTCAGTCAAGCCACTAGACGCAGACACTAGTGGCTTAGACAAGCTACTAGGCGCAGCCACTAAACGAGACCACTAGTGGCTCTGTAAAGCCACTAGGCTCAGTGAAGCCACTAAACGCAGCAACTAAAAGCTAACACTAGTGTCTCACTCTAGCCACTAGACGCAGCCACATGGCTCATAGAGAAATCGAGTGGCTGCCACTAAGCCACTAGTAGTCGCGTTTAGTGGCTCAATGTGCGCTTGCTCTTAATAGCTTAAATGCTTAGAATATAAAATAATAAAGTTTTTATTTATTCTGCCCTGTACATAGCTGCCGGAGCTGGTGGAAAACAATCCCATGGTGGCGATATCTGTCCTGCTGAAGCTAATCCATTCGCAGCACATCACGGAATACTTCACGGTGCTGGTCAACATGGAGATGTCGCTGCACTCCATGGAGGTGGTGAATAGGTGAGTGGCTATCCCTGGGGGCCTACCGCTTAACGGTATTGCTATAGTTATTTTAAGCATTTAACTGCTAGATGTTTAAATCTAAAGAAAGTTTACTAGAAATTGCTAGAACTAGGTATTGCTATAGTTATAGCTTATGATTAATTTATTTTATTTCTGATCGCCGCGCCGAAGGTTTTCAAATAATTCACGCTCATTTTCTTTAATATAGTTTACTAGTGGCCCGCCCTCGCTTCGCTTCGGTGTAGAGCTGTAGGTAGTGTACACTATAGTTTTTGTTCTCAGGCTTGTATTATACACAATGACATTCTTCTAATACCTAATTACAATAGGCACGCGCCGCCAGGCCCCTCGGTAGCGTCGGAACCACTATGTCCCTGCATTTTATATCTGTAATATCTTCGAAAATATTCATTTAAATTACATGCTTTAAAGGGCCAATTCATCTATATTAAATGCACAATGTATTTAAGGTACTTAATTGGATAAGGATGAATGTTATATTGCTGAAAATCGCTTCGTAAATAAGCTATTATATCTCGTAAAAAGTATAGGATAGAAAATGGTTATTGTGGGTTATCCGTAAGAGATAGATCTGTCTTTCCATCGACGACTTTTTTGTAGACCTTTTTAAGGTGTACAACACTGTAGTACATTATTTTGATCTATCTCGTAGGGTTCATCCAGCGTTTGCAATGTAAGCACAAAAAATGTGTTTATTTACGATCTTACATTAAAAACCTCTAAAATTATCAGTGTTTCTCTACTATATTATGCATGTATTATAGATATAAACCTTCCTCTTGAATCACTCTATCTATTAAAAAAAACCGCAACAAAATCCGTTGCGTGGTTTTAAAGATCCAAGCATACATAGGGACAGACAGACAGCGGAAAGCGACTTTGCTTTATACTATGTAGTGATTTATCACGCATTTGGCGTGGCGTTCAGAAGTAACAAAATGAAATCATAAGCTAATCACCCAATAAGTGGTAAGACCAATGGAGACAAATGAGGAGCTGGCGAACAAAACGGTATAATAGGGTATTTGACAGTATTAAAAATGAAGTGCCAATTGTTGGCATCTGTGTTTAGAATGAATATTGGCAGGGGTTTTTACTATTTTCACAAATTAAAAAAAAATACTAAAAACCCACGAAAAAGATAATAGTTTTCTTATCTATTGTCACGTGACCCAAAACGCTTGGGATTGGCGGAGCCTAAAATGACGTCACACGCAAGTAAACTTCCGGTTAAAGTGACATTACATTGTATCGTTTGACGTTTTCATAACAGTCGTGTGACGTCACACACTAGTAAGACGCCATATTGTCCAGAGAAAGGTTTTCGCGGCAACTTGAAAATGGAGTTTTTGATTGGGTTTGATTTTTTTGATTAGGTTATTTTTACTAAAATATACAACAGAATGATGAATATCCACTTTTTACGGACTCCATAAGCATTAGTCAATAACGTGAGATCGTTTCCTAAAACTTGTCAAATACTCTATTGTACCGCGACTCCGCGTCGCTCTGCAGCCGACTGCGTTATCTTTACTCTCTCTACACACGGCTGAGTTGTATTGTTGTCCTTTTCTTGATAAAAAAGGGCGAATCATTAACTAACATTCGTGGCAAACCGTGATTATTGAGAAAAAAATGATTTTATAGTAACACGAATGAAAAGTGTTGCCGTGGCATTTGTTATTTGATCTTGAACTATTTGTGTTCTTTATAAAAGCATCGAAGGCATTGTTTTATCTTTATAACACAGAATATACGCAATATTGCTATATTGGGTGCACATGCATCATGTTTGGATGTAAAATTTTGTGACTAAAGCGAATTGTAGTCCTACACCAAAATAGGGTATTTGACAAGTTTTAGAAAACCGATCTCACGTTATCGACTAATATTTATGGAGTCCGTAAAAAGGATATTCAACATTCTGTTCTGTATTTCAGTAAAAATAATCAAATTAAAAACTCCATTTTCAAGTTGCCGCGAAAACGTTTCTCTGGACGATATGGCGTCTTATTAGTGTGTGACGTCACACGACTGTTATTAAAACGTCAAACGATACAATGTAATTTCACTTTAACCGGAAGTTTACTTGCGTGTGACGTCATTTTAGGCTCCGCCAATCCCAAGCGTTTTGGGTCACGTGACAATAGATATGAAAACTATCTTATCTTTTTCGTGGGTTTTTAGTAAAATTATGAATATTTCTTTTGTAAAAATAGTAAAACCCCTGCCAATATGCATTCTAAACACAGATGCTAACAATTGGCACTTTATTTTTAATACTGTCAAATACCCTATTTCAGCGGATCACTTTTGAGCCGCGAATGCCGTATCTTCCCTTTTTGTTTTAATCTAAGCACGTTACATATAAAGACCATTTCCCAGGCTGACGACGTCAGTGGACCTGCCGGTAGACTTCGTTTACTTGTACATAAGCAACTGCATCTCCACCTGCGAGACGATCAGGGACCGGTACATGCAGAACCGACTTGTGAGGCTGGTGTGCGTGTTCCTACAATCACTTATAAGGAACAAGATCATCAATGTACAGGTACCTAACTGTAATCAGTAAGGTTTTGATTCTTCTAAAAATATCTAGATACTATATTTTTAATTGACGACCTCTTTAGCCGAAAGGTTTCTACGCCGGCTTTCATGGTGTCGCAGACTCGAGAGCTCTCGGGTTCGAATCCCGCTGGGGGCAGATGTTTGTGTGATGAATACGAGTATTTGTACTCCAATCATGGATGTTCAATATGTATTTTCTACATAAATGTACTTATATATGTATTGTATTCGTTACCCTAGTATCCATTAACACAAGCCTTACATTGCTTACTTTGGAGCTAGGCTAATTGGTGTGAGTGCTAGAAATATTTAATGAATTTAAATTAATATTTTTTAAGTATTTAACTGCTAGATATGTTCTGGTGGTAAGGTGCATATTACTCGCCTGGTTTGTCACCATCGTGCGCTTGGTGAAAAACCTGTGAAGTGCTTCTCGCGCGTTTCGGGTTCAGCCAGCGTACAACTTAAGTGACAGATTCGGTCAAGGGGAGGCATCTTTCGAACCGATGCCGGGAGGACTGCTTCGACCCGCCGATCAGAGAGACCCGTAGAAACGAGTCAAATATTGAAAGCATTTGAATAAAATCCCCCTGGGCTTAGTCGATCTATACCCAGCCTATGGGGGGGGGGGGGGGGGGTCATGATACCAAAAAATGGCAGAGGTAAAACGGGAAGTTTGGGAGTTCGTGACGTCACTTCTAAATTAAAATTGTACCAAGACGTGATGTCATGCGACATTTCAAATCAATACACCTATCTCTGTAATGTTTTGACTATGTTCATAAAGAAAAAATACGTGTCCAATACTTTTCGATAATCTTTCTGTTAGACGAAGGAGAAAAGTTAGTCATCATACCTATTTTCTTTTATTTCAGGACATATTTATAGAGGTAGAAGCTTTTTGCATAGAATTCAGTCGGATACGGGAAGCTGCAGCACTTTTCCGTCTGCTCAAACAACTCGAGTCTGGAGACGCGCTCGCACATAAAGAAACCAAGGAGAACTAAACTATACCTAGATCTATGACCACTTATACGGGTCAAATTGAAATTGTATGAAAGCATAGAAGTATAAAAATAGAGTGGGGAAGGCGGCTTTAAAAGTGTCCGTCTAGTAGAAAGAGAAAGATGAGAGACCGATAGTTACCTCTCTTGTGACTGCGCATGCGCGATTAGAGAGAGAAAGCTAGCGGTCTCTCATCGTCTTTCTCTTTCTATTAGGGGGACACTTCCACTTGTAGTAGAGTCTATATCTCCCCTACTCTATTCTAATACGTCTATGTATGAAAGCCTTTGGCTAATCATTAATAAGCCTCGATAAAGCAATCACAATAAACCACGTAAAGAAAACGGCTCATGTTTCGCGCAATGTGTGCGTGAATCAAATGTTATATTGTTCTGAAGCAGTCAATGTGTGCGTGCGTAGCGACGAGCATATATCTACCATATGTAGTAGATATTTTTTTTGCCGCTTCCATGTAATTAATACGATATATATAGTGAATACAATCAAATATGAATACGTTGTTGTTGTCATATTTTGAGTACGTAACGTTCACAAGAGAACAAATCAGTGGGTGGAAAAGCATAGGCCTCGTCCTTCAAGTTCTTTAGTTTTTACAGCTGAATAATATTGCACATATTATAAATAACAATAAGTAATTAAAGAAAACTAGTTTTAACGGGTTAATGCACGAAACTTTATTTATTCATTGACTTTTCGCAGCCTTTTCAGTTCTGCTTCGTCAGAATATTTCGGGTTATTTAAGTTTCGTTTTATTTAATGAGTGATGTGCGTGAAAACCTAAGAAACAAATAAGTAATTAATCAATATTTTAATATCTGTCGATTTGGTATTGACAACAAATATTAATATATTGCGTCAAAGGAAGAGCATTGTTCTCTCCTTTTATGAGAACTTGATTTAGATTTAGTTCCTTTGTAATTGGAACTGGGCTGTTAAATTTGTGCAGTCCTGGCGGGTTTAAGGCAAGAATTGTAAATGGGCAAAATAGTTGCATCGGCCGCACTCAGAGATGTTCTTTAAACTCTAGCTTGTCACATGTTGTTGATTTAATCTATTGCTATTGCAAAACAAATAGACGGTAGCAACTTTAATCTGAAACAATAGTTTACTAAATGCCACAAACTTATGGAAATATTAAATTGAAGCTACTAAAAGAGACATTGGTGTCGATTCTGGCAACATTCTCTATACAAAATGAAAAGGAGAGACTGATGTTAATTTTAGTTTTAAGTTTAGAGAAACATGCCATAATTGACACCAATATTACAAAACCGAACATCTTTAGAAGATCTACACTTTTTATTTTATTAACCAGAATGTTATAGTGTGACCAAGATCTTGTAGCACTTGTATGACTTTGACGGGAAGGCGCTGCTGGTAAAATATTACTAAGTACGAAAAATCTCTTTAAAGGGGACGTTATAATTTACAATAACTCGGAAAGAATGATAAGAAAGTAGCTTTCCCAGCGAACTTCGTACCGCTATAAAAAATAGGGGTTGGTGGTAGCAGGGTGAAAATTTAGGGTAGTATGTATTTTTGCATGATGTATCATAAAACATAAAATCAAAAAAAAAATCTAAAAGAAAAATTTCAGTGTGGACCACCCTTAATATTTAGGGGTATGAAAAATCGATGTTGTCCGATTCTCAGACCTACTGAATATGCATACAAAATTTCACGACAATCGGTCGAGCCGTTTCGGAGTAGTTCAATTACGCACACCGTGACACGAGAATTTTATATATTAGATATTCAAGGCTTATTTACAGCTTCCTCTACAAATAAAAAGCTTATTTATAACTTCTAAAATTTAGTTCCGATATTGGCACACGCGCCATAAGATCTTGATCGCACTGTATGTTGCTTTAGTTAAAGTACCAAAAGCTTATTATGAATGATACAGCAATATTTACGAGTATAGTAAATAATGTATAAAGCACCGAATATTTTGTTAAAATTGTAAAAGTGAAAGACTGAATTTGAGTTCATAATATGTACATTTACCCCCAGGGTATGTTGGGCCAAGGGTCAGAATGTCTAAGGTGACATAATGTCCTGATGTTATAAAGACCGTTAGTCAATATGTACAAATATCTGAATGTCCAAGAAGACAGAATGTCCAGATGTTATAAAGACCGTTAGTCAATGTGTACAAGTCTCTGAATGTCCAAAAAGTCATAATGTCCAGATGTTATTATAATGACCGTTAGTCAATTTGTACAAGTCTCTGAATGTCCAAAAAGTCATAATGTCCAGATGTTATAAAGACCATTAGTCAATGTGTACAAGTCTCTGAATGTCCAAGAAATCATAATGTCCAGATGTTATACAGACCGTTAGTCAATGTGTACAAGTCTCTGAATGTCCAAGAAGTCATAATGTCCAGATGTTATTATAATGACCGTTAGTCAATGTGTACAAGTCTCTGAATGTCCAAAAAGTCATAATGTCCAGATGTTATAAAGACCGTTAGTCAATGTGTACAAGTCTCTGAATGTCCAAGAAGTCATAATGTCCAGATGTTATAAAGACCGTTAGTCAATATGAACAAGTCTCTGAATGTCCAAAAAGTCATAATGTCCAGATGTTATAAAGACCGTTAGTCAATGTGTGCAAGTCTCTGAATGTCCAAGAAGTCATAATGAGCAGATGTTATTATAAAGACCGTTAGTCAATGTGTACAAGTCTCTGAATGTCCAAGAAGTCATAATGTCCAGATGTTATAATGACCGTTAGTCAATGTGTACAAGACTCTGAATATCCAAGAAGTCATAATGTCCAGATGTTATTATAAAGACCGTTAGTCAATGTGTACAAGAATCTGAATGTCCAAGAAGTCATAATGTCCAGATGTTATAAAGACCGTTAGTCAATGTGTACAAGTCTCTGAATGTCCAAGAAGTCCTGATTGATTTTTTAACACCTGGATATTATGACTACTCGGCATTCTATCAAATGGATGTTATGGTAACTGGACATTATGACAATTTGACTTTTAGACAATTTGTTGTTTTGACACCTGGGCATTATTTCCTTGTCATTTTGATCTGGACATTCTAACACTTGGCCCAACATAGAGGGGTACTTTTTAATATCTCATGAAAAAGTTGATTAGTGTAATGCGGGCGTAAATTTTTACTTAACCCTTTATTGTGGGTTTCACTAGTTTTTTTTTATTATGTGAGAACCTCTTCAACATAGGCATAATAATAAATTAATTGAAATTATAGACGTTTTAGTCTAAATAAGCTTAGTGTGAGCCTGCGATTGTCTTCAGCATGGAATGTACTTAGGATAAGTAATTCAGTTACTAATCTACAAAAAAATGATCTTTTCTTATGAAATTATAAAAAGTTGCATGAGATGGAAAAGGGCAGACATAGACATGGAATATCTATGAGACGATTATTTATAAGATAGGTGAAACGCGTTATAAAAAAATTGGGTCTGCCTGTATTATATTTGTGACGATCTCAGACACTACTGAACAAATTTTCATGCGATTATAAATTATAGTAGTATAATTATTTTTTTACAGCTCTTTAATAATATGAATGAGAAATGAAGCAAGGGCAAATCACTATTTCCTTCTAATATTATAAGTGTGTGAAAGTTTGTATGACAAAACGGCTGGATAAATTTGGAACACACATAGTTTATTTACCTGGATTGAAACATGACTGGTTTCTGTAGGATTCTCAATAAACTTATTTAAACGCGGGCGGAAGATAGTGCTATTTCATTTATCGATGGCTTGTCTTTTAGTGACCGCTATTAAGCCGTTTTTGTTCATAGTACCACCCTAGGTATAAATAAAACGTTAGACCATAATTACTGCTAATGGGATTTCAATGTATATTTTCCTATAGTATGTATCACAGATACATACACGAAGTATAGTTTATAGCATAGATAAATGATTTGTCTCGCTTCACTCGACGAAACAAATATTTTTTTTAATTATTAAATAGGTCTCCATTTGTTATTTAAAAACTTCTTATGAATTTTAAATTACTTGTTAAACTAGCTCATTTTGCTTGCACATAATTATTGTGGTTTAATGTCTAAAGAACACGATATCGCGTTTATTTGTTAGCGACAGGTGCTGTTATATTGTCATAATAAATTTTCAGTTTTTACACATTAAATAAATCATAAAATGTTTATTGCATTTGTATGCAAGTAGGTAGACCTCAACTAAACATCACGTCTGATGAAAGAGGAAGTTACAATGTTTTTTATATTCTAAGAAGCATTGTGAGAATAGTAGTAGATAATTTTTCTAACCCTTTGGAATTATTAAGTATTATTGATCATATATTGAAGTTATAAGCCCAGGCATAAACAGCTACGAAAAAAAAATCTTCGTATAATATTTTTTCAGCTTTTCTACTGCATGATTATGCGCCTACGCAGTCCCTGATGTCCCTGGCTTACTAAGATTTTTTCTAGTGAGCAAGTGGGATATCTACGGATCTAATATGTAAAGTCGGAGATTGCAGGTTCAATATCCAGCAAAGTTGTAAATTGTTAATATATTTAGTTCTACTTGATATTTGTATAAATAGAATACTATAAAGAAAAAGTGTATCTTATTACAGTACATATACTGCGACTTTTTCTTTTCAATTTCATTTGCGACACCAGAAATACAGCCTAGAGGAGACTTCCTTTTTTTTAAAACTTGATTTTCCCTAAACTTTATCTATCTAGCGTTGATCGTACTCAACCGATCCATGCTTGCGAGAGTTTCGCACTTTTAGCAAAGTAAAGGTCATATAAAACTACGCCCTATTCAGTGTGAGATATCGAGATGAAAAATGAGTGAATGTTACACTATTTTTCAACTGTCCATTACTTTTAATCATAATCTTTATTTGCTAAAAACATGGTATACAGGTATTGCAAAAAGTGAATTGAGCGCATGTTTTGCCATTTTTAAAATAGAATGCAAATAAAAATATGGAAGTAATTTGAAAAAAAATAGATTAATTACTTATAACATTTTTATATAGAATTAAGAATGTCAGAGTTACCTAATATCATGTTTTCATTAAATTTTTTCTCTGTAGAGTTGTTGATCATACTCAACCGATGCTTGCGAGTCTTGCAATTTTAGCAAAGGAAAGGTCATATTTAACTACACCCTCTTCATCTTAGATTCTTTTAATAGTCAGTTTCATCTCAATGTCAGATATAGAGATGAAACTGACTAATAAAAGAATCTAAGAGAACAAGAAAATGAGCGAATATTACACTATTTTTCAACTGTCCATTACTTTTAATTATATATAAATAAATATGTTAAATCTTACTATAATAAAGTAAAATATTGTAACTTGAATGACTTCTAGCAAATCAAGTGTTCCGCTGAAAGTGGGGTGGTATTCTTGTATTTTTCACAGAAAATATACTAATAGAAACTAACAGTTTCATGTTTAATTTTTAGAAATAAACTACAACACATTTATGGAAAATTCATCCCAAAAAAAATTTAATTACACACTACAAAAGAAATTACTCAATATGACTTCTAACTAAAAACCAACAGGACATTCGTTCCCTCTAAGCTACGTAGCACCTTCCAGGATTTTCCTTATTTCATTATCAGCAGCAACATCTAAAGGAGTGCATCCTTCTTCATCTTCATGCAATGTTGCTCCAGCATTTAACAGTATTTGTGTAGATTTGATGTGACCACACAAGGCAGCATAATGAAGGGCAGTTTGACCACATTCATCAACTGCATCAATGGGACATCCATATTCAATCAATGCTTTTAAAGCTTCCGTGGCATCTCTATCAGCAGCCCAATGTAAGGCTGTTAAGCCATCATCATCCCTTTCATGTTTCAGTTCTGGATTTGATGACAATAGTTTTGCAATTCGATCTCCACAATCCTCTCTTGCAGCTTCAAGTATTGTCAGTTGATCATGAACTAACTCAGGCTCAGGAGAAAAGCGCAATGATGAGACGGCCACCCAAGCTTCTTTAGCACCAGTCACTTTACTGTCTGATAGTTCAGACCAATCAGGATCATACTTTTGTAATAAATCAATGTATTCTTGCTTTGCTTCCTCACTGGGCATGTCCCCTAGCGCCCTCCATGCTTCCCACTTTTTACGACCGCGACCATCTAACCATCCAGGCTTAGGAGTGTTACATTTACCATCTGTCCCCTGCTTAAACAATCCATACAGTTCAAGAAGTTGGTTATTATCTAACTTGTTAGTGATCTTACGCAAATGGTTAGCTGCTGTATTGAATTCTACATCTAATGGAGTCTGGTCATCATCAGAAAAATCAGAATCTGGAAGTGCTTCTGCCATTTTAAATGCACTAATTATTTTGAACTTGTACAGTCAAGTTAAGGCCTTCTAAAGTATGTACCTGTTTATTGGTAACATCAGCTGCAGATGATGGGCTTGCAAATTCAATGAATCCGTACCCCTTGCTGAGACCTGTTGAACGGTCAAATATAACTCTGGCACTTTGTATGGGACCAAATTGAGAGAAATACTCCCTAAGTTGACGGTGGCCCACAGTCCATGGCAAGTTGCCTACGTACAGACGAGCTGCTCTTGCTGTGCTGGCCATAACCTATGCAGTCACTATTTCAAGAAGATGCAAAGTTCGCTCGCCTATTAAGGCTCTGTAGTCGACACCCGAGCTTTCACTCAATGAGTCCAGGTCAAGGAGTGATCCTTTTAGTCCCCACTTCTTCAGTAGAGCTTCAACAGACCAATCAGCACTGCGTTCCTGGTAAGCACACAAAAATCGCGCGTCAGTTCCGTCCAAAAGGTAAGCGACTGTGGACAAAACTTCTTCGAATTGTGTAGGTTCGTAAAAACAGTCTGAAGCTAATAATAAGTCGACAGGGCGTAAATTGTGTACGTCTGCTAAGAAAAGACCCCAGGCTAGGCCGAGTATTTGGACGTCGCGGCCAGGGACCAGACCGTTGGCTTCACAGCACGCCGATAAGTGCCTTATGGAGCGTGGTAAGGCTACAGAGTCCGTAAGAGTAACGCGAGCACCGCACTTCGCCGCTAGAATTCCAGGCAACCCAGTACCACAGCCGAGTTCTAATACACTCAGACCACGCAAATGCCGCCTTTGGGTCCACAAATACCAAGCAAGGAGTGGCGCAGAGGGCCACGTGTAAAACGAGTAGCCAGCGGAAAGTAACTCTGGTATAATAATCTCCAGGTATTCACCTCTGGTGTCTCCGTTAGAAGATGATTTTCCTCGAAACACGAACTTTTTTATCTGACCGCTTACAGGGCGACCATCGCTCATTGCATAAGCATAAATTGGTTGGAGAATTTACGAAAAAATTGATTGAAGCAGAACAGAACCAAAAAAAATGTCAGATTCGATTCGTTCGCTGTCAATTTGACAATCAAAGAATTCATAGACAGTATTGCTGTGTTGCCAAAAACTATAATATAATATTTACCAAAAAAGGGCTTAACTTTTAATAATATTAAAAGTTTTTAACACATTTGACATGATGAGTAAATGAAAAACTGAGCTTAACTGGCCTACTCGCAAACTTTTTTGATATTTACAGTGGTGTCAGTTCAGGGGGCCATTCGCCTAACGGAAATGCTATGGAAAACGCTAACGCTTACGATTTCATTTTGTTATTTCTAGCCGCCTGAGGTTTTCAAATGTCTCGCGCTCTTTTTTTTTCTTTTGCATTGGTAATAACAAAATTAAAGAAAATGAGCGTGAGGTATTTGAAAACCTTCGGCGGTCAGAAATAACAAAATGAAATCGAAAGCGTTAGCGTTTTCCAAAGAATTTCCGTTAGACGAATGGCCCCCTGCCCTGGTATGAGTCTCTATTATGGTGCGAAATAGTCTGACCCGGTTGTAGGTTACGGTCATACTACAACTGGGTCAGACTATTTCGCACAATATGCCGATTAAAAACGAGACTGGATATGTGAATTAAAGTAACAAGTATAAAACATTCCCTTAACTTTGGATTACGATGATTTCACCCGACAGTCAGTCACCAGTTGGCGCCGCTAACTGGTGACGTTTGAAACCTCCAGGGAAATGATTGATCGGCACGGAAGACCGCGGGGCGCGACGATGGGGCGCGATGGTAATATAGGCAGCGAACGAACGATTGTTTACTTGAGTATCCACCGACGATTTTGCGACTGAGGCATTCGCGCCTCCATTCAATCGTATGAGTAAGCGGCCCCTGCATGTAAGAAGTTATTCTAGCCCTGGCGTGTCACGATGCAACGTTTTTATACATTTATTATGGGTTAGAGAGAGAGAGAGAGAGAGGTTAGAGAGTCGACACGACACGGCACGTAAATATGTCGCTAACCATAGTAAATGTATGAAACCGATGTGCTTCTGGCGTGTCGCAACACGACACGTTAATGTTTCTGGCTTTATATAAGTTTCTGTCAATGGTGTCGATTCTGACGTGATTCTCTAAACTTATAACTAAATTTACCATCTATATCTCTTTTTAATTCTGTATAGAGAATGAGAAGGATACACTGTTATCAAATTTAAGTTTAGGTTTAGAGAATCATGCCAAAATCGACACCAATGTCAACCTTACATTTGTTCCATAAATGAACAGAGAAAGGACAATGGGCAAAACGCACCCAGCTCCGCCAACAATGTAATTAGTATGAATCGATAGATCTATAAAAAACTAGCCTTTTTTTATTATGACACCGAAAATAAATATCCTGGGAGTCAGTAGATATGACACATGGGCATATTTAAGTAGCTGAATAAATTCATTTTATAATACCTTCATTTTATATTATTAGTAATCATAATAATATGCCATATCGTACTATACAACCAGATATACGACAAAGCCTGCCGACCATCCTGCGCTTGCTCTATCTGAGACATTTCAAAACGGTTTACGGATGCTGAAAGATTTGCAGTTGCAAATAGTCGTCTCGTCTTACTTCGTTGTCATTGTGCGCTGCCTGCTATTTGATTGATTTTTAACTAACACGCTTTGGATATTGGAACACGATTTTCGGATTTGTCAATTAGTATGGATGAACTGAAATCATGTGTTCTCCGAAGCGTGGACAAGTTTGTGTAATCTGTGGTCGCTCCGATTTACATAAAAGACAATTTACTATAACGAACAGAATGTTTAAAAAAATCCCAACCCATGAGGGGATTTTTAGATTTACTCTAGCGCGGCAGAATAACATCCTTATTTTATTCTGCCGCGCTAGAGTAAATCTGCGTGCCCCCTTGGGCACGCTTGCACCTTGTGAAGTACTCCCATAATTCCTGAGTACACTATGGTTGCTTTCCAATTACAGCAATAAAGCGCATTATGCGGCATAATGCTTAACGTTGAGTGTTCCAACTACAGCAACGCTTCGCACAATTGAGCACTCTCAAAAGTGATGCTTTCGTGTGATGCGTGCAATCGTACCAACTTAGAGACAGAAAATTAACAAGTGTTTTTTCTTTAAGTTGGCATTGATCGAAATGTTTTATTTATATGTTATCGTTAGTAATATTTTTTATCGTTGAAAAATTATTAAAGCTTTCGTTTCATTAAATAGTTTTTTTTTAATAATCAAAGTTCATTCAAACTGTTAAAAAATAAATATAAGTATGGATGAAGGTACAAACATTGACTTTTTTTTTCAACACTGAACTTAGCGCACTCTGCTGGTGCATTTGAAAACTAATTCACGTTCCAATTAAGCATCAGCAAAAAAGCAATCAGTAAAAATACAACACATTAAATATTAGGAAAAGCAAGAATTGTAATAGGAAAAGCTCACAAAAGCTTCTAAATAAATAATTAATAAAAACTTAAGACCAGGCTGTATAGGCATTGTTTCCCTTGCCTTCCCAGAAAAGGGAGTATTTAAAAGAATAAAAAATTCTTCGCTCCCCTTCCCCTCCCGCCCTCCATCCTTTCCAAACGGGCAAGCAAGCGCCAAATCGAAAAGCAAAACATTAGACATGGGCGTTTTTGGTTTTGAACGCAAACGGATATATATCGGATTTCAGATTTCAAAATCGATTTCAAAATCCGTTTTTAGATATCCGATTTCAGATGTGCCTAACTTAGCCAATTCACTAGTTTGTGTTAAGATTTGGTTTTATTAGCTAACGACAATAACAAACAATTAATTAACGATATTTTGAAAACCAACACAAAACTCGTCTAATCAATTAAAAAGTCAACAGTTAAAAAAAAACAAATTAAAAACGTCTTTTTCTCGGTAGAATATTTATTGATAAGAATATAATTAAATTGCACAATAGGAACAAGGAATTGAATGAAAATAAGAATAAGAATTTACTTGCACGCGTGGGTCACACATTACCTGCGCGTGGTGCACCAGCCTGGTGTGGTCGTATAGCGCGGCGTGGTAGGTGAAGCATGCCCGGCAGGTGGGGCACGCGTGGGTCACACATTACCTGCGCGTGGTGCACCAGCCTGGTGTGGATGTATAGCGCGGCGTGGTAGGTGAAGCATGCCCCGCAGGTGGGGCACGCGTGGGTCACACATTACCTGCGCGTGGTGCACCAGCCTGGTGTGGTTGTATAGCGCGGCGTGGTAGGTGAAGCATGCCCCGCAGGTGGGGCACGCGTGGGTCACACATTACCTGCGCGTGGTGCACCAGCCTGGTGTGGTCGTATAGCGCGGCGTGGTAGGTGAAGCATGCCCCGCAGGTGGGGCACGTGTGGGTCACACATTACCTGCGCGTGGTGCACCAGCCTGGTGTGGTTGTATAGCGCGGCGTGGTAGGTGAAGCATGCCCCGCAGGTGGGGCACGCGTGGGTCACACATTACCTGCGCGTGGTGCACCAGCCTGGTGTGGTCGTATAGCGCGGCGTGGTAGGTGAAGCATGCCCCGCAGGTGGGGCACGCGTGGGTCACACATTACCTGCGCGTGGTGCACCAGCCTGGTGTGGTTGTATAGCGCGGCGTGGTAGGTGAAGCATGCCCCGCAGGTGGGGCACGCGTGGGTCACACATTACCTGCGCGTGGTGCACCAGCCTGGTGTGGTTGTATAGCGCGGCGTGGTAGGTGAAGCATGCCCCGCAGGTGGGGCACGCGTGGGTCACACATTACCTGCGCGTGGTGCACCAGCCTGGTGTGGTTTTTAACTATAGAAATATATTTTGTTTACTAAAACATTGTACATGTAAACTTAAACTTAACACGAGAGACTCATCGTAACGTTACCGAGCGTTACACTTTTTCATAAGTGACTCCCAGCCGCAACCTAATTTAAGACGTTGTCACGTCAAAATTTCAATAATATGTGGGTACACAATTTACTAAGTTGACTTATTATTATTATCTTTATGAACTCTGAACTCCAATCCAGTCTTAACAAACCGTAATTAATAATTATCTAAACCCGGCAAACAAAAATCACTGACTGACATGCGTGCACTTGCATATCAAGGTCAAATTTGCATCTAAACAAAAGCACCAAGTTTTTGTAGTAAACAAACGCACGCTAAGATATAAGCCAAAATACATCACCTCACAGCCTAGTCACGCAAATATAGTCTTTAAGTACTGTGTCGTAAGACTATATTGATCGCACATATTCAATGGCAATAGATTTCCGTAAACAAGAAATCCAAATCGGACTTCCGAAATTCGCGGCATCTTTTTTACTCCGCTTTGTTACGATTGGTAAGAAAGAGACAAAGCGAATTTTACTGACGTTCGAAATTGTAAACAAATTCGCTTTCTCTCTTTCTAACCAATCGCTACAAAGCGGAGAAAAAAAGATAGCACGAATTTCGAATCCGATTTACATTTGGATACGTGATCGCTAGCGTTTTGGTTCGGTTAGATTTCTGAAATCGGATTTTCTAGTTGAGAAATCGTTCGGTATCGATTTGTGTTTGAAATCGGATTTTGGATTCGTTTTGATATATCGGACGCATGCCTACAAAACATATTTGACGTGGTTGTGAAGGCGTTAACAACTTGTACCTACCTTGAAATTATTTACTTTTAATAGTTTTATAAAAAACAACTAAGAAGACACATCATGTCCGTAGCAGTAAAAGGTGAGTGGATCTTTCATTATGTCCTGCTCAATTTTTTTAAACGTAGGTTATAATAACTTTGTACCGAAGGGGTCAAATTCCAAACTCATCAACAGTTTTACTATGTAGTTGAGATCTAAATAATTATCCACCAAAATATAGATATCGCATCCTTTTCAGGACTAATGCTATCGAATAATTCAGTGTGGATTTCTGTGATAGAATAAATTAATAACCGTATGATTTACTAAAGCTGCTTTGAAACTTAATGGCAAACAATAATTTTAAATTATTTTTTTATAGGGCATTCAACTTGGATTTTAACATCTAGCCTTAGCCTAGTTAGTAGAAAAAATTTTTTGTTAATTATACAGTGAAAAAAATATAATAAATTAAACAATTAAAAAAAAAAGTTTTATCTAGCCATAGGGCTAATTTACTCTAGAGCATAATTTACTCTAGAATAGTCTAGGGTAAATCAATTTAGAAAACGAAAAAAAGATGAAAACTTGAGTTTTTTCCTGAAACAGCCTTTAGTTTTCATGTTAGTGCAACATTGTAGTACAATCAGTGTGCACACCTTTCAGAACATGATAACAATAGTTTAAACCTATTTTATTGATTGATGATTGATTATGGTACGTCGAGTTGACTGTAATTTTATGCCAGAAAGATCATATTTTAAGAAATCATTCTGCATAGTTTCATATAAAACAGCCCTACCTCGAGCGCCAGAGCTATGTAACTAAGATTTTAGTATGAAAATATTTAAAACCATCTTAAGGCCCGAGTTCACCAACATTTTAAACAAGCATTTATCTCCTAAACAACCCTTTAAACATTTTTTTGTGTTCACCACGTGTTAACCGGCGGTTATATCCCTTAAACGGCTGATCAACTTAACCGAGCTCGAAACCATCGTTTAACTGTCGGTCAGACATTATTGACGTTTGCTGTGTATCGGTTGCTACAACAATATTAGGTTGTATCGACTTTTAAAATTTTTGTATTGTGCTAAGTTAAAATGCAGTCAGTGTTTTATGATATGATTGATAACTATCAAGACTACTACTTAAATCTTCTTGAGAATCCAGATGATATATAAAGAAAAATTAAAAAGGGGAAGAATAAGACAGCAGCGAAATTTTGATAGTACCTAATAGTAACCCATCAAGAGACTTGTACCCTACCAGAAGAGCATTAATCTCAAATTATATTGAAAGTCTGGTGTAAATATTAAATAACAAGATTTTTTAAATTCTACTGGTATATTTTCTTTATACATATAAAGATGCCATAAAAATGAGAAATAAAAGTCAATAGAACTAATCGTACAGAACGTGACAAAATTAGTAAAAGTATTCAAGGATTTTATTGCATTAGAAAACTAACTAGAAAACTTAGATAATTTAAACACATATATAACAAATTCATAATTTTCGTCCTCCTTTGAAATAGGCGTTTTTAAATTACTTGGAGGCCGTGAAATCCAGGTTTCACCTTCCTGTAAAAAACAATAATTACTATAAAAAACTGAAAAAAGCACTTCATTATCACATTAGTTAGAATAGTATTTGAACTTACATTATTTTCATTTAATATGCCCTTTGAGGTACTGGCTTGGCACAATGATTCCTCAACTTCAACATCATCTTTATTATTCGGTTGTCTGACCTCGGCCATGGACAAAATTGTTATTTCAATATTTTCCTGGAATACATTGTATACTGAATATTAATTAAATGTCAGTAAACATTTTTGTCTTTAGTAAAAATATGCCACCTGAAATATAAAAAAGCACACATTGCAGAAACAAAGAACAGGCATGAAATATATTATGTGAACAAAAAGTAGGATGTAATAAAATAACTTATATCAAATCGATTTCTCTTCCTCAAATAATAAATCACCACGTGAGCTTTAAAAGTACATACCAGTCAAATAAACTCGTTTTTTCTGGCTGCCCGATCTTTCTAGGTTTGTCTTTTAATATTTTCCCATCAACACTTTAACACCGTATGTGTTTGATGGCAATATGTGCTGATGGTGTTAAATTCTTCAGAAAGACGAATCCATCCTTTTATCTTTATTGGCTTCGTGGTAGCATGCAGTGCGCTTATTTTCAACCATGTCCCGGTATTTTAAAACCAACTCCGAAAGAATACGTTCCTCGCCACTAGAAAAAAAATATCGTTCGCTTTTTTGGCCTCCTAATTCCATTTTAAATAAAAAATATGTTTTAGCTTACGAACCGGCTTTCTTCACAATCACAAAACACAACACAAATGAATATATTTTACTTTGACATTGACAGCAAACGATTTTATCCGACTGAAATTAAAACTATTAGTATTTTAACTTTGTTAATACATTGTCATACTTTTCAAGTTACTAGTAGTAGTAAACTACTCAATTTGGATGTTACTGTGTAGCATGTCGACTCAATGAGATACTACGACTTTGCAAATGAGCCACATTATACCATTCGTTCATTCACTCTAAACGGCTGGCGATCGGTTGATTTGTAAACCGTGGTTAAAATTTTCGTTGTGAACAGTAATTTTTTGACCGGCTGTTTAGACATTGTTTAGGAATTAACTGGGTGATTAACTGAACGGAGGTTAAACAATAGTTGATGAACTTGGGCCTAAGTTTAGCTAAATTCAGAAGTCAACATTGTTGTTTTGTGTTTTAATGCACTAGATGTAAAACTTCTTGCCTTCTATAATTTTTGTATGTACTGTTGGATGGAGAAATATCATATTATTATGATAGGTCTTCTACCTAAATAACAGATCATTGACTTGGTTTCCCTCAATCAGGCATCTTCATAGTGGGTGCCAAGCGCACACCATTCGGTACTTTCGGGGGTGTATTCCGCAATACTTCAGCAACTGAGTTGCAGACTCTGGCCATCACGGCCGCCCTGAAGGATGCAGGGGTTACGCCCGACAAGGTGGACTCTGTAATAGTTGGGCAAGTTATGGCGGTAAGTCATTGATGCAAAACCACAAAGTCATTTCATCATCATCATCCTATTAATGTCATCACTGCTGGAGTAGAGGCCTTCCCTATGAATGAAATAAGGAGATAAGGTCATGGCCCATCACGCTGGCCCATTGCGGATTGATGGGTGCTAACGACTGCAGATGAAGCCAGGACCAATGGCTCAACGTGCCTCCTGAAGCATGGAGGAGCTCAAGATAATAAATTTTTGGTCACTCTACTAGAATTTTATTGTAGTTTTTAATTTTTAAACACAAAAATGTTACCATATTGCATCAAAAAAGTTAAGGATGTGTTAACAGGAGTTTAAGAAAAAAAAATGTGCACAGACCACACATCTGAAATAAAACTTCTTGTCTTGAATAACCCAACATTAGACGGTGCATAAGACATAGGCACTCATATAGTGATGGATGCGCTGCTCCATATGTATATACAGATATATATATATCGCACCTCCGGTGCGACACTGCCACTTATGCAAAAAAATCATTTTTTCAGGAGAAGCATTTAAAACTTTAACATCGCAAAACATACAATATTTAAAGCTTTTTTTTTAATTTTTTTAGATGAATAGCTAAGCTGTATAAGCTTTTCATCACGTAAAAATCTTTAAATATTGTTTGTTTTGGCATGTTAACGTTTTAAACGCTCATCCTAAAAAAAATTTTTTTGCATAAGTGACAGTGTCGTACCGGAGGTGCGATATTATCGCGTGACTCTCGTGACCCTATTAGCGGTTCAGCCTTCGCCGATTACCCTCCAACTATGCGCTTATGCCACACACACACACACACACATATATATATGTATATAGGTATATATATTAGTCGTGTGACGCTCGTGACGCATTTCCGTTTTATCTTTACCATAGGATTTTTCCATTTACACCACGCCCGAAAAGAAGTTTCACTTAAAAAATTTAATACAAAAAAATGCCTAATGCCTAAACAAGGTTTGAAACCGCGTCCAACTTTTTTGTAGTAAGACTGTAAATGTCCAATTGGTTCACTGTTACGATTCCGTGGCAGGCATCTCAAACAGATGGCACCCTCACGCCGCGACACGCCGCGTTGAAGGCAGGCATCCCTCAGGAGAAGCCGGTGCTGGGCGTCAACAGACTATGCGGTTCTGGCTTCCAGTCCGTCGTCAACAGTGCTCAGGTAATTAACGACATCGCCTATGAATACGAGCATTTGTACTCCAATCTTGGATGTTTAATATGTATTTCTATATAATTATACTTATATAATATATGTACTGTATATGTATTCTATCCGTTACCCTAGTATCCTATAACACAAGCCTTACAATGCTTACTTTGGGGCTAGGCTAATTGGTATGAGAGTTGGCAATATTTATTTATGGAAATATTTACTTTTCTTTCAGTTACTTTTTTTTAAGATTGGTAAAAAAAGTTTTTATTTAATAAAACTTATTTACTAAGATCAAGTGAGAAATAGCATCAGATTTTTTTAATAAAACTTATTTACTGAGATTGAGAAAACAAAACAACCGATTCTTAATCATATTTATTTATTAAGACAGAAAAAACATTAATCAGAATTAAGCTCTTCAATTCCGCTCATCTCTGCATTACCACCAGTGTTGCCAGGTCCGATTTTAAAAAATCGGGTGACGTTATAGAAAAAAATGGTATATGTATAGAAAGAGCTACAAGAAAAACAGTAGATGCAAAGGCGTACTTTTTCCATGCAATTTAAAACAGTAAATCGTATTCTAAGAAAATCAGAAGATTCATGTAGAAAAACAGTAGAACAGGAGAAATTTCAGAAAAACAGGAGATCTCCAGTAAAATCTGGAGACCTGGCAACACTGATTACCACCGGAGTAGTTATAAATAATCATGCACTATTTCTAGGTCACATACGAACATGCATCCTTTATGTAAACGAAAGTTTCAAATCTAGTTTCTGAACGCAACTTAAAATGACATTTGGTTGACGATTTAGGTTAACAAACATTCATAGCCAAAGCTCAATTAATGAAAAAAAATATCAACCAATATTAATTATCAATATTTGTTATTGTTTGTTTACAAGTGTTTGTTTTTATTCTAGACTTAGCTGAGTGCTAAAATTTTAAGTTTTTTTTTGCAAACCGTACTTTTCAAGCGACATTTGACAGATGGAGGTCATTGGCTTTCCTATTCTTATTTGAATCGCATTATATACCTCTTCCTTCACAGCTGGCAACGCATGATGACCATCAGATAGACTGCCAGCTCGTTTGCCTGCACCAACCCAAAAAACTTAATTTAAATCTAAAGAAAATTTTACTTTATAGAAAAAAATCCACGCAGACCTGGCAGCAGACGGGACTCGAACCCGCACCCTCAGATTTAGCAGTTAAATGCTCAAATAATAAAAAAATCAATTAATTGAAATTGTTCGTTAGTTCGTATTACGTCTATATTATTCCAAGATTGATTCTTGATTCAATAGGATTTAAGTATATAGTACAGATATTAATATTTATTGAGCAGTTACTTATACCATGTCACTGTGCTGGATGATAGAACAGCTTTATTTATTTTGATTTTTATCGATCTCTATAAAACACAACCGATTACATTATAGATAGTTCATCCCCTACTTATAGATTAAGCTCTTGTATTTAGGGTAATTTACCGAGCTTTGCATAAATAACATTTCCAAGGAACGGCGCACGACTTTTTATAGATAGGTCCGACAAATGACTCCACCCCACCTGATGTTAAGTGATGGTGAAGTCCAGACGTGAAGATACCTGGTAAAGCAGTTCTACCTGCCACACCAGCCATCCTCACCTTGCCGGCCTGCATGTTGCTTCTTCACGCCTCTTTTAAAGGATCCCAGGTTGTAAGGAGGGAATACGTGAGCAGGCAGAGCATTCCATTTACGGATAGTGCGACAAAGAAATGAGTCACGAAATTTCTTGTGCGCGTGGTCCTCTGATGGAAAGGGGAAGGTGGAATAAGAGAGAATAACTCTTCAGAACACTCGCCGTGGTACAGACGATAGAACGCGGTTAGTGACGCAACGTCACGGCGTAATTGAAGAGACTCGAGGTGTTTAGTCACCTTCTCATCGCTTGACTTGCACAGATACCAGTACAAATATTTCGTATGAGAGTTGACGTAATCAAGAGCCATATAGCTAGCCTGTTCTTTCCCCTACACAGTGGTATAAGAATGAAGGTGATAGCAAATAGAATGATTGTAATATTTTCCATACATTAAGTGGGTTGGCGCGTTGCCGACTTTCGTTCCCTCACCACCTCTCCGGGTATTGAAAGGTGCCGAAATAGGAAATCAAAACAAAAGCTTTTGTTTTAGGACATTTTGACTGGAGTCGCTAAAATATCAGTAGCGGGCGGTGTAGAGAATATGTCCCAGGCTCCTTTCGCTGTCAGAGGTGTAAGATTTGGCACAGCTCTCGGGCAAAACTACGCTTTCGAAGACACCCTATGGTCCGGCCTTTCGGATTCTTACTGTGGCCTACCTATGGGCATGACTGCTGAGAAACTTGGAGCTCAGTTCAATATCACCAGGGACGAAGTGGACAACTTTGCGTTTAGGTCGCAGCAGAGGTGGAAAGCTGGTAAGTAGTCTAGTACCCATACTTAAAGTTGGTTGGAACCTTAGATTTAAACAAAAAGGCAAGATACGGCACTCGCGGCTCAAAAGTGTACCGCTTAAATTGTGGTGCATGAACACAATTCGCTTTAGTAACAGTTTGACAACCAAACACGCTGCATTTGCACTGAATATAACAATATTGCGTATATTCTGTGTTATAAAGTAAAAAGTCAAAATCAAATAACAAATGCCACGGCAACACTTTTCGTGTTCGTTGTATATTTTATTGACATTCATAAACCTGTAGTAAAATGTTATAAGTGATTAATTCTTTTTTTATTCTAATTTGTTCCTTATGTATTTGCATGGTATTTTTGAAATGGCAAAACACGTGCGCAATCACTTTACCGAATACCGTGTATTTAGCAAAAACAAAAACAAAATTCAATATCGTTTATTCAGTCTAGGCTGTTACAAGCACTTGTGAATGTCTAAAAGCTACGCCATCGGATCGCAAGTCTACGGCGGGAAACCTTGTACTAGGAAGAACCGGCAAGAAACTTAGCAAGGGTGTTTTTTTCACTCATTATTATATAGTCGTCAAATTGAAAAATGTCTTTAATATGAGATAACTCATGAAGACACTTTCTTTTACAAATCGATAAAGATTATCGTTTTGATTACTTATAAATTCCCGATCCTCTCCTCTGCTTAGGCAATGACGCGGGCGTGTTTAAGGCAGAGATCGACCCCGTGACCCTGACCATCAAGAAGAAGCAGGTGGTGGTGTCCGTTGACGAGCATCCTCGCCCGCAGACCACTCTAGAAGGTCTCAAGAAGCTACCCCCCGTCTTCAAGAAGGAGGGACTTGTCACAGCCGGTACCGCTTCGGTGAGTTCATATAAAACTACTGTTACAGGAAATAACCGAACTTCAATCGATAAGCGACGTCCCTATTGTTTAGCTCTTTCGGTAGCATTACCTATCATTATCAACTGACAGATGTGAAGCGGGATTCCCCGCGTATGCACGAGCCACTGATGCCAGATTGGGGGATTCCCCCCCGTTAGGTTTTTAAAACTTTGGGGGGATTAATGGTGGGAAGAAATTTGGATTTGGGGGAAGTGGGGGTTTTGAATTACATTTTTAATATAAAAATAAAACCACTTCATAAACTTTTGATCTGTAAAAAGTCGTGATCAACAGTCAATGAATATGACAAAGATATACTGTTGTCAAATTTAATTTTATTAGGCTCAGATAATCATGCTGGATTCGGACCTCTAAGTCCAAAGCCCACAGTAAAAAATGTAATCGTCGAACCAATCCATCTCGCTCAGTCGCTCGGTCAGCCAAGTCCATTTCAAGTCAAGCAAGTCAGTTAGACGTTAATGGTCGTGTGTAATAATAATATAATGTTGTAATAATTTAAGGAATGGTGTGCGTGAAAACCTAAGAAACAAATACTTTATTTTTAAAAAAATTTGCAATTGGGGGATTTTTTCTTAAAAAAACACAGTATTTTGGGGGGATTTCGGGTAATATTTGGGGGGAAGGCGAAATGGCTTTCTGGTAACACTGGCACGAGCGCGTCTCATTCAGCGGATTGTGAATTTGTGATTTGGATATGCCCATGGAGCACCCCCACTAGAGTCCGCATCACACAAAATTTGTTTGGAATCAAAATCGCTAAAGTCGGTGGGGTTCAGGGAGGTCAGCCCCGCTGTGATTGGACGCGTCAAGGTCAGATCATATACTCAGTGCAGCGAAGTGATGAGGGTAAGATCGATTTTTGAAAATATCGATATTTTCTATCGATAAACAATTTAGAATAGAGGCGTAGCACTTTGGTGCGCAAATGCGTAATCATACCCTCTCCACTTTCTTCCAGCGTTCTAATTACATGACGCGACTAGTAACTACATACTAAATTATATATAAGCAACACAAAAAAAAACACGTCCAGGACAAGAAGTATTAATGCAACGATATTAACTACCCTAGATACAACAACTCGAACAAAATCGTGGCCGAAACGTGTCCAAAAGGTACATTGGACGATCCACGGAGGTCCGTAAGATGATCGCGTAGTCAAAAACAATATAATGCCTTATTTAAACATTGAAAGTCACCTTTAATGCATACGGCATAAGGTCTTAATTAAAATGCATGCGTCAAGTTCGTAAAATTTTACGATTTATTGTTATATGTGAAAGAATATAGACCTTATTTTTTTGACTTTTCACTCGCAATTCTGAATGCGCTGTTAGCAATATAGCAAGTACAGACCGCGAAGAAAAGAGATGGCTAAGGGCGACGTATAACCGACCATGCATTTGAATATCACAAATATTTTAAATTAAATCAGTTTATAGTAAGTATTACAACAATAAAATTTGCTTTAAAGGCGTTAATTAAAAACATTAATTAGATACCCGTCGAAAAAACGACACTTTACGTACTATTAGTATTTTTCTGCATTTTTTCACGGAACTCTTTGGCATCTTGACTTTTCAACGGGTCGCGTGTGACTGTGTACTAAGAAGTGCTTGAGTGGAGTTCAAGCACTTCTTGATTGGGACACATTTTGAGCGCTCGTGGTGTATCTAGGGTATTTAATATCGTTAATTCTATGTCTTTATCTAGGTCATAAACTATGCGCACTTAATTTCATACAAATCCGTTTAACCGTTTAAGCGTGAAAGAGTAACAAATATGCATACAAATTTTCGCGTTTTTTCAATTTTATTAGGATATGTTTGAAGTCAAATAAAAACTGTTGGTTGTATACTTATGACATCTATTATTGTATACGATGAAATAAATAGTTTTTATTTATTTTTTCCATTTCCATAGCTGACAAACTTATCGATAAACTTACGCGTTGAAACATGAGCTGCGTCTGAGTCACTAGCAATACACGTGCCGGTGTGAGAGCGAGATAGCATATATGATGTAGCCCATGCGAGAAAGGGATAGTGTAAAAAGACATCAACGCGTTTACCAAAAAATAAATACAATTAACAGCAATTTAATATAACAGTATTTTTGTCTTTTTGTAATGCATTTAAACTAACCAGTGAAAAGTAATACCATTTTTTGGAAGACTGGAAGTTGTACTCGACTTTCCACACAATTTAATTGCACAGTACGGCATTTTTTACAGTTTTTTAACACGAAAACGAGAGAAGCAGTTCGACCAACGCTCGATTACCGAATGAAACGATGTATCGCGACGTCTGTAGGCGTGCCTCACGCATAGGTAAAATACTACTTAAGCTTGGCGTAAGCGCTTGCCCTTGTATGCGGACTCTAGTGGGGGTGCTCCGTGGATGTGCCTCAATGAATTAATTCAGTTTTCTAAAGTAAAGTTTTATCTATCACTACTAACTTGCGCCCGCGATTTCTACAGCGTCAAAGTTAATTATTTGAGAAGATTCTATATAAAAGACTACATGTATGCCAAAGCATAAATCAGCGAAATTCGTTTAGATGTTCTAGTGTAAAGGAGTAAACAAACTGCCATACAAGCTTTCGCATTTATGAAAGGATTATGATGATCTATGGTCTAGACTAGAATAATATATGATGAAGTTGGTCTATGATGTTATAATCTATGGTCTAGGTCTACTTTGAAGTCGGCCTCGTCTGCTGTACCTACTTCAAGAAAACCATTTAAGCGGCGTTTGTAAATGTTTAGTTTATTTGAAGTTTCAAGAAGATGTAACTTTAAGATTTGAAGAAATTAAACTGGCGATTTTGCTTTTTAGACCATTCTGTTTTGAATGGTTCTTTTTTCATTTCTTCATTTAGACTTATTTATTCTTAGTTAATTTACATATATATTTATTTGATTTGATTAATAAAAATAATAAGATTTTTTTCCGACACTCACACCAATTAGCCTAACTCCAAAGTAAGCAGTCCATACCGGGATTAGAACCCGGGACCTCTCGAGTAGGCAGACACCTTGAAACTAGGCGTACAAACCACTTAGTAACGGGGGTCGTCAAAAATTTATATATCGATTATGTAAACATAACGATATCGATTAACGCATAGACTTAGTAGAGAGATATTTTGGAATGGCGGCGACTTAAGACTATATATAAACTATAATGTTTAGTAAATAGTTGGATACATGAGATATGATGTTGTATTGACACCGTTACAATATAATAATTTGTAAATATTGAAACATAAATTATTTAACGCTGTGAAGTTTTTTCGCCACCGCTAAAAATGACCTTAACTGGTGGTTGGGAAAAAAATATGGACGATTCAAAAGAGTTGTATTGTGCATTCAATTTGAATAAAGATATTTTCACTTGGACTTTGTTTGCTTAATATCATGCTCGATATGATAACTTAACATTTGGTGACTTAAAAAAATTGTGAGTCATGGTTAGGGCTGCCATCCGTCCGGGTTTCCCCGGATTTGTCCTAGTTTATGGGGCGTCCGGGGAGCGTCCGGGCGGGGTTTTATTTGTAGTCCGGGTTTAAAAATTTACGGCAACGCATGAGTGGCCCTAGGTGCTGCAAGTGTCCATGGGCAGCAGTGACCACTTATTATGAGGTAGACCGCTAGATCAACATAAAAAAGTTGATTTGTGACATTTTTAACTGTTTTTTTTATTGGTCTGTCCGGGTTCTGGGCTTCAAAATCCGGGGTTATCACGCGTCTTATCCTGGTTGCTACATTTTAGAGATGGCAGCCCTAGTCATGGTGATACACTAACTACATGCCGAGTCAAGATGTGTGTTATAACCAGTTTTTTGAATATGTTTGTATATTCAAAAAAAGTTTAGGGCATTGTCAGCATGACTTTTAAAATTCAACTTTTGTTGAATTATTATTAATTTAACTAATATTTTATGCTCCTACTTTTGTATTTCAATGAAATGATTTGAAATCTATTGGTTTCAAGTTTATTTTGGGAAATCATATATTAAATAAAACAAGCTTCAACGGGTTAAATGCATTAATTTATTTGTTTCTTGACGTTTCGAATCGTTTTCTGGTGGCATCATGATTTTCATTCTGAACACGACTTATTATTTAATTTTATGGTTTTAGTCGTCATTCCATTATATATGAATAAATCTATAAATTAAAAACTTAACGCATATATTTTTTTTTAACTTTATTACTACAGGAAAATCTGTGGTTTTGGCAAAGAAAATAGATGTTTAAATCTAAAGAAAAGTTTTACTAGAAAAAAATTTCACGCGGCACAGGGCCGCGGTAGCAAAATTGGTCAGTGCATTCGCCCGAATAGCGAAGGGTGCGGGTTCGAGTCCCGTCTGCTGCCTGGTCCGCGTGGATTTTTTTATAGTAAAACTTTTCTTTAGATTTAAATATCTAGCAGTTAAATGTTTAAAAAAATAAAAACATAAAATAGATATTTCTATAAAATAGCCCAACCCGTCCATACTTTGGTTTTGTACCAATGTTGGCCGACTGCAATGCTATTGGGTCCAATGTCGGCAATGGGGTTGGCGACATTGGACACAGTAGCATTGAGGTCAGATATATATAGGAATCAATCATGCGTTGGCACATAACCTACTAACCCTTCTACTGCTATTGTATATGTTAATGATTAAATGTTCATTACTCAATCACGGCAAAACAGCTGAATTCATATTTTATTACTTACTTAGATTGAGATAGACACTTTTTCTCCCGGAAAATCTATCTTGAATCCATCATCAATTTTGACGACCTCCGTGGCCGAAGGGTTGGTACGTCGGGTTTCATAGTGTCGCCGACTCGAGAGGTCCCGGGTTCGAATCCCGGTGGGGTCAGATGTTTGTATGGTGAATACGAGCATTTGTACTCCAGTCATGGATGTTTAATATGTATATCTATATAAATATACTTACATATGTAGAGTACATGTATTCTATCCGTTACCCTAGTATCCCATAACACAAGCCTTACAGTGCTTACTTTGAGGCTAGGCTAATTGGTGTGAGTGTTGAAAATATTTCTATTATAATAGTTGAAAATATATATTGATACATCAGTTACATAGTTAATGAAATTTGCCAAATTGATTTATGTTGTTTTACAGATAATAGGGAAGATGCAATATTTTTATTTTTGTTTTCATTTTAAAGAATTCCATGTAGAATAAACCACAGATATATTAAAAAATTAAAACATTGTGATTTATCGGAAAAAATGCGGTTTTGAATTGACAAATTAAATTTTCGCGCGAAAACGAACCTATGGTTGCGATGACGTCACTCCTGTCTGTCACTGGTCGTAATTGTTCGTTGCTGGCTTTAAATTTTCATACTTTTTTTTGCATATTGTTTCGACTTTCGAAATATTTTTTTGAAAAATTTAAAATGGACTATCCATCGACATCATGTGATCATAACAATACCACTAATATTCCGAAAAAAAGCCGTGTTGACTCATGTTTTGTGCCAATCTACTTCAACAAAGTTCCCAAATAAATTGTTTTTGACTGGAACTTCTGACCCAAAACTGAAAAAAAAGTGGTTTCAAGCTGCGAAGAGAATGACAATTATTCTCCAAAGACATTAAGACATTCTCTCATTATTCGATGCTGAGAAGATCACTTTGACGTAAGTCGGCGAATATACTTGTTATATGTTTAATTAATCTGCTTGTACGTAAACCTACCTAATACTTACAAAACCTGTCTATAACATATTTTTAATTTTATAGTTGGAGAATGACGTCGAAAATTAGATAAAGTTTAAAATGTGTGGCACAATCTTCACATTGGCAGGACTGAACCAAGCTTTGCGTTTCATTTAAAATAACTGTAACACGATAACCATCTTTACGTACTTTATGCTCTGGAGAACTCGACCTTTTACTGTACATAATTTTCCATCTCTTTTAATTTGAACATAGCCGATTGCATTATCGCCGTAAGATTTGTAGAAGCTGCTGAATAAAATACGAAGTTTAACATTTACGATTTTTACATACCGTAGTAATTTAGTCTCTTTCATTTCTACACTTAAAATCTCTGCACTTTGGACAAAAAAAGTTATAACCATGTCAACGCTAACTCTTGGTAAATTCTGGAGTCTGCTTTGATAAACGCAACTTTCATTTTTATTAAATGTAAAAAAACGCAATAAATATTCCAATAAAATAAAATTTACTTTAACAGCCATAACCTCAAAGAAGTTGTCATAACAGGAGTGACGTCACTAAACGCTGATTGGTGTTTTAAAATACGTTCCGTTTCAAGTATTTTTAATTCGTAATAATTGTTAAAAAACAACATTATGTAAAATAAAAACGTTGCAGTGGCATTTCTTTTATATTTTTTTAACATTTTAATGATAAAATTTTCATAAATATTATATATGCATCTTCCCTATTGACCTTTCTTTCTCACCTCCAGGGCATTAGCGACGGTGCAGGTGCTCTAGTATTAGCCAGTGAGGAGGCAGCTAAAGGTCTCAAACCACTCGCTAGACTAGTGGGATGGTCGTTCGTGGGTGTAGATCCTAGTATCATGGGCATTGGACCGGTGCCCGCCATAGAAAACCTGCTGAAAGCCACTAAACTGACCCTTAATGATATCGACTTGATCGAGGTGAGTAGATGATAATAATACATCTATACATATAAATAAAATTGGAGTGTCTCTTTGTAATATTGAAATAACCGCTTTTTACTACATGCACATGAATATATATATGGTACATACACCAAAATTTTTTTTTTTACCATTTTTGTCTGTCTGGTTGTTCCGGCTAAACGCTGAAATGGCTGGACCGATTTTGACGGAACTTTTATTGGCGGGTAGCTGATGTAATAAGGAGTAACAGGCTACTTAGGCTACTTTTATTTAAGAAAAATTCTTTTAATTTTAGAAAAAAATAACTTAATGATAACGCGGACGAAGACGCGGGTGGCCGCTAGTTAATAAATAAAATTAAATGCTTTTATTTCAAGGCATGATCTTGTACATGTTTGTAACAATTTCCTTCACCTATGTTAGTATTTCATAATATTTGTATTAATTATTATTATTAATTATTTAACATGTATTTATATTCAAGTGTAGACACTGACTACCTTTTCTTAAAATCTTTCCCACTACGGCCCGTAGTACTGGAAGAAATTTCAAATTAATAAGTAAGTTGTGCTCTTGAACATGTTATCTTTAATTAAGTTGCTCCTACATCTGTATTTGTGTGTACAGAATATATAAATAAATAAAAGATAATTTTCAGCGATACCTTTAAAAAGTCGAAACTACGAACAAAATGTAGAAATTGTAGCTATAAACTCCATGATGCGAGCAACATTGTTAAATAAAAGGGATAACTTTTTCATTCACCATTTGAATTGTCACTAGATCAACGAAGCTTTCGCAGCCCAAACGCTGTCCTGCGCGAAGGCTTTAAAGTTGGACATGGAGAAGTTGAACGTAAACGGTGGGGCCACCGCCTTGGGGCATCCCCTGGGAGCTTCCGGGTCTAGGATCACGGCTCACTTGGTGCATGAACTTAGGTAAGTGGCGAAAATTGTCTGTGATAACATTGTTAAACTTTATACTAGCTGCAACACCATTAAAGTGAGTTGTTGGCTTGGAAAAAATGTATTCGGACATAATTCGCTTATTGTGGTCATGCACCATAATTTAAGCGGCGTCACAATTGGACATTCAAACACGCTGCATGTGCACTCAATATAACAATATTGCGTATATTATGTATTATAAAGATAAAACAATGCCTTCGATGCTTTTATATAGAACATAAATAGTTAAAAATCTAATAAAAAATGCCTCGGCAACACTTCTCATTCGTAAAACAAAAATTAAGTGAAAAATAACATCAGTTTTTTTTTTAATAAAATTTATTTATTAAGATTGTAAGAAAAAAATTAAGTTTTACTAGAAAAATATTTCTTTTTTCTAGTAAAACTTTTCTTTAGATTTAAACATCTAGCAGTCAAATGCTTAAAAACAAATAAAAAAATTTTTTTTGTCTTTTATAATGAAAATATTCTATCTCTCAACAGACGTCGTGGCTTGAAGAGGGGCATTGGGTCCGCGTGCATTGGTGGCGGACAGGGCATCGCCGTTTTAGTCGAAACTGTCTAAAATCGCTATATAAATAAGTATAAAAAAATAACTTAATACACTATGTACACATCTCAAAAATAAATCAAACCTCAAAATGATCAGGGCGTCTACTCTCTTTCTCCGAAACGGGCTTTCGATAACGAAGTTGAAACGAAATTTAATTTCGCCAATTTAAGGTAATTTGAACGATAAACTATCAAATTGAAGCTTCCTTCGAGTAGCCTTAGAAAATCTACACCTCAATCTATATTCCGACGACGAATATTATTATAATTAAAAATGAACCAGAAACATAGTAAGAAGAGTGCGAAGTTTTGATCGAAATTTCGTTTTTCGTTGAATTAGAGTAGGCCTCCAGGTATTCTTCACAAAGTAGTAATAATATCGTTTTGAATGACTCTTTAAACCGAATTTTGTTTTGAGAATTAAATATTATTTCCCGATTTTTGGAATTTAAGAGATTAATGTTAGAAAACTATTATACTTGAAAGACTTTATTAACAAAAGAAATTGTATCTTCCCTATTTAAAGATTGAATATTGAAGTGAATGTCGGCATAAAAAGTGATCATATAATCTTGTAAATATTTTTTATCATATCACTCATTTATGAATAAAACTTATGACAGAGCTATAATATATATATATATATATATATATATATATATATATATATATATATATATATATATATTAGTATATTTTATTAAAGCAACGTAAATATGATGAAAAGTCATTACTTTATTATATTTACATATCCAACATTTAAATTTGTTAACTGCTATTGTTACACAAGTACTGCGAATTTCATTCTTACCATTCAGTAATAAATTCCATGATAATGTCACATCGTAACCATTCAGTAATCCTTGTTTGTACTTTAAACAGTGGACTTCGCACTGGTTCGAAGTTTGTACCGTGACTTTCAATTTCCTTTAATAAACTCTTTATTACAAACGGTTATCAGCACTAAAAGATATAACAAGTCATCATGACAATCTTATCTCATCATAATAAAGATTGGAATTTGATCCCTAAATTTTTAGATATAAGTCTAAGTGAAAATTAAAAACAAGTTTGTTATGTAACCGTTATCAATTTAATATTTATACAAGAACTGTACATTGGACCTTTCTTGTAAGTACATACTATTTTGAAACATTTACATCTATTGTGGATATTGTACAGAAATCATAATATTTATATTGCTATGTATTTTTGATTATTGTGAATGTTTTGTTATTTTTAGATAAACATATGTAATTTAAATTGTAAGCATGAATTGTAAGTTAATAAAACTGTTTTATTACTGTTTTTCTTTGTATTTATTTCTAATGGTTTCACACACATATCCTTCTATAATATAAAAATAATCGCTGAAAGTGTTGCTAAGCTCAAATCTCGAGAACAGCTGAACTGATTTCGATAATTCTTTTTTCAGAATATTCCTTGAAGTACGAGGATGGTTCTTACGCAGAGAAAAATAAAAAAAATGGCTGAAAAAGTCCAAAAACAACATTTATCTATACTCCCATACAAACGATTCGTAGTAATACTTTAAAAGTCAATTTGAACTTTAATACCATACTATTAATTTCAAATGTTAGTGGAGAGGTTCCGGGAAGGCAAAACAATTAAGTGACGTGATATCAATATAAGTTTGGAAAAGGCAAATATACCATTTTCAGTTTTTTTTATAATTATATGAAGAGTCATTTTAGTCTACACTAGGTACATCTCTACACCAAAGCGAAGCGAGGGCGGGCCACTAGTAGTTAAATAAAACCATTTTTTTACTGTTACAAAGCGCTATTTGCTGACTTTGACAGACTATAAAAATTCTGCGCTCAGTGTTTTAGACTTTAAAAGTTAATCAAAATCGAAATAGCTCGTGTTTAGGTGTTGGGTAAAAGTATCTGCAAAACCACACAATTAGGCGCTTTGCAGACGACGGGGCGGGGCGGGCTTTTTGTCCGCGAAGCAATCAATAACAACCGCGTCTGCCCGTCGATGTCTGCGGCTGCCCTCGCCGCGTACACACAAAGCACACGACGGGCAGAGGCAGTCAGTTCAGGACGTTCGTTCTAGTGAATAGTCCATCACTAAATAGCGCGCGGCGCAGACTGAACTAGCCGCCCCGCTCCGCCGTCTGCGTTACTGCATATAAACTGGTTTGTATGATCCACGGCGGGCAGCCGCGGACACCTGCGGCGCGATCTTTTTGCCCTCTGTGTGCGTTTGTAGTATAGGATTCACTTTGTGCTATCGTTCGCGGCGAAATTGACCGGCCCGCTCCGCCGCGCCGTCTGCAAAGCGCCTTAATTCCTACAACAATTTTTCAGATGACCGGGAAATCCGGGATTGTCCCGGAATTTTGCGTCTTGTCCCGTGTCCAGTAATTAGATCTTATTATCCCGAAATCCTCGAATACAAGTTTTTATCATAATATTACTATAAACACAGCCACATTCAAGGATTGTATTTGGGATTGGGCTGTGAAGGGCGAGAGCAACCATATAAAGGGTTTTGATTCTAGGGCGGGGCGGGGGTGCAAATGTCCAGGAATTGATCAACAATAGCCATATAAAGGCATTCGTTACTGACCTATATTTTGATTTGATGTGATGTTTTATTTCTGGGGGAGAGAGAAAATGTCCTGGAATTGATAATCCAGCATCTGGCAACCCTAGTCACAACGTGCACAAGAGTCAGCGGACGTGAGTATTGAGGGACCAGGAGGTCAATCGTCTAACGGGATTGTTATGGCAATCGCTATCGCTTATGATTTCATATTATTGTTTCTGACAGCAGTTTTCAACTGCCTTGCGCACTTTTTTTTTCTTTTGCATTGGTAATAACAATATTAATGCTGTTATTTCCCTTTTAATTAATAAATAAAAATCATAAATAAATATTGTTTAAAGGAAATGAGCGTGAGGTATTCGAAAACCTTAGGCGGTCACAAATAACAAAATGAAATCGTAAGCGATAACGATAGCCATAGCATACCCGTTAGGCGATTGGCCCTCAGCTTTAATATTCCCATTGATTTTAAATAATATTTTAAGACCTACTGTAACCTAATGTACAACAATAAAGCTTTTATTTGTTAGATACGGTAATAGTTCACTACACTTTCAATCATTTATATTTTTTGTATTTTTCCCGAACTTCATCGTAAATTATTGGAAAATAACTGTACAGAATTTGGAGTACAAATTAGTAAAATGGCTAACCATTAACATTATTGTTAGGTACTAAAGTCCTTTTATTTTAAAGTATGTAATTTTGGGCAAGCGCTTTTTTTTAAATGATCCCAATTTTTTCAGCTTTTAGAAAAGTATCAATTCAATGTTCACACTGGAGGAGTTTACCTAGAATAAATGGTTTTTGGTAACGAAAATCGAAGATTTTTCACGTCACAACTCGGTAACCAACCCGTTTTGACCCCTAGTTCAGTGGATTTCATTTGTTGCTAATGACCTTTAGTATCAACCCTTTCAAGGAATAGGTGGAGTTTTCCTGTTAATATTATATTTTAAGCATTTAACTACCAGATGCGTTCCTGCCTCTGCGAAAGTCACTGCGACAGGAAAGCTTATTGTCACGGGAGGCCCATCGCAGATACGCAAATCCCGAATGCATAGCAACAATTTACATATATTACAGCCCAATACCTCTTTAGATGTGGCAAAACATCCCATAATCAACTTATCTCTAGTGGTGTATTAGGTATTATGATATCGACATCTAATCTACCCAATGTTTATTATCTTCGAAAGGAAAATTTAATAATATGTATTGTAAACAATGAAAAAAGTTCATCAGTTTGCGGGTGTCAATGCAAATTAAGGATAGCATGGGATTAAAAATTTAATGATATTTATAAGGAATTAAAAGATCGCACTAGGCAGATGTAATTTATTCAAGTAATCCCAAACCAGTATAATAATACTTCAAAAATCGAGACTGTTACTTTAAACCTAACACTTTTGGGAACTCACGAGCTGTCGTGCCACCACTTCAAGCGGTTGTCAACAAAGTACCTACTACTTAGTTACTTATAACTTTTTTATTTGAATGTTAATTACTTCTTCTTGTTATCTATGAAATTGTACTTTTTATTAATAAAGAAGGATCACCAAAGCGGTTTTATTTCTTAGATACGATTCGATCCAAATACACATCGTTCGCTCGAGAAAGCCGCAGGAAAAAGTAGTCATGCTTAGCGAACGCTTATCATCACACACAACATCATTCGTCCATTCGGCCTCGACGAGTTTAAGCCGAAGAACGTGTTTCCAGTTGTTGTTTGTGTATTTATTTGAGGTTCATTCGTTATAATGGCTGTTGCTATCAATAAAGGTACGTGGTAAAACTATTGATAAGTATTTGATTATAAATTTGGTGATAAATAAACTTTTGCATGACATTTTCCCAATTTACATTTCATTTATTGAAATGAAGTATGTAGATAAAGTAAATAAACCCTTAAAAACAAAACGAAATCAAGTTAACTAATTGATACTTAATACAACCTATTTATTAAAAACCAGCGAAGTAATGTTTACAAACAAAATCGTCAACAGTTCAATGGCACTGGCTCAAGGCTCAAGGTCCAATGAATGATTGAATGACAGAATGTGAAACATTTGATTTCATTAAACGAAAATACTATTTTTTTTTAATGTTTATTTATTTATAAAGGTACATTAAACAGCCAAAGGCCAGCAAAAATGTACACAGCTGAATAACATAAGTAAACCTTAGTAATAAGTAAACGGCGTAAAGTGAACTTTTAATAGTGGTAATGTTCTAAATGTCAAATATAGGTACCTACCAGTTTATACCTAGGTATCACCTTTTTATTTTGGTTGAAACCGTGTTCCTAGCATCTAAACCTGCCTGATACCACGGAATTATTAAAATAAGTACCATAGTGTTATTGATGTCAACAGCTCTTCTAGCGATTTTATTGTGGTGCTTTTTAGATACCACGGAGTTCAGTATCGCTCGCACGTTACCAACTCTGTCCTCGTATCGCATGAGCACCACAATTTACATTATATCACGTTTTTATCGCGTCTAACTGTCAAACTTCATAGTAATTTGACAATTGAGCGTGATAAAAAACGAGCTTTATATCATATCGCGGTGCTCATGCTAAGGGGGTACGTCACGTATTTTATCGCGTTTAACTGTTAAATTCTATAGCAATTTGAAGATTGAGCGTGATAAAAACGCTTTATATATCATATAGCGGTGCCAATGCTTGGCGGGCTGAGTCCATTCCGTACTCCTCTGAGTAGGTTCTTAACTGGCTTTAAGCACCTTACTATCTTAATAGTGACAGTCTTACAGAATAACACACTACAGGAATAATATTTTTTTTCTGTCATCTCTCACTAAAGAGCAGGAGGAACACTTCGATTCTATAGGGATTTTTGTCTTCTGCCATCAGGGGCAGAAGTATGGAATTATCTCTGTCGAAGCTGATTGCTGTATTAAAGAAACCTTTTCAGGTATCTTCATAGTGGCAGCCAAGCGCACGCCCTTCGGCCGCATGGGAGGTAAACTGCGGGACGTGTACCCCTCAGACCTGTTAGCCACTGCTGCCAAAGAAGCTTTTAAAGCATCCGGAGTATCGCCATCAATCATAGATTCCGTTAACATTGGACAAGTTTTTGCAGTAAGAATATACTTAATCGCTTACAGTTTCACAGAATATTGTCACACGCATTTAAAGAATCAAGGTGAAACTTATCTTCTACTTTCTTGATAAAAAAGTAGGATTTAACGTTTAGAGAGATATCCCGCAATTTGTTCATCCCCCTACGGTTGGAGTTATAATCACACATAGACCACTTCAACTGCTTAAACCTTCTCCCAACACACGAATAAGTTAAAGGCAGAAAACTTAAGTCTGCCATCCCATAACGGCAATTAAGAATTTCCATAATCACAGCCCCAACGCGCTAGTGGAGATACAAAATTAATAAAAGTTCACAGTATTTTTTTTTGCCTTCGAAGGCAATGATATTATGTGGTCACCGTCGTCCATGGACGTCAGCAATGCCAGTGACAACCATGCCGCTGCCTTTCATGGAACACTCTATTTAATTATCTTTTGAAGAAGACCATGTTATGGTACTGAGGGAACACCGTGGAGGGGAGCTCATTCTATAAAGGACAATGTTAAAATTGGCCTAAGAACCGACACCAATTTGGCATTTATGATAATTCTTAGTATATTTTTTGCGATAATTATCAGTATTTAGATTGTGACGGACACTTCCAGTTAAGTAAGCTAAATTAAAAAGTTAATAAATAATCTGAGACAATAAATACCATTTTATGTGTATAATCTATGGCAGCGCTGCAAACAAAACACTCTTTCTTCCTAATGCCGGCACTTCACTTGGCTATTCGTATTTGCTGTTTTAAAACATGACATCAGTCTGTCCTATTCATTCCTTATTAAGCATGACAAGGACAAATTGTTGTCAAGTGAAGGGCCGGCATAAAACTTGATACTCTGTGGTTGTGGTGCATGCAGTTTGCATTCGTAGTAATCTGTGGCATTCGTGCATTCCAAAGAGTAGTTTAAATACCGGAAAGTGCATTCTCGTTTCGGATTACCTGTTGTGTGTGTTTATTTGCGATTGTTTTTCCCCATTTCGGCTATCTAATATGCCATCGATGTTACCAAAGAGCAGAGCCCTTATTACCAAGTGCTAGTGAACCTGTGCCACAACATCCTGAGAGGATCATACTGCCAAATTATTCAAGAACACCTGATACACATTCACGCTGCATATTTACACAATATACATGTGATATACAAATAAATACAATAAACAATATGATACAATTGTGTGAAAAATAGTCAATAAATAAGAAGCAAAACTACAGTTTTTATTTTATTCATGATTCCTACCTTACCAAGTTTTCCCTAATAGTTATTCTTTAAAATCGCACCGAATAAAATGAATTAGTTGTAATATTAATTCACTTCATACTGAGTTCATACTAAATTCATAGGTTGACCTATGTTTCATTAAATATTAAACATAACCTCAAAAAATTTTTAGTTTTCCTAATAATTTAAGTTCTCAGAAGTGTCCGTCAAAAATATTTGTTTTTACAGTCATTTACTTACGATTTTGAACCTAGAAAAAAATATTTCATGATTGTTGGTTCTTAGGCTAACTATGTACGGACGCTGAACAATGTCCTTTATTGTCCGTAGAATAAAAGATCTCGAACAGTTATGGGTTTAAGTGTTTCCATGTAAGACAATAGGGGTGATGACGGGATACAGTAAACGAAATTCTATTTAGTCCGTCAGTTAGATGATCAAAAAATAATGGACACGTATTTTTTCTTTGGGCAATCAACCAAAAAATGACAAAGTTATAGCGCGCCATAGTTTGGGAGTAGGGGCTCGTGACGTCACTTTTGAGTGAATTTTCACTTATAAGTGTACTCAAACGTGACGTCATGCGACTTTTCAAATCAATATATCTCTGCAATGTTTATACTATGTGAAAAAAGAAAAAATAAGTGTCCAATACTTTTTGATAATCTACCTGATAAACGAAGAAAAAAAAATAGTCATCATCCCTATTGATTCGTGTGAATCTGAAATAACTATGAAAAATGTACAACAGATCAGCGGATCTTCCGACGGTGGGCTCGCTCCTCGTCACGCTGCGCTCAAAGCAGGCGTAGCTCAAGAGAAACCAGCGCTCGGTATCAACCGCCTCTGTGGCTCCGGGTTCCAGGCCATCGTTAACAGCGCACAGGTATACAATAATTCATCATCATCAGCCTATTAAAACGTGAAGCTCACGTGTTCCCTCTCTCTTACAACCTGGGATCCTTTAAAAGAGGCGTGAAGAAGCAACATGCAGGCCGGCAGGGTCCTCACCCTGTTATGCTCATAGCTGGTGTGGCAGTTAGAACTGCTAAATCAGCTATCTTCGCGTCTGGACTTCACCTTCACTTAACATCAGGTGGGGTGAAGTCATTTGTCGGACCTATCTATAAAAAAATAAAGAAACCGTCTGAAATGACCCATGGGTTGGATTGGAATCCATCGTTAACTCTCTACTAGTTCCCATAGCAGTTAGGACTTTAGGACAGAATTCTATTAATAAAAGGGCCAGTTTTCTAGTGCTGATTTGCGGCAACTATGTCGACTGCAGACGCAGCCAGGACCAGGCAAACATGCGTTCCTAATCAAGGAGTCATGTCTGATAATAAGATAAAGCTCACTAAGCCGACGAGCGGCCGTAGAAAAAGTTGTTTGAATTTCACTTTTGCAGACTTAACTCGCTAACCCCGACGCAATCCATCGAGCTGCTTATACATAACTTACTGCGACTTCGTTTCCGTGGAAAAAATGGTTTCCCATACAAATTTCTACCCCCTTAATGGGGATTTCAATTATAAAAACCATCGTATATCCTTTCCCGGGACTTTGTACCAAATTTAATCTAAATCAGTTTAGCAGTATAATCGTGAAGAGGTAACAGACAGACAGAGAGACACACTTTTGCATTTATAATAATAGTTTGGGTATATAAAAAATAATGGAATACCTTTTATCAATCAATGCTCGTCTGGAATGCTCCCAACATTGGGAGGAAAGTAATCATCCACAGTCAACATGGTAGAATTCCAATTCCAACTCGGCAATGCTCCCAACATTGGAGGCGTTCCAGTCGATCATTGATTCCTTTGAATCCAACATCAAAGTAATCATCCACAGTCAACATGCGAGAATTCCAATTCAGTAGGACGTTAAAAACTATTTTTTCCAGGATATCATGACTGATGCAGCACAAGTTTCGCTTGCCGGTGGCACGGAGAACATGTCTGCAGTGCCTTTTGCGGTTCGTAACGTACGTTTTGGCACTTCCCTCGGCACCAACATCAACTTCGAAGACATGCTGACAGCCGGCTCGTTGGACACCTATTGCAACTTCACCATGCCCCAAACTGCGGAGAACTTGGCGGACAGATACGAGCTGAAGAGAGGAGAGGTGGACGATTTCGCGCTGCAGTCTCAGCAGAGGTGGAAGACTGGTGAAGTTTTTAAGAAATCTTTATAATTTTACTACGGGCTTGATATTTGTTCCTTTGTGAAAGGCTTCATTTCATATACGTACTTTGACGTAGCATCGTAATACTTAACTACTGTACATTCCGGAGACCCTAAAATCTTTTCATCATTATCTACTTTTTCTATAAATTGTAACATAATGAAGTTGCCATTTGGTTGTAAGGTAATTCATTAATCCAACGATTAATCCAACGTTGCTTTCATCACTCAATCGTTGCAAGAATTTGTAAAGCCTGAATACCGTTAACAAACCTCACTTTGCAGCTTACGATACCGGTGTTTTTAAAGAAGAAATGGCGCCTGTAACAGTCAAAGTGAAAAAGCAAGAAGTGGTAGTGGACACAGACGAACACCCTCGACCTGACACCACCAGGGAGGCGCTCTGCAAGCTGCCCGTGCTGTTCCGGAAGGGGGGTGTAGTCACTGCTGGCAACTCTTCTGTAAGTTGACATTTTCTAGAAGTTATGATAGTGGATATTTTGTTTCTCCGGACTCGGTGGCCCCTAGACTCTTAAAAAAATATTGTGTAGATGAAATCCTGCAGAAACCAAGAGAACTCTCCAAAAAATATCAGCACTTTAGTAACGTGTTAATTGTATCTCTTTGTAAAAGGGTGGCAAACGAGCTTATCGCCTACCCATTGCTATCCATTTGCCCATTTTAGTTACTCCAAATCCAGAAACAATTTGCTCAAGTTTATTTTAATATAGTGGAATAGGAACAGAGCTCGTAAATCCGCTGTTCTCTATTTTCAAACCTGCTCCAACTTATTATTTAACTAGCGGCCCGTCCTCGCTTTGCTTCGGTGTAGACTACAGTTTTTGTTCTCAGGCTATTATTATTATACACAATGACATTCATCTATGATTCTTCTTATACCTGCATGCAAAGTCTCAGCCCGATCGGTTTAAGGGGGTAGAATTGATCAAAACCTTTCTTATCGGATACCTACGTCATAACATCTACCTGCATGCCAATTTTCAGCCCGATCCGTCCAGTGATTTGGGCTGTGCGTTGATAAATCACTATGTCAGTCAGTCAGTCACCTTTGAGTTTTATATACCTATATATATACCTTTAATGTTAAAATATTTTCAATCCACATAGGGAGTGAATGACGGGGCAGGAGCTTTGATTCTGGCGAACGAGGAAGCAGTTAAGCAGAACAAACTGACGCCCCTTGCTAGACTAGTGGGATGGTCATTCGTGGGTGTAGACCCGAGCATCATGGGCATCGGACCGGTACCGGCCATACAGAATCTGCTGAAGGCCACCAACCTGACGCTTAATGACATCGACTTGATCGAGGTGAGAGAATGACTAAAGTTTCGTTACTATTAAAGCCCGGACGAGGCCTAGGGGTCTACTATATAGCTCTTTTCGCATTTACTGAAACTCCTTGTCCGTCTGGTGGAGATGGTCTTTCATAGACGCTGTAATGGGCATCGGAACAGTAGGCCTATTTGCTAACTGTTTTTGAGAGACGAAAGTGATAATCACCGAACTATTCAATGATCTACTACTGCTTAATTGTAAGGCCACTAAAATACTTGTTCTGAAAAGCATTGATGGATATGCGATTCTCTCTTTAGTTACACTGTAAATGTCAAAAAAGGCGAGTAGGCCGGTTGTACCGGCTATACAGAACCTGCTTAAGGCAACCAACGTGAAACTTAAAGACTTTCTTGTTATCATCATCAGCCTATTAATGTCTTCACTGCTGGGACACAGGCTTTCCCTATGGATGGAATAATCCCAATCTCCCTGATTGAGTCATGAACCACCACGCGGTTTTGGTCACCCATCCAATGGCTGACCACTGCGGAAGTTGCTTAACTGCAAAGATCGTAGCCGAACGCGCTAACCACTTTCCATCGCTAACTATTTCTGAACATTTATCATTGTAGGGACAGATTTGAAATTTCCTTTTAAGTTGTCTTTGAAGAGGCTCAATTCAGCCATCACAACAGACAGGACATATCGGGTTATGTAACATGGCTTACAGATAAGGGGCAAAAGAAGAAGTTTGATTTGAGTTTTAACCAAAACTGGGTTCTCGTAAGTTTTAGCAATTAGTTAAAACCAGTGTTTCCAGGATATTTTTCTGCTAAAGAAGAACAATGCTTGGACAAACTATTAGACCCAAACATCATCAGCGCGTATTTTCATCGTTTCAGATCAACGAAGCCTTCGCGGCACAGACTCTGGCCTGCGTACGGGAATTGAACATAGATGAGGCAAAACTGAACGTAAATGGAGGCGCCATTGCTCTCGGCCACCCGGTGGGAGCTTCAGGCGCCAGAATTACTGCTCATCTAACACACGAACTCAGGTATCTAAGTTAGAAGGATGGACAAATCCCATCAACCACCATGATTTGAGGTACCTTCCAGAGGGAGATACGCGCGGAATGGAGAGAAAGATGGAAACCGCTCATCTTACTCACGAGCTCGGGTATCCTAGACAGAAAGATGGACAAACCCTCCACCAACCCATGGTCCTTCCTACCCATCATGGTATACGGACCGAATCTTGGGAGAGCACGAAGACTCTTGTTTTGACTCCATATACATTTTGTTTCCGTCCCTATTGGTTTTTCCTACTCTCCCTTTTCTGGGGCTAGACGTCACAGCACAGCACTTCACGTCGGGCATCTTCCTGGTGTTCGGTCCTACTCGTAAGTAACAGGAATGGAGTGCCAAGAATAGACAAAGTGGGCGTCCATAAATTACGTGAGATGTTTAAGGGGGGGAGGCGGTCGAGTCAAATCTCATCTAATCTTACGTTGGAGAGAGGGGGGTCTCGGCAAATATCACGCATTTTTTTTCTGATTGAAACAAAAAAAAATATATACTATTATAGTCCATTTAATCCAGATTGATTGACATTTTGAAAAATCTCACATGAGATTGGGGGATGGGGGAGGGCGTTGAATAAAAACTCACGACATCTCACCAGGGCGGGAGGAAGGGACAGAAAATTTAAAAAAACACCTCACGTAATTTATGGACACCCCCAAACTCGCAGAATGCATCCCAGTTACTTCTACAACTGACTAGGTTCCCATGAAAGACCGGGTTCTGTGATTGTGATCTTTCCTAGCATTTTTTTCCGAGCGGCCTCTTAAAGTGAGCATTCCCAGAGTGCATGATCTCGGCTCTCTTCTTCTCCATCGCCACTGGGGTAGAGTGCAGACTCACATAACGATAGGCAGTTCAATCGCGGTCTGAAGCACCCACGCCCCGTTAGAAGTTGTGAGACCTCGTAATTCGGTTCGATCCAGTGGTTGGATAGTCCGGGAAGAATTTATAGAGCGTACGTCCACGAACAACCTTCAGATCAGCAGGGAGAACTCCCGCAATGCCCCTTTCAATATTAGGCCGTAGCTGGAACTTAGCTACGTCACTGACACTTACCTACACCTCCTACCTGAAATCCTGACCGAGTTAATTGTTTTTCCTAGTCAAAACTACTTTAAAAAATCGAGCCGATAAATGCTTATAATAAAAAAATATAATAAACTGTCAGACGCTTCAAATTCACTATAAACTTCTACTCCCCATCATAGAGTTAATTGATAGAACAGTCTCCGACTTGGACAAACAATATTATTCGCTTTTTTTTTTTTTTTCAGACGACGTGGCTTGAAGAGGGCTATCGGGTCTGCTTGCATCGGAGGCGGTCAAGGCATCGCATTACTGATCGAGACTGTTTAATAACTATCGCTATAATTATTTAGTTAATAACAACGTTTTGCACCTTCCATGGCAGGGCATTGTGATTGTGACCTTTAATTTTGGACAAGTTGTCAGTTTGTCAATTTTAGACGATAACCGTGTGAGCTTGATTTCAAAATACGAAACAAGATAATTTAACACGCCTAAAAGGGGCAAATAACCATCTCCTTTTGTTGTACGTGGGTAGGTACAACACCGAATAAATTCATTATTTATTTCTTGAGTAATTACTAACAGTTAGCAACATTGCACCAGGACTGAGGCACCAGCTTTCAATATAAGCTTTCGACTTTGAAATTAACTTTAATTAAAGTCGTATTTAGCTTGAAAATTAATCGGTAGGCAGTTTTTGATACCATGATGTAAATAATATTTTTGCCTGTTAAGTATTTCGTAATAATAAATATATCTTTTTTAATATATTGTTGTGTTTTATTTGTATTTTTTCTATATCAATAGCATTGATTATTTACTCTAGGAGGAGCTCGATGGCGTAGGTGGTTAGCGCGTTCGGCTGCGATCATTGAACTTACGAGCCCTTTCACATTTTTTGCAGTTAATCGCAATTTTTGAGCGCCTCGAATACCAAGGGGGTAAACGAGGCGCTCAAAAATTGCGAAAAAGAAGAGATTTTGATTATTTCAAATAGAAGTAAACAGTACAGTTATTCTTTCTAATGTAAGTTAATGTAGAATATTTGTAAATACTATTTTCCTTTTTTTGTACTGATCAATCTACCGCAGCTAGTTTACGGAAAAACGATCATACGCACAACTTCAAACGCCTCAATCTCTCAATAATGTTCAAAAATTAGATCAAATTAATTACTACGACATCAGAAATAAGTTTTTGTTGTAACATAATTTATTGGAATCTTGATTTTCCATCTCATTAATTATTAAAAAAACATCTAACCTCCGTGAGTTTTCCCAAAAAATAACACAGTAACAATAAATAGAATTACTATAAAAAACTTTCATAAAATTAATCTAAAATCATTGAACTACTGAAATATGTATATATTTTTATAATTAGTTCATTAATAATTATTTTATAAGACTTGAAACATCACCCGTAAAATGCAATATATTATACTAGTGCAAATCTACGCGCCTCAGTACGGCGCCAGCGCCTTCCTAGCTGAGGTGTGTGTCGGTTTGTACCGCACGCGTCCCGACTCCCGAGCGATGCCGTTAGGCGAATGCCCCCAGGTCATAAGTATTGTCACACAGTAAAAACTTTTCTTTTAGAATGCTGGCCACAAAAAAGTTTATTGAATTTCGAATTGTTCATGAAGATAAAAATGAATACTTTTTAGAATTTTACTCATTTTTAAATATGGAGTGGACGCTTAAAGAAGACCGTGTTGCAGTTATTGCGTTGCATCGTTGCGGTTTCGCGCCAATTCAAATTTTTGACATACTGAAAAATTTAAATATAACCAAAAGATTCGTTTATCGTACCATCAAACGATACAATGAAGACTCTAGCGTAGATGACAGGTCAAGAAGTGGTCGCCCTCGGTCTGTTAGGACTCCAGCAGTGATAAGTTCCAGACAGCTGAAATCGAGTTTATGAACGCAACTTAAAATGGTTGACGATTTAGGTTTCCACACAGTCATAGCCAAAGCTCAATAAATTAAAGAAAAATATCAACCAATATTAATTATCAACATTTGTTATTGTTTGTTTACAAATGTTTGGTTTTTAATCTAGAATTAGCCGAGTGCTAAAAAAGGGTTCCAAATTTTTTTTGTAAACCGTACTTTTCAAGCGACATTTGAGAGATGGAGGTCATTGGCTTTCCTTTTATTATTTGAATCGCACTATAACTACTCTTATGACTGTAACCCGTTTCGTGTCTTAAAAATAATCCCTTGTAGGAATAGTAGGTACTTACTATTAGTAACGTAACAATATTATATCTTTATGCTCTTTAAAGCCTGAAAAGCAGATATAGTTGTCATATTTACAAATAGCAAATATAAATAGCCATGAGGATTGTCAGCATAATAAGTACTATTAGAAAGTGTATAACATTATTTTTGTCTTTTATAATGTAAATGTTCTATCTCTCAACAGGCGTCGTGGCCTGAAGAGGGGCATTGGGTCCGCGTGCATCGGTGGCGGACGGGGCATCGCCGTTTTAGTTGAAATTAGAGTAAGCAGAAACTGTTGGCTCTTCAGATGGGGTTAAGCAGAACCACGGTGAATAGAGTGTTAAATGAAGACATAGAGCTTCGGGCCTCCGGGAAGAAAAACAGGACATCGTTTGAATGCTCGTCTAATGGACCTGAGACTGAAGAGATGCCGCGCTTTTTTGAAGCGGTACGCGGGAAAAAAATATCGGGAAATTCTTTTTTCGGATGATATTTTTTTTACCGTAGAAGAGAGCTACAGCAAACAAAATGATAAGGTGTACGCACACAGTAGTGAAGAAGCGAGCAACCGTATTCCGCGTGTCCAACGAGGTCATTTTCCATCCTCGCTCATGGTATGGTTGGGAGTTTCTTATTGGGGCTTAACAGAGGTACATTTTTGTGAGAAAAGTGTAAAAACGAATGCAGTTGTATATCAAAATACAGTCCTGACGAACCTTGTGGAACCTGTTTCTCATACCATGTCCAATAACAGGAACTAGGTATTCCAATAAGATTCGGCGCCAGCTCATAGAGCGAAGAGCACACAAGATTGGCTAGCAGCGCGTGAAATCGACTTCATCCGGCACGAAGACTGGCCCTCCTCAAGTCCAGATTTGAGTCCGTTAGATTACAAGATGTGGCAACACTTGGAGGAAAAGGCGTGCTCAAAGCCTTATCCCAATTTGGAGTCACTCAAGACATCCTTGATTAAGGCAGCCGCCGATATTGTCATGGACCTCGTTCGTGCTGCGATAGACGACTGGCCGCACAGATTGAAGGCCTGTATTCAAAATCACGGAGGTCATTTGAATAAACTTAATTGTCATAAGAATCTACGTTTTGTTAAGTTCATTTTGGTATATTAATTGTTACATAATGAATAAACTTGTTTCAATTATTTTATATTAAACATGTGACAGAATTTATAACCTGACTAGGTAAATACGTAAAAAAAAACTAACTTAACACACTAAGTACACCTCTCAAAAATAAATCAAACCTCAAAAAGATCAAGGGGTCTACTCTCTTTCTCCGAAACGGGCTTTCAATAAAGAAGTTCAAACGAAATTTAATTTCGCCAATTTAAGGTAATTTGAACGATAAACTATCAAATTGAAGCTTCCTTTGAGCAGGCTTAGAAAATCTACACCTCAATCTATATTCCGACGACGAATATTATTATAATTAATAATGAACCAGAAACATAGTAAGAAGAGTGCGACTGCGAAGTTTTGATTGTTTTGAACTCAGGTATCTTAGATAGAAAGATGGACAAATCCTATCAACCACCATGATCTTAGGAACCTTCCAGCGGGAGATACGCGTGGAATGGATAGAAAGATGGTCACCGCTCATCTTACGCACGAACTCAGGTATCCTAGACAGAAAGATGGACAAATCCTCCACCAACCCATGGTCCTTCCTACCAATCACGGTATAGGGACCGAATCTTGGGAGAGCGCGGGGGTACTTGCCTGTAGCTTTTTCCCTACTTGCGATTGTTTTGACATTTTTGGTTTTTCCTACCCTCCCCTTTCTGGGGTTAGACGTCACAGCACAGCACTTCGCGTCGGGCATCTTCCTGGTGTTCGGTCCTACTCGTAAGTAACAGGAATGGAGTGCCAAGAATGGACAAACTCGCAGATTGCATCCCAGTTACTTCTACAACTGACGAGGTTCCCATAAAAGACCGGTCCGGGTTCTGTGATTGTGTTCTTTCCTAGTATTTTTTTCCGAGCGGCCTCTTAAAGTAAGCATTCCCAGAGTGCATGATCTCGGCTCTCTTCTTTTCTATCGCCACTGGGGTAGAGTGCAGACTCATAACGGTAGGCGGTTCAATCGCGGTCTGAAGCACCCATGCCCCGTTAGAAGTTGTGAGACCTCGTAATAGGCTAGTTGACTCATGTCGAATTGTATTAAATAAATGTTTATTTCTTAAAGTATTTGGTCCAAGGAACCTAAATATATCGATTTCACTTCATAAAAGCAGAAGATTGCTCTAGAAATTTAATTTAAAAAAATAATTTTTAGTCTATACTTTTTAAACACCAAAAACGCTGTTCGCCATATCGGCCATGATTGTGACGTCTCTTTTAGTAAACAACTAAATGTCATTCATACATAACTTTAAAACTTGTATTATTAAAACAGATAATAAATGAAGAGACTTAAAATATTATTCAATGAGTACTTACATCAAAGTGATCTACGCAAAAATAAATTTTACTATGAATCGATAAAGTTGCAGGATCACTTTTAGCAAGTTCTAACCAGGTATTGCGTAGGTTAATTTCTTTCGGCACTTTAATCCACAACTTTCCTGGAGTCTTCAAGGATGTGTTTTTACATTCTCGTACAATACAATAATGATAATTACTATATTTTTCGTGGTATCTATTAGAAATCATGTTTTTTTTATTAAAAACTCAGATAGGTTATTTTCTACGTGCTTACGAGTTTTTGTTTACTACCGTCGACGTCATAGCATAGATAATCTATAGACTAAAATGGCCGACAGCGTTTTTGTATGTCCATGAAAAGTCTATTTTAAAATTGAAGATTTGTAGCTTTCTAGGTCTCAAAAAAATACAATACATTTTTTTTCGGTCTAATAGAACATTTATTAACCATTTAAAACCTTTTTCCAAAAAGGGTCAACTAGCCTATTTGGTTCGATCCAGTAGTTGGAGAGTCCGGGAATAATTTATAGAGCTTACGTCCACGAACAACCTCCAGGTCAGCGGGAGAACTCCCGCAATGCCCCTTTCAATATTAGGCCGTAGCTGGAACTTAGCTAGGTCACTGACACTAACCAAATCTTCCTACCTGAAATCCTGA